ACACCGAGCATCTTTGAATCTCTCTCCCCTACTTGTGTTGAGACACACAAGTCGGCCGGATGCCATACACTGCGCCGTTGAAGTCGTTGCTCGCTGCGCAGCACGTTGAATTTATCGGACCCACACAAGACGTCCAACCAGAAAGACCTGGGTTGAGTCGTTCTGCCTCAGATCGGCTACAGAGCTCTCGATCTTATTCCTCTACCTCGTATGTTCGGCGCCACCGGAGGAGCCCATCCAGCTCCAAGTCCCCCGTGCATACTGCCGAATCTGCACGGCTGACTGGCCCCATAATTGACCCCCATGCTAGTCTCCGCCAGTCTCCGCCCCCGTTGAACCATGCTGCGATCCCACCAGGGGCGATAATCTCGCCCCCCGAATCGGCCCCGAACTCAGACTCCGAGTCCCCTGACCAATCAATAATCAAGCTTGAGGACCTCGAGGCAGCGTTCAAGGCCATTGAACAGCGGAAGGAAGGCTCTCCAGAAAGAATGGGTCCTATCACCAACGGAAATGAGGCTCGATCCTCTTCAAGTCAACCACACCCACAACTACCAACCCTTAACACCAAACCTAATCACTTGCGACTATCCAAGACTGCTCGGAAAATTTCCCACTCACGATCATCTACAGATTCCGCAATCCCTGCAGCATCTTTACGCCACGAGGAGGCACTGACGAGCTCTCCCGATGATAGTGATGTCGAAACCTCACCCAAGCCCATGATGGTTCGGAAAAAGTCGGGCGAACTGGTTAGGCCGGCCCTCCGACCCGCAACGGCTCGGCGTCGACCGTCGAGCATGCCGGGCACTCCGGTGTATGCCAAAGCGGTGCACTTCGACTCCCAATTAGAACACATTCGTCATTTCCTGCAACTCGACCGACCATTGGCTGTCAGTGCCGAGACATCCCCGGTCGATGACCATGACAACGAAAGCGAATTTCCGTTCAAACAGCAGGAAGACCAGACCCCTTCATGGGAGTGGGAGCTTCGGCTTGCCAATTTCCCCAAGGACTCTTCGGCTCGTGCTACGATCCCCGTTCGTCTAGAACGGTTGTTCCTCTCAGGTGATAAGAATGTCTTGGTTGGCTCGGTTGCTGTGGCAAACTTGTCATACCACAAGCATGTGGCTGCCCGTTTTACATTTGACTACTGGAGAACTATCTCAGAAGTGAGTGCAGTTTTCTGCCACGATGTTCGACGCAAGCATGCCCATGACGGGTCCGATCGATTTTCTTTCGACATCAAATTGGATGACCAGGCCAACCTCGAGAACAAGACTCTCTTTATCTGCATTCGCTACAACGTCGATGGCGAGGAGTATTGGGACAACAACAATGGCATGAACTTCCAGGTCGATTTCCACAAGGCGCCGAAAATCACCACCTCTAGAAAGCCATCAAGTGGATCCCGACCTGCACTTCCCCGCAGTCGGACGTTCACTGGCTCCAACTCTCGTCCCCACTCGATGCCGCCATCCTTTGGAGAGTTCCCCGAAATCATCAAGAACGTACCCTTCTCCAACCCGTTTGATGATCCCAAAGGCTCGCCTCTCACCAAGGTCTCGTCAGATGAGATGGACACATGCGGCCCCCCGAAACGTCGGGAGAAGCCCAGTCCTCAGGCATTTGGCAATCGTTACGACTTTGGCGCCTCGTTGACTGCGGCTATGCGGACTAAGCCTCCTGTGGACCGAACAACCTTGACGACACGAGCACGATCTGGGCAGCCTACCGAAGTAGACGCTAAGCCAGTCCGGAAGGTTTCAGAAAATTTGCGGGGCGAGTCTTCTCCAGTGAGCAAATCCTGTGACGGAGCCCCGGCAGAAAACCCGAAACCTTCCTCACTGGTTTCTAGCAAGCCCTGCCTCGAGTCCTCAGTTTACAAAGAGTTGGTCGATAAGTACTGCTTTGTAGGTCATCCGTCCTTGACAATGTCGCCAACCTCGACACTAACGTGAATACAGTATGGTTCTCCCAAGTCCGCAACCACGAAGCAAACATTCGCCGTGAATGTTCCTGCTGAGGAGGCCGGCAAAGCTTTCCCCAGTGGAACACCCTCCCCCCCTCTATCTCCCGGCTCCCCGGCCCCTATCGAGTCACCTCCCATTGAAGCACCTCGTGAATCCCGTGCACGGTCACCGGCGGCCCTGAGCCCGCGTACCTCTCCTCGCAGCTCACCGTCTCCTATGTCCCACCGGTACCCTTACCACCATCAGACTTTGCAAAATGGATTCATGAACGAGCCTCCGTCGTCGCCTGTGATTAGAGGGTGAGTGACATTAAGTGCTCGATGAACCGCCCTGGAGAGTCTGGCTACTTTCTTCCTCGCCTACCTTTGTTTTTCATCACGTTGACTGTTTCCTTGAAGTGGACTCGACTTTTCCTACTCTGATATGGGTTCGGTCAACTCATTTTCCATATCGTCTATGGCCGGTGCACACACGGCTTGGGTTGGCGCACAGTGACTTTGTTTTTTTCGCGCAAGGTGGATCTCTCTCCTCTCTTTCTTGTGGTATTTGATGGCCTGTCAGTGTTTTTCACCTCATGGGTATATGTGAATAATTTGGGCTCCTGCGATGTACAATAAACCGCGGGGCCTGTTTTTAGACATTGGCTGTGTTGGTGAAGGACCGTGGTTTTCGTTTGCCGAAGAAATCATTGCCTCGCGTTTGATCTGAAGCGGTTCCTTCCGTTTCAATATTTTGTTTTGATTATGCATGATGACTGTTGACGATTTTTTTATTTTCTGCCCCCCCCAACCCCCCTCGAGGCATTTTCACTTCTTCTTGATCCGCAGATCTTCCACCTTATTACCGAAAAAAGTTTTAGTTTCGCCCGCCTCTTTTCTTCGATGCATTTTGTTTCGGTCTGCCTTTCTTGCGTGCATGGTGTTCCGGGGTTAGTGTTTAAATTTTTCTTTTATTTTTCTTTCTTGCGTTTTCAGGGACCACATATTTGACAGGATGCAGTGATGGAGTGGCAAGTGATATGATTTGCAGGATAAGGATGTCCGCTACAGCCCAGCAGCGACGTGATCTTGATTGCATGAGGGATATGAATGAACGTGTTTTGATCAATGGTTTTGCAAGGTTGTATCGACCGTAGAGTGGTAGGTACAGTAACTTCTCTTCTTTAAGGGTAGTCTTGATTTTTTCTTTCTTTTCTTTTATTGTATAGATCAACATATTAGAGCATATAAATTGAACAATTATTTACCCAACCACTTGTGGACATGAAGCGAATATCAGTATTCGTAGCCTTGTACCCCCATCCTTATTGCGGTATGTCAAATTACTTGATGGGGCGCTCCTTATCGGGTGCTTATCAGCCACGTGACCAACAATAGGACATTATGATTTCCGCTGCATTGACACGACACGGGTAATGGCCCAGGGAAGCGTTAGCAATCCAGCCCTTCATAACGCCCTTTTTCCTCCCTGCCCACCTGCCAATCACCGCCGCATTGCAGAATGTAAAACCAATGGCTTACCTAAACCCCCCCCGTCCCCCGAAAATCACGCGTAGTCATCCACGTATTTAATTCCCGCCCTTCCCCTCCATTTGGCTCTTTTTCTCTTTTCTTTCTTCTCTCCATCCCCGAACTCGCTAACCGTCGATACGTTTATCGACACCACCGCTTCCTAACCATCAACGCCTGTCTATTTCATCACTTATTTTATCTCTGCCAATATGTCTGGACGTAAGTTGATTTCCTGTTCATATATCTTGTTTATCCTCGCGTTCCTTTTTGACCTCGCGGTCGCTGTTGTGTTTTCCAACGTTGTTGAGGTTCAAGTTGGTGATGCCCCTGGCGGCCGATAATTGGTGGCGACCAGTCCCGATCGCGTGCCTTAGGCCAACGTGCATTGCAACTCTAACCCAATTGGGAAACCCTCCCCTCCATTCGACTTTAAGTTGACCATGCTGTCGCTGTCATCCCATCTTTATTTTATTTTTCTTGTCTTTTCTATTCTTCTTTCACTTCTTCATCTCAATTCATACTAATATCCTATTCCAGGTGGCAAGGGCGGTAAGGGTCTCGGCAAGGGCGGCGCCAAGCGTCACCGCAAGATTTTGCGTGACAACATTCAGGGTATCACCAAGCCCGCTATCCGTCGTCTCGCTCGCCGTGGTGGTGTCAAGCGTATCTCTGCCATGATCTACGAGGAGACCCGTGGTGTCCTCAAGACCTTCTTGGAGTCCGTCATCCGTGACGCCGTCACCTACACTGAGCACGCTAAGCGTAAGACCGTCACCTCCCTCGACGTTGTCTACGCTCTCAAGCGCCAGGGCCGTACCCTGTACGGTTTCGGTGGCTAAATTGCCCCATGTCTATCTTCATGGATATGCTTGTCGGCTTTTCTGCCTTATTTCTTTAACGCGCTCAACGGTGTGACGGTTGCTTTTTGTTTTTCTTCGTTTCAAAGACATATCGAAACATTATTACATTTTGGTTTATTTTATGGGTTGATCGGGTATTACGGTCAGGAAGATCTGGGCTCGATGGGGTTTATGCGACAATTTATGGGAATTGGGTTTGGATTTGATCTAGTTAGTTATCAACGAGGCTCGCTGAGCTAGTATCAAACGAATGTCTACAGTTGAATCTCCTGATTTTGAACGTAAGATCGATTCGTACGGAAATCAAGTAATTGCATCCTGTATAACCCGTCGCGTGGAATCAGCCCATCCTCGGCACGGACCACATGATCGGCATGATGTAATGGATCGCTCGCTACCTCGGCCATGAGTACATCTTCACATTCCAATAAGCAACGTGCCCGCTTTTTGTGATCGCTGATGGTATCTCTTGCGAAAGCCTTTTTTTCCATCTCCGGGGATGTTATTTTCCCAACTTTAACATTCTAGCTCCAATTTAGGCCTGTGAACCCAAATACAAACAATAACATCTGAGATCCCCCGGTCGGGAGTAAGCAGCTGTATCTCAAGGACTAGGAGTCCTCAACAACCAGTCCATTTCAACGCCAAACTTCATCATGGCGGAGTACAAACTCACCTACGAGTCTCAGCTGGTATGTCTAGATCTGTTTCCCAGCTGGATTCAATCAATCAGTCCCAAGTCTCTGACAGCATCATCTCACAGGATGCCTTCCACCCCTCCTATCGCTGGGAAATCCAAAACGCAAGCGACGACTGGAAAGCCAAAGCCCTCCGTGGTCCTGCCCTTCCAGTTTTAGGCAATGCGGTCGCCGGTGCCGTAGGCTCGGCCGTTTCCAATGTTGTCGTCTACCCCCTCAGTGTCATCGTCGCTCGATTACAGACCCAACAAAAGAAGGCCAAGGACAAGAAAGATGATGATAGTTCTGAAGAGGAGGAAGAATATACCAGTATCCTCGACGCAGCCTACAAAATCTACCTCGATCAAGGTCTTGCAGGCCTCTATCCTGGTCTAGCACAGGACACCTGCAAAACAATACTTGATTCATTCCTCTTCTTCCTTGCCTATACAACCGTCCGACAGCGCCGTATCATCGCACGCGTTGGGCCCGCCCGCGCAGCAAAGACAAAGAATATTGTCCTCCCCATCCTAGACGAACTTGCGATCGGAATTGTAGCAGGCGCCTTCTCGAAGCTGTTCACGACGCCTCTATCGAACATCGTCACGAGAAAGCAGACGGCTGCGCGGAAGGGCTCCAGCGGAAATGATCAATCAACGGCCGATATCGCAGCGAAGATTCGAAAGGAGAAGGGTATAGCTGGGTTCTGGTCCGGATATTCGGCGTCATTGATCTTGACACTAAACCCGTCAATTACTCTATTCCTCAATGAGGTGTTCAAACGTGCACTTCTTCCGCGTGCAAAGAGAGATAAGCCATCCGCTGCGGTAACATTTTTGATGGCTGCGTTGAGCAAGTCAGTGGCATCGTCGATTACCTATCCGTTTTCGCTGGCGAAGACGCGTGCGCAGGCTATGGCTAGCGAGTCGCAGAAGCCAGGCCAAGGGAGGACCATTTTATCCGCCCTTATGCCTCAAATTGTCTACAATGTTATCACTATCGCGCGTGTGGAAGGTATCCGCGCTCTTTACGCCGGTTTACCCGGTGAAGTTTTGAAGGGATTCTTCTCTCAAGGCTTTACTATGCTAGCGAAGGACGCCGTGTATAGCTCTATTGTGAAGAGTTATTACATCCTCCTTACGCTTCTGCGTCGCTACCCGTCGCCAGAGGAGCTGCTTGTGCGTGCTCGAGAGCAGGCAGAGGAGTACAGTGAGGTTGCACTTGAGGGAGCTCGCGATCTCGCGGAGAGGGCTAAGGAAGGTGCTGAGGATGCGTTGAATAACCACGCCGGTAGTGTGGCTGTGGATACGACTTCAAATACGGCTGCTGCTGCTGCTGCTAATGTGGCTGGGGATGCTGGACATGGCGTTGATGCGTCATCTGGGCTGAAGATCTCCCCCGTGGCAGAAGATATTAACGAGACTGCTGAATTGGTGGGGGATTATGTTCAGGATGAGGCTGCAGAGTGGAAGAGCTTCTACCACTGGTTCTGGGAGAAGGATCGAGTTCATAAGGGTTAAACAGTTACTAAAGTGCAACTGCGTTGACCTGCGGTTTCAAGGGTTTGAGCATTGTTTTATATGGTTTCCAAATTGCCCAATTATTCAGCGTGTACAGTATATCATGAAACTTAAGCCCATTCTTTTCTAAGTGATATTTTCTCCGCCCAATTCACAACTTCGCTAATAAGTACAAAAATAATGTCTAAAGTTTAATCCCATGCGATACATATTCATCTCGCTTTCCAGTTGCTAATACCTCTTCCGGTGCTCAGCCTTCTCAACGCCCTCCTTCATCACAAAGGCAGCCTTCATCTCCACCCAGGCCTGCAACAGGACCCAAAGGGGAATACACACCCAAAGCCCATTGAAGAAGACAAGATACAACCACATGTAAACGAAATCGTGTGTTGCAAGCTGAGTCGAGCCAGTCAACCACTCTGGCGCAAAAGTCATAAAACCTCCATAAAGTTCCGCAGTTGCAAGCACAGCCGAAGCAAACCAAAGCTTAGCCTTGACAGCCCCACGCACCTGCGATGCAAGCTTGCTATTGGCCTTCACAATCAAATAACAGATGTAGATAGCAGCCGGTCCACCCAGAATAACAGTCAAAAGCTCCAGCGACACGACGGTAATATCAGCGCCAGCCCAGCGACGATCAGCCTTAGCGTATTCCTGCCACAGACGCGCAAAGGGACCGGTGCCGTATGCGGGACCGTAGTTGCGATCGGGCCGATTGAGGAAGAAGGGTTCTGTGCTGTGGATGCCGGCGACGGGAGCCCAGCTCGTGAAGCATTCCCAAAGGAAGGAACCCTCAATGAAGATGTGAGTCAGGGCATCGTAGGTGTGCCAGGCGAAGAGGAAGCGGTCGCGACCCTTGGTTTTATTGACGGGGAGGAGGTAATTGGTGAGGAAGTAGGCGGTTGGCATCATCCCCAGGGAGAAGAGGAGACAGATGGCCGTGGGGAGGTCCACGGAGAATGTGTCGGTCATCTTGTTGTAGTATGTGTTGCAGTATGGTCTGCAGCGGGAAGCTTCTGGGGAGAAGGTGAAGCCAAAGACGGCGCTGGCGAGCTAAAGGGGAAATTTAATTAGTTTGGGTTTCTGGTGGAGCTTTGATGATCTGCGGTGCCTGAGGTGTCCGGGTACTTACCGCGAAAGGCGTTACATAGTATGGATTAGCTTTGCATGCGATATACAACTTCTTTGCAGTCATTATGGCCGTCATCCAAAGATTTGGCTGCATTACACGCGATCGAACAAGTAGGTTTTTAATAAATTGGAAGCTTGACATGGCGTTGTCGGTGATGCTGGCGATACCGGCGATATCGGTAGTGTTTTGCATTGAAGTATAAGAAGTTTTAAGGTTAGGAGTTACTCCCGTCCCTGGAACACACTTTAAATATGAAAATGCCACTTTCACTGTGAATTTTTTCATTTCTACTTTGATGAAAGGAAAGCAAAGGACTTGAATAGGTGAAAGATAAAATGCTCTATTCCAAGGTTGCGGAGTCTATCACAGCCCGATGTTCTTTCACCTGAGTTGTTCTTCAGCAGTTCTTTGTTCTTCCAGTCTAATTCAAGAACCCTATAGCTCGTGGCTCCGAGAATGAAAGAGATCTGTCATCCCAGGACGCTCATTCTATGCTGCAAGTCAAAGAGATATTAGTCGAATTCGAAACTCTTTCTCAAGAACGTGTTTCTTTTACCTTAAAGTTCATGTTGAGGGTCGGTGGCGGTACAGGCGCCAGACGAAGCAATCAACCGGGGGTATCGATTGGTTTCCCAGTCTGCCCCGAATGTTTGACAGGAAGACAATCACCTCTTTGATTGGAAGTCAAGCAAAAATCCTTTTTTTATCTTATTTTGATTTTCTCCTGTGCTATTGCTGTACCTTTCCGTGGGGACTTGGATCACCCCGAAATTCTTCAAACCTGGCGTTGCGCCCGAGAACCTGCAGCAACTCTTCAACTCATTCCGCCTCTATTGTGACGAATTGCGCTAGTCTTGCAGTCTTGTGGTTTGGGCTGCTTTGGCGGGGCACACAACTCAGCTGGATCTTCAGTGTTGCTCAATAATGAACCTGGGAAGCTGAGCAAAATAACTTTTGTTCCAATCTTCGCACTGCAACGATCTATATTTACTTCCCCTTTCACCATGGAAGAGAACCTTGGGATCACCGATATCCCTGCCCTGACAAAGGCGACTTGGGAAATCTACAATCAGTGTCAGACTTTCGCAAAAGATGCCCCCGACGGGTTTCGCAACCTCGTTACGGGGCTGGGATCGCTACAGGGTGTGATGAGAACCCTCAGTGATGACTTTATCTCCAATACAGCATGTTTTGAGCAAATGAGCGAAGAGCGTCGGTTCATTTTGGAGCGATGTCTAAACGGTTGCTTTGAAACCTTGACTTGGTTAACGAGCCTTCTCAACGGGCACCGAGAGCTGGGAATTCCAGAGGGAAAGACTTTTTGGCAAAAAGTCAAGTGGTCTACACAACGGACGCAAGTTGAGGATATCAGGTCTAAGCTCATTGTTCACACATGCAATCTAAGCCTGTGTATGAGCCCAATGGAAAAGTAAGCTCCCCTCTATTCCAAAATCATGCAAGTATTAATTCTTATCGTTCAGCTCTTCCCTTGCCGATATCGAACGAACAATGGTACAAGCAATGGAGGATGATGAGCAGGCTTTGCTCGCTCTCGAAACTTCTCGGCGCGATTCAAGCTTAGTGGTATCGCCTCTGAGCATCAAGAGCGGTGTGTCTACGGACTACGAGGATCTTTTAGATGCATACACGCCCCAGCTGATAATTCCTCGAGTGTCTTCGCTAGCTTCCCGCAGCTCCCAGGGACAAGAGCATCGAGTCCCCGGTCGGCCTAAACATACATCCACCTCATCCGAGTCTGTTATGTCCGGATCTGATGGGTCCTTCTATGGCGGAACTGCCCCTACATCACCTTCAATGCACAGTCGCTCGCATTCTCAGAAATTGGTGGAAAGGCTCAATAATTCTCGAGCCCTCAGCTCTCAACCGCTCTACGAAGGCTCTATTGACGGTCGCGCGTCCGACAAAATGCTATGGGAAAACATTTCTGACATTCAAGAAATGCAGAGCATGGGTAAATCCAGCGAGACATCGTCCACTGAATTTGGCCATGGGAATGTTATGGGGGTTGTCACTAGTGCAATGCAACAGCTGCGCCAGGTCAGGCTTCAAGAACAATTGGCTCGGCCGATAAGGTATGTGCCACAGAACAAGATGCACAAGCCTGATGAAGCTATCTTGAAGGCCTTCAAGTCCTCGGTCAGCGAGGAGCTTCAGGCCCGAAGGCTCATCACCAGGGATTGGCTTCGTATTGCGACTTGGTGGCTGTTGAAGGCGCGTGCTACTCTGGCCAGTTGTGGCAAGCATAACCTTGTCAGTGCTCGAGGTGGTATAAATGTGCCGAGTGACTCTAGATCTGCCTCGCAGCAGGCTTATGTTGACCTCCTCAAATCTTCGTACATTCTCTATGAGATTGTTCTCAGAGACGAGAGCTCTCCTGCTTTGTTGACTGATGAGAATCGCAAAACAGTTTCTGATCTTTCTGAAGTAGGTATCCTCGTCCGACATGTGTCTTCCAGTATTGATTGAATATAGGGCGTCAATGATGAGCTTTCTCAGTATTCTTCTTTGGATATCCCCGAGCCTTCGAGCTTGTCTGCCCAGGACTTGGACATCTGGGAGCCTGTTCAGCCGGAGGAAGCATCACAAAGCAGCTTGGACTTCTTCGGGCTCGAGAATACACGTTGGGTGGCTGTTAACCAGGAAGATTCGGGTAGTGAAGAGGAAAGGGTCCTCTATCGCATCTTTGTCAATGCAGGCATTGGATCTAAGAAATTTCGCATACGCACAAGAGGTGCTCCATACATGCTTTTATTGGCAACCAAGGACGGCGAAAGCGAGCCAAAGATCATTCTTTGCAATCAGAGTGGCTCCCTTTGCCTTCAGCGAGACTGTAAGCTTCATGATCTTTTATTCATCATAAAAAAGCCACTAATATACTCGCAGTTGTACCTGATGACCTACCACCGCTGATCAATCTCGCTAATGCCAATCTGACTGGATTTCCCGGAGCCCGAATCTCGGAACCCGTGTCGTTCATGTTCGATAATACAAGCGTCTCGATTTCGTTCCAATTTGAAGCTGATTTGGGTCATTTCATTCATATTCCCAGGACCTATTTTGACGCTGTCTGGCAGAGGGAGCCAATCGATTCAAAAGAGTTTACCGAGACTATCATCTTCAAGGGTTCAGTGGAGCTCTTTGAGCACCTCAAAACTCCGAACATGAAGCCCATGAACCCACCAATGATAATCAGGTCATGCAACGTCCGTATCCTCGAGAGATCATTTGGTGAGGCTTGGCGCTGTACTCGAAGAATGGTGATCAGTCCATGCGCAGCACAAAGAAACCCACGGTGCATCGAACTCTTCATGCCCCTCAGTCGTGTTCAAATCAATCGCGAGGATCTGTCGCGCCAGGTACTTCTGAAATGGTCCGATGCTTGTCAAGAACGAACAAAGACAGACGGCAACTACAACATTCTGCATTCTTACCTCTACGATGACAGTGCGCCAAACATCGGAGTAGGACTGAATTTCAGCACTGAACAAGGCGCCGAGGACTTCGAGAGAGCCATCCTGGAGATCAATTTCAAACCAGACTTCTCCTGGTCTGAGCCCAGCAGCTCTGGTCGCATATATGACGTTGTTGACACAGGAACCCTACACAAGCAGTACAAGGCTGCGGTCATTTTCCAGAACAACTCACAATGGCGCTATTCTGATGTCTACTTCCTCTATCGTGACACGGACTTTGTTTATCAGCATTCATCACTCAGCGTCCGATTTCCCCACGCCTCCTACACGGACTATATCTCTTCCCATGTGAACCAACTCTTCGCTGCAGACAAGCCCGTCGTGTTCTCGCGTTGTGAAAAAAAGAATAGACCAGCAGTCATCGCATTCAACAGTGATTCTGTTTCGCGTGCATTTATGAGTGCTCTTTCTCCATTATATGACCTATCTTACTCAAGGCGTATTCAATCACTTTCAACTAAGAGTAATCTGCTGGGAGGCAAGAAATCTGGCAAAGGTGGCGCCGAACTCCAATTATGGCGCAGGGGTAATACAACGCAGCTTGCCGCGCGTTGGGATGACGGTGTTCCTGATGTATGGCTAACCATGTCTCTTCCTTCGGACGTCCCTGACTCCTCGAAGGAAAATACCCGTGTGAATTTTCCGAGGTTGCCGTATGCTCGTGGGATGAGCTTGGATATGATGAACATTATGGCTCGAACTCCTAAGTCTAATACTCTTGCGGATCGGGAAGGGGCCATTTCGATAGTCTTTCGGACTGCTCAAGGTGATCTTTTCCTAACTGCAACGATTTTGTGCTTTGCTGACTACTTTAAACGCACAGATAAAGAAGGATTTCTGAGTGTTCTCCAAGGAAGGCCAATTTCCTCCACGTTTAGTTCTTTGTCGGGGCATTAGAGTAAACCGGCCTTATCTATTTCTTTGAACCAAGCCACTAGTCATAATAGCAAATATAGCAGCTGTAAATAATCTAAGAATACAACTTTTCCAATGAAGGCTGCCTTGCATCTAATGGCGTAAAGCTGCAGTGCCCTCGAACCTCGCGCCCGTCAGTCTCATCATCAATGCAATCTGATGGCAAACTAGTCTCACCCCACATTAGCTCGCTGTGGGCTGCAGTGGCGGTACAAACGTCATCGGGTGGATGACAGGCGGCACTGATAGCAGCGCTACAGGTCCCCGCCAGCGGTATAAGCGACTTGAGCCTCCGAAATGCCAAAGAAAGCAACAACATACCCGCGATGAAGCCAATCACCGCGGCAAGGAATATAGGCAGCGATGAGACCCCAAGCGAGCTAATCTTCTTTTCGTACATTGGTTGATTGTCTGCCCCATAGGGTATCATCAAAACGTAGTAGTAACCCTGTGAAACAAGCCAGTGGATTGTCGTGAAGAGTAACAGAATTGGGATCCCGTATTTATAGGGTACACTCAGCCAGTAGGTTGAGCGTTGCTTGCTGTCTTTGACGGGCCAAGTAACACGAAGTGCCTTCCGGTCAGTGCCATAGGAACTGTACTCCGCAGAAGCCAACATGCCAGTCAATACCCTATTGAAGAGATAATAGGCGACTGTGACGACCAACTGAACGCTGTTGGCGACCACCACGCCTTTCAACTCTGAATAGTTGCTGCTGACATACATGCCAAAGTTTTTCACATTGTTGTCTGAGTTCCAGAGACCTCCAAACATGTTCAAGGTAAGGCCAGGAGCGAAAACTGCCGCCCCGCCGATACCTATAGAGAAACTAGACGACATTAGATACAATGTAAGCATGAGATTGTAGAAGACTCACATCAATGAGGTGGCTAGCCAAAAGAAAGGGCTAGATGCCTTTCTCCACTGCTTCCGCGGTGATAGATGCCCGTACACTCTGGGCGGTGGTTGGTCCGACAATACAGGATGGCGCCTCCAGTCTTTTTTAATGCGCCGGAAGGACGCCCAACAAATTCCTTTCGTCGTATCATCAGGTCTTTGTAAGAAGGATGCAACTGCATCGCCTATCGTAAGAAGAGGAGGTGCTCGAGAGCGTTGGATTCTGGCTGCAAGAAACATCGCAACTACCTTCACCAGCGTGGCTAGTGAGATCACCACGCCAATTGTAGGATTGAAGAGCAGTTGACAATTCGTCTTGCCTTCAAATGCTAAGCATCCACCGAGAGGTAGCATTCGATAATAAGGTGAAACGGCGCATTCTTGAGATGATGTGTTGGAGACGTCGGTGTTGGCAAACGATGAAGCTATGATTGACTGTTCAAGATCTTGGCCACGATTCCAAAGAATAGAGTTATCCCCTCCATCTTTGATACTCAGATCACTCGAGAGGAGAATAAGGCCCTTGTACTTTGATTGAAAATTATATCCTTGGCCGGTCGCTTCGCGATAGTCGACACACTGCTGAGTGGAAATTGCCTCGCTCTTTTCTTCCGAAACAATTTGCACTATATGATCCCAATCGATGGTTTGGCCGTCACCTTTGTCGTTCAACCCACCAAAGAATATGCCGCTTTCTTGGGTTCCGAAGCATTTCTCTAATCCGGGAGTAGTCAGATTTCGTATGTGTTGAGCGTCAAAATCGGATGGTCCAACGAATGTCCAGTAGTCATTGTAAGACAAGCTTTCGAAAATGACAGAATTATATCTGGAAGACATGTTAGCACGCCTTCCAAGCGACAGCATTTGTATTTATGAATTCGTACAGTAAATGAAACGGGGTGGCAGTGAGTATCAAAATCAACCAAAGTCCAAGACGGTCAAACGGTATCGCGAATAGATTTCGGAAGCTGGAACCGCCAATATCCAACCAGCGACGCTTTGCGTGGCACAAATCAATTTCGTCTCTGGTTGGAGCGACAAGCGTTTGCATACAGTAATTGCTTGCTGCCAAAATACCGGTACTGAGAACGTTGATGATAAAATGGAGGGCTGTGTTCCATCGACTTGTTATGGCGCAGCTGCCATCGTACACAACTTTTGAATTTGTAGATCCTCCAGAGCCTGAATTTTTTGAGGCTAGTCCGCCTGCTACGGAAATCAAGATGGTATTCAGTAGCAGTAGACCGGCGGTTGCATATGCGCAAATATATACACCTTTGATCCAGGCAGGTCTTTTCCGACAATTGTTGGTGTCACTACCGATGGTCACTTCCTCTAGGAAAGGCGCAGAACCAGTCGGGTCATTTGGGGTACTCGTCTCTCTTTTGGCGATCTGAGAGTTGAGGCTCAAAGATTGTTGACTGGGGATTGAAACTAGCTCTGCTTCGTCTGCATCTTCACCTGTTGCGCTATGGTAGCGCTGGGCTGGAGCAAAGCGCCGGACCCAGGCCCGTACATTCGGAGCACCAATCTTCTCGGACAAGGGCATAATAAATTCTATGCTTTATTATTGAAGGAACTAAAAGAGAGAGAGAAAAAAAAGGAAAGTTTACAGTGTGCGGAACGGGGCTATGGACCCTGCATGCATTGTAGCAGGGCTTTGACGTGAAGATCGGCCCATTTGGTGTACATGATCGACATTGTATAGCTATGCAGGGCCCGCCATGGATAAACAACCCGTGTCCGCCCCCAATTCTGGGGGCACAGACCTTGGCGGGTTGGGGGCGGAATTCATACGTTGAATTTGTTTGGCTAATAAGTTGTTGATCAACCCACTTTGTTTGACTAAATACAGTACAGGACAATAATAGACGAAATAGATAGAATCTTGGGATTTGAGAATTACAATGGGGAAAAAAGGAAAGAAAGATAAAAAAAAAATTTATTAAAAAAGAAATCTCTCCCTCGGGGAATCGAACCCCGGTCTCCCGCGCTTATCGGTATTAATGACAAGCGGAAATCATGACCACTAGACCAAGGAAGATGAAATAGTCGAGTTTCCGCTCGACCACTTGGTGATGGTTGATGTCTGTTTTCCCAATTATAGTCCTATAGTCCCAGTCTTATTCCCAGGCTGCGACCACCACATTCAACTACTGATCAGCCAGTTATAATTCGCCGACCTTTTGGTACCTGCGTGGATCATCTTTCCTCCAGTGAAAATGCATCCCCAGCCCTATCCAGCCGGTGACTAACATCAGTGTGCCGCAGTCATGGGGTCCGTAGTAATAGTCAACCCGCTTGACCCAGTCATATTCGGAGGTCATTTCCCGCGATGAGGATTCGTGCCCCTCGACAAATACGAGAACCATTTAACTGAAGCCACGTCTTTGTTTTTGAGGTATTGGTTTGATATGCCTCTTTCGGTAGTATAGAGCTAGACCCCACTCCTTTACTAATCGCTGACCTTCAATCTTCCACCCGCTATAGAATTCTCACCCTCGATATGCATCGACTCTAGATTTTCGAGATACCCCTTTCTGAGGGTGTTTCGATCCACCCAGCCCCCCCAAAACTTGGAATTTGATGGTCATACTAGCCTGCAAATGATATATCACCCGGGCGCTCAATGAGACTATGCCCGGCACGTGTAGAAACTTGGCGGGCGTCAGCCAAAGCCCGTCGATTTATAATGTTGTGACCTGCCAGGCAGAATGAATCCACTAACCTATATCCAGAGAGAAATAGCTGGAAGAAGTGAGAAATCCTTTGACAAAACATACTCTGTTCAAAATGGGGGCTGGGTGAATACATTCAATATACTAAACTTACTTACCTTGCCCACGAATCCCAACGATGCCGAACCTTCGACACCACCGCAGACACCACTCCTGGCCCCACTGCGGCTCCGAGCTATGCATGCGCGCTCCATCCAACCTGGAGATTCGCAACCTCAAACCAATATCAATCACTGAAGCCAACCAACAATGGGCCTTTCAACAGTCCACGGTCGTCCCTCTCATCGCGGAAGAAGAGCCCGGTACCGATGATGCCGAGATGGCAGGAATAGTCAGGACACCGTCACGAAGCGTGCACCGTCTCTGGTCCCGCCCTATACAAAAGCCGCGATGCGACGATATCCCAAATTCTGCTTCAGCAGCTGAAGCACGGAAGCATGTTCATCGCAGCGTGCTTCGGCGGCTGATTCGTCGACCGCCGCTCGATAAAACCCGATCGTTATTTGTCATGCCGACAATGATGAACGCGGGAGATCAGGTTATGATTTCGGGTTGGATGCCTCCCAGGTTGTCGGCGAGGCCGGTTATGGTGACCGAGAGAAGGAGCACAATTTCAGTGATGGATTCACCGCAATTTGTTACTGAAAAGAGACACAGGAGGTCGCATTCTGCGCAGCCGCGGTCGTGGAGGGAGCCGAGCGCGAGTCTTTTTAGTTTGAAGGAGGAATGATCTGGTTACTTGTGGCTTGTTGATTTTTGGCGTGCTTGATATGATTCGGTTCATAAAGATTGAGGATGGACTGCAGCGTTAGATAGAAAATGTCATCGAGTGATAGCTGGCTGGTCCAATAATTATCTTGATTCTCTTCCGTCAGATTATAATACACAAGAAGCTAGACCAAGTCTGACAAGATGCCACGCGCGGCCAGGCCGAAGAAAAAGACAATTCCAATGAAGATCTGATAGGCCCTGGGTAATACAAACGATTTCATGTTGAACGGAACTCGCAGCGTCCGACCGACATCTGGCAGATGCAAAGCCTTAAAGCTTGTACAGCTTCTTCTTGTACACGAACCACGCTCCTATCGCTTCTATGCTGTGGGTGTTGTATTCGTGTAAAAATACATTCTTCCCTCATCTGGCTAGATAAAACAGTCCCGCTATCGATTTTTCGAGATATCTGAGTTGCTTGAATGGATGTGTTTCTTTAAACCCACATTTTTAGGTTCGCGCGATTGATGAGACTGCGATACAGTGTGCCCGGTCGGCATTGGCGACGCTACAAGTGGGGCCGCAGAGGATACGGACTGGGTTCTTCGAGTTGCATCACAATGAACAAAATCTTCCTAGTGAGTTCAGGGAGCTCTCAATGGCCTAAATCTGTATACGTGGGTGGATGCTCACTGCATCGAGTTGACGGCCAGCCTGTTTCGGATACTCCTCCAGGCCTTCCCTCTGTATGTAGATAAGTGACCATCGAAAGATGTAAGTCATCCTGGTGAGACTCGATAATTCCAGAACTAACTCCACAGATATTTTTCTGAGTAATTTGACAGATCAATAGTCAGGGTGGAGAGGCTAATTAGATCAAGTAAAGCTTGACACACCACGCAGAAGACTATTATCGTCACTATGTAGTGATGCATAGGAAATGCTGACCGCATCCTCCATTCGCGAGCCAGCTGGCACTCTGCAGGCAAGTTAGGAATATTAGCGTGAAAGGATTGTATCATCAGGTCCGAATGGCAAAGGTAAGCACTGATTTGCCCCGAAAAGATCTTAACAAATTTCAAGATTGGGACCGCTAGAGTAAAGAATCGATACCGACTCTGTAGAGATGTAGTCCTGCGTCATTCATTGGGTACTCGGAGTTACTGTGCCGATTTCCTGTCCTCTCAGCCGTGTCTTGGCTAGCGTTCAAATTGTGGGGGCCATGACTCAAGTGGGCACTCGTGCATCCTCGGCTGGGAATCCTTCTGGAAAGCCGCTAGAAGGGTAATTGTCTTGGACCAGTGGTGATTGGATTGCATGATGATTATTTAACTGATAAGCCGTTTCTTCGGACTCCCGGGCGTTGCGCAACCAACCCCGGCAGTGTATTGGCCGGCAGCTCGGCAGTCCGATTCCACTTGACAAAGATATAGAAATTGGTCCACAATCTTCAGCTGATATGATTTAGCTTTACCGAATGCCTGTGAAAAGGGTAGGGACTGAGGTGTAAAAGTGGGATTTCACGAGGACAGATACGTGGCCCGTGATGATGCAATCAGCGGTGAATCTGCGGGGTCTGAACGAGTCAAAGGACTCCTTGAGGAGGCTCCAAGGCAGACACAATCTCGGATTGGCTCGTGAAGCTCAGCTCCCCCGTAATATGGGACCTTTCTCACCGACGGCCATCCGCTAAACCCTACTAGTGGATAGTTTCGGGCTGTCCAATTGGTGAGTTGGAGGACCGGTCCGCTGAATGGATCCAGTGAGTGAGCTATCATTGGTCCTGGTGGTCCTCGATAGGTCCGAGGGCAGGTTTGGGCCAACCCCGCTGTGATCTGGTTGGTTGCCCTACAGGGCATTGACGATCACCCAGAACGAGGAGTTTCAGAGGGAGGGACAGATTCCCAGAAGATAAATAATCTTCGTGTTCCCACGTCAGAACTCAATCCATCAATCCTACCATATATTATCCTCCTCCTCTCTCTCTCCGATTTCGTCTCTTTACCATCCCTTTCTCACCAAGTAATGCGCTCTCACTCCCACCAGAGCGGTAATTACCCAAAGCGCTCTGCATCTCAGACTTCTTCCACCACAAGCTCTTCACGCAGCACTCAATGGTCTGACGAAAAGAAGAACCGTCGAATCTCCAACCCTATAGCCTCGAAATTATTCCGATCGGGGTCCAAATCACCCACTGAGATTGATATCCCTAAGCGCAAACACACTCACAGCCACTCCTTGGACACCCACTACATTCCTCGGAGCGATCCTGAAAAGAATTACTTCGATCAGTGTGACGGCTCCACCAGTTCTACTGAAATGTATCCCGAACCTTCATCACCCCAGTCTTCCAAGCAAGATTTCCCCAAGCGGGCATCCACTCCCACTCGGAAAAATGGCGATGACTATCGTCGCTATAGCGGCACAGTCAACCACTACGGTCGCCACTCAAATGACTGGCTCTTCGGTGGCTTCAGTGTGCGTGATACCGTCCGGGACGGTATCGAGAAGCTTCGTAACCACGACGAGAAGGATAGCTGAATGCCTCATCGACGCCGGGACTGATTTTACGAATTTCTCGTCGCTGGCCGTGGTACACCCTTTCTCAGCGCCCTATCCAAACCGGGCTGCTCTACTTCAATCCCCGCATGTGTGGAATCATGAACCCCGTGCGTTGGTGTGAATCAACTGTTGATCCACCATGAAACCAATATGTTTCTTTTATCCGCTGATATGATGGCGTCCTCTGAGCGCTCCATCGGCTAATGTATATCCGCGTCCGGGGATAATAAGACTTGCTTTGCATCGCGTTGGTCGCTTTGCCTGGCTCTAGTCATATGATGATATCTTTTACTTAAAGACACGAACTGGCTATTTTCGATTCTTCTTCACACAAGTGTGCTGGCTTTTGTTTTCTTTTTTTTGGTCGTTGAATCAGCTGTGCTGGGTTCTTCCGCTTCGGATATTTTTTATTATATGCTACACGACAGAATGTTCTATGCTCAGCTGTGCTGAATATGAAAAACTTGAACCACAGATGATATCATCTTATATGGCTTTTCGCTCAAAATGTAAATCCGTTCCTGATCCGACTTCCACTATCGGGGGTTTCCAAGTACCGAGGACAAGTCCGCCCCGTCTCCGACTATCGGCACTTCTCCGAGTCATTCCAGTATATAACAGTCAGCGAACATGACTTCAGAAAAATATGACTTAAAACACAGCTGACAATCAGCATAAAAAGGAGGCCTTCTAGAAAAACCAACTTGCTATGAAATTTGCCCTCCGACCTGCATACAAATTTTCAATTTTCAGCCGACCCGCTTCTATTTTCAGCCCCCACAATCAACTGCACACTCAGCTACATCGAGCTACATCCAGCGCGAATCTAAAAGCTCGTGCACCTCGAGTCGGAGCTTTACGCCAAAAGATTGCCATAATGGAATCTGCCAAGCCCATAGTGGCCGTTCTCTACCAGGCTCTGCCGCCACCAATCTATGGAGGCGTAAGCAAGCCCCCCAAGCCGGGAGGTACAGTGACTCAATCTATACTTCGCACTTATGCCCAAGATAGGCATTGGAGCCCCGAATAAAACTAGAAACGCTAACTATCCTTGATTTATTGACCAGGCTATCGGGATTCTGGCGCCGATATCGCCTATTCACTCAAATGTGGCGGAACTACCATGCTGACGCCGGTAGAATCCCCAGACCCCGCAAATCAGGATCAGTGGTGTTTCCCTGATACCGAAGAAGGCATCATCTCCGCGATCCAGAAAGGTGCAACGCATCTTTGGGCAAATACTGTGCTTTTCGCAGAACATCCGTTGCAGACTTCCTCGAAATTGACGCCCTTCGAGTCTAGCATTAAAGTTGTTGGTCAACCTCCACTTTGTGCGGATCGGTTTGATGATAAATCATTCACGAATGATCTGCTCCGCCAGCGGGGCGGCCTAACGCTGCCCAGGTCGTGGACTGCAGATGATCCCCGGGTATCACCGGATATCAGCAATGGCTCCACTGGACTCGCACAGGCGCAGCAATCGGTCCAAAAAGCCCTTGACGAGGTCTTATCTTTAATCAAACAGGATGACTATCCCATTGTCGCGAAACCTGTTCGCGGGCGGGGTAGCCACGGTGTAAAGATCTGTGAAAACGCAACAGAGCTAGCAGAACATGTGGCACATCTTTTCGATGAATCGTCCCGTGTCTTGTTGGAAGAGTATCTGACCGGGGAAGAGGGAACCATCACAATCATGCCACCGTCAGAAGAGCCGATCTCAGGTTTCGAGTCTACAGATCGGCAATCTAGCCATTGGGCGTTGCCTCCTGTGACCCGCTTCAACCATGTGGATGGGATTGCGCCATATAGCGGTAATATTGCGGTGACAGTGAACTCGCGCGCAGTGACTGCGGCGGAGATGGAGGCGGATCCTGCTTACGCGGATATCATGAAAGAATGCGAGACTGTGGCGGGGCTTTTAGGGACAACTGCACCGTTGCGCATTGATATCCGACGATTCACAGCGGGATCCAAGTTTGCCTTGTTTGATATCAATATGAAGCCGGTATGTTTGGTCGACTCGTCTTGCCCTATAAATGCGACTCTGATTAACTTTCGGGGAAATACTGACTTGACGGTTGGCGCAGAATATCACCGGGCCTGGACGTCCTGGTCGCGATGATCAGTTGAGCCTTATGGGCCTTGCAGCTGAGAGTATGGGTGTAGATTATCTTACTTTTCTGCAGTCTGTGCTTGGATCGGCGCAAGGGCTTGGGCACCTGCGGCATTACAGTAGTACGCTTGGCAACTCGGCCGAATAAGAAGGAAGAGAACGAAATCAATGGGAACGAAAAGGAATGAGAATAAAAAGAAAACTGCGAATTACAAATAGAGATCCAAGAATTACAAATAAGGTCCGAGAATATGGGGGAAAAGTACGTGAAGTGTGCTTTCTTTTCTGAAGCCTTTGTTCTGACTCGATGCCCTACAATCAAGTGAAACCATAGAAAATTTGGCTGTACTATCACTTCCCCACATCTCGCGTTTGGTCATCGTTTATTCAAATCACAGCGATGAAAATAAATCAATGTATCAATCATATGTATAGGTCTGTTCTGTAAGACACGTAACAAATATAATGGAATCGTTGCATTATCTTCAGGGTCAAACTAATCTAGAAGAAACCAAATACCCGGTCCTAGCCTTCGCCTTTTACCAATAAGGGAAGGTGCCGAAGACGACTAAGGAGTTTTTTCCCAAATAAATCCAAGAAAGAAAAAATGAACGAATTAAATTAACAAAAAGCAAAGAAATGAACACCGGAAACTCCACAGCCAAAATCCAATAACGACTTTCCATCCGACCCGTCTAATCACATCGCTTGCCACCTCCCTATATCCATTATTGTGATATCAAATTTTTGAGAGGTAAGCGGCTGATGACTAGTCAGCCGGGGGATCAGCTAAGGTTTATCAAAGTCAGCAATTGGCTTGGAAAGGTAATGGGAGGGGTAGATGTCTCGGACCCAGGAACATGGGATAGGGAAAGTGGATGAATAAGCAAAGCCAAAACTAAGCGTAAAGAAAAGACGGACCCACTTGGTCATTATGCCACAGTAATAATTCCAGAATCAACAAATTCTTTGGTAACGATACCATTTGGCGAGGCTGTGGCTAGCATCACGCGCAATCGGTACTTGCCCGGTGTCGAGATAGCTAGACTAGTGAACTTCGCAGAGCCGCTCATTGCACTGTCGCAAACACTTGTTGTCAGGCTACCAGTAAGCCCTGTCGCGGCGCCAGTGCCAGCTTCATTTCGTAGTGAGGCATTGAGCACGAGGGCATGTACACTTTGAGATGGTGTGCCGATTGGGCGCACCGACACTGTCACGGGGAGAGTGAAAGGTTGGCTAGGGCGCACGGAGGCTGGTGGGGCGACTTCAAATGAGAGGCTGAACTCGCGGGTAGCCATTTTTATTGAAAGGCCGACTGAATGTGGCGTAATTATAATTGAGGAAGATTGAATAGTGAGATAGGGTGCGATATGGCGTCTTCAAGCTTCACGAGATCTATCTTGAATAGGTTGAGCACCAATGGACGAGAAAGATTGAGATATAAGTAGTATATCCGGAGATAGGGGTTGAGAGAAGTAAGAAGAGTAGTTCGAGTAAGTGGTCCAAGGGGGTCAATGCTTTGGGGGATAGAAGGGATTGAAGTAGAGTACTAAATGATCTGAGATTGTTTGAAAGAATTGAATTGAGAATCATCATGAAAAGAAGGTTTCTTTTGGGTTCATATAGATTCCGGCAGCAGCCGAGACCTCCGATATTGTAGATCCCTAGGATCCATATCTTAGATTAGGTATTGGGTCGCTATGCACACTAGTTGCCACCGGCAAAAGTACCACGCGATGAGCGCATAAACAAGATGTGACCAGGTTCCTGGGATCGGGGACCATCAAGGCAGCCGTAATACCAAAAGATCACAAATGTGAATTCAGAAATAGTCGATAAGACCAATAGAAATAAAGAAATTAAAGAAAAAAAGAAGAGATCATCCGGCCGAGTTGGAGTTCGCTTGGCAGCTGCAGTATCCTTGCTGCAGCACGTTCCGGCAAAAGCAACACGAACAGTGGGGGGAGGGGGGAGCTATGCTCTGGTGTTTGATCGACAAGTGCAGGGGGGAAGACTAGATCTGAGAAGGTCCAAGGATGCGCTGCAGGATGATCTGATGCTAGCGAGTGGATCAGTCTGGAGCAAGTAATCTGTTCTCCACACAGGACATCCTTTTGTCCTTTTATGCGAGCTGACCAAATCTTCACCCAGGAACAGCCCTGTGCAGATTGACACGCGGCTTGGCATGCACGATTGACGTTCCAAGGTGCAGGGGAAAGACGAACATGGGTAGAGTGGGGACCCGAGAGGGGTTCACTAGGGTTGTTTTCTTTGTTGTTTTTCCAATAGTTCGGTGCACGGATCCGCTAAATGTTCAAGAGCAAATCCCGCTTGGCTCTTTCCAAGAACCGTCCGGCCCGTCGCAGCTGTCATAGGGTCCTTGGGGGCATTAGTGGCGTGAGACTATGGACTGCCGCTTGCCTCACTTTCAAAAGTTCATGGTCTAGTTTAACCGCATGGGTCATATCATAATTAGGGCATATTCACCAATAGCAATAAAGGTAGGAGCTGCAGGCTCGATCGGATCAAGGGAGGAATAGAGCAGACCGCAAGATTCATTGCAGGAATCAAGCCTCCCCAAAGGAGCCTGCAAGCCACACCTAACGGTGAACTGTGGCAAGTGGACCATGAGTAAGCGGTCTCCATCCTGTCGGGCTCCCCGAGACCTTATTTACGAAAGCCTCCAATATTGCAGCTACCGGTAAGTTCTTGCCCTCTTGAGCTAATATTGTATCCAACTGTTCGAGATTCAAAAGCTGTTGCCTGGGAGTGCGACAAAATAATTTTTAACGAAGATGACAGATCCTATCGATGAGATCACACTAGCCACAGTCCTTCAGCATGGTCAGCCTCACCCTTGGCCCGTCGGGTCCGCGAGAAAGGTCGAGACCACTCTACTAGCTCCGCTTGGGAACCATTCTGTCCAACCCAGGGAAATCCTGCACGCACCATGTGTGCGCTAGATCACTGGACTAGGATCGCAGAATAGTTACTGGTCCACGAGGGAAGAAGCTTCCACCCAGATGCGTGTCTGTGGGTTCCTTGGCGGCGATCCACCCCAAGATACTGTAATGGTGCTGGACTGGACGATCAGTTGCCAATCTGACACGGACCAGGAACTAGTTTCCAGATTTGTCCCCGCAGCGGGTGATGCAATTTCTGCTTACAAAGCTGCTTAACGCCGATTATCAGGGTTTCCACGATGTAAACCCGACGGCAAGATCGTCGTCTCGAACAGGTTCATGACGTTTGACAAGTGCATTATACTTCAAAAGCCGAGACAGGTCGCAATAAAAAGAAAAGGGCGAAAAACCAACCTTGTTTTGCAATAAATTATTTTGGGGACCTGCAGTGTCGATCACATATGGTTATGTCCTAGGGGTTCGTTCTAGTCACGACGGCAGTCAATAGTCGCACCGCCACAGCACCAGCCGCATTTTAGTGTGGCTAAAGCAAGGAGTGGCTGGTGAGAACTGTGGCGGTGTAGGACCAGGTTACCCAATGCGGAAGGCACTATCGTCATCTGATGCCTGAAGCATGTTTTCGTCTCCATTTTGTCTTTGTTTTCTTCAGGAGACCCGCTACAAATCCCGTTCTATTGCCTCCAGCATGGATCATCCTTGGCTTAAAAGAGCGGAGTGCAGAAAATGCCCAAACTTGAATCTTCCTTCATGTGATAGTCACCCAAGACCTTCACCGTTTCGATTCTTGTTGCCTGTCTCAGGTCGATCTGGGGTCTTTAATGCGAACAAATAATATGATATGTCACTTTGATATCATTACAAGAACACAACCCGGGTGAAAGGATGTATTCGTCATGGCATGATCAAAGTGGAAAGAATATCACATTCTTGCATGTCTAGGGTTCCATGCAAAGTGGCCACTTGAAGAATAAAGAATACAATTGGTCTAACTTCCGTCTAGTATCAGTCAAGTCCAAAATATATCAATAAATTTCCATAATCAAACACTCCCTCCCAAGATCGAAGACAAAATCCCGAGGACTTTCACCGAAGTTTTTCACCGCTTGTCAATACCATAAGTTGTACAAGAAACAGTACCCCTTGATCAAAGCAGCCAGCAATGGGTACCTCAAATGCTCGAGAAAAGTCTTATCATGAAAAGTCATCATGCGTAGAGCAAATTTGTCAATTGTACTCCGCGGTGTGCCATCAGTAAACATCATCCAGTTCAACATATCCTTCGTATGAGCAGCTGTCCGCTCTGCTCTCACAAAAAGATCGTTCTCAAAAGTCCTAATCTCAGCCAAGAGTTTCTGAGTAGGTGCTGATGAGCCAGTTGCTCTGAGAATCGCCTGTGACAGCATTAAGGCGTCTTGCATGCTCAAATTGACCCCTTCCCCAGCAAAAGGTGTCATAAGATGAGCGGCGTCACCTATTAATGTGACACCAGGGTGATGCTCCCAGCACCAACCCACAGGAAGCATGTATAATGAACGAGCCACAGCATCCTCTCCCTTTACCACCAGATCAAGCAATTCAGGATGCCAGTCCTGAAATTCTTCCCTGATAGTCTTTTCAATGGATTCAGGGCTTTGAATGTTACATGAGCCATTCTGCATCCAGTCTTCAGACCTCTGACTCCAACAAGACGTATATAAGCTACCATCCCCAATCTGCTGGCTGAAAATTGCCCGACGATCAGACAGAGAGAACAGTGAGCCCCGATTGGTATGTTCGTAGCATTTTGGCGCTGTCTCTTTGGCATTGGGGATATTAAACATATACCCACCAACACCGGAGTACACTGGCTTCTGGGCTGACAGCATTTTGCGAACTTTGCTCCAGGCACCATCAGCACCCACCACTAAGTCAAACCCAGTTTCGACACCATGGTCAAAGATCAAATTGTGGTCTTCGTCGATTGCACGCAGGTGGCAGCCCCATCGAATCATATCTGAGGGGAAAGAGTCCAGCAGAATCGTGCGGAGGGCTGCCCGGTCGATTTCAGGACGGCCGCGAGACGAATCTTCCTCCGCACCGGGAAGACGGACATATTTTCGGAGTTTTTTGTCACAAATAGTTACGGCTTCTCCGTCGTATCGAGCATGTTTCGTAAATTCCTCCCACAACCCTGCTTTTTCAAGGGCCTTGAGACCTGTGTCTGGGTGCAGATCTAGAGGTAGGCACTAGGAAGCCCGGGAATAATACACATAGCTCGGTAGGTACCTGAGCGGATAGACCGCTTCAAGAGCCCTAACTTTAGACGGTTTGTTGCGCAAAATTTCTGGAGTTAAGGCATACCGTGCTCGGAGTCGGGGTGTCGGAGCCGACTTTCGGGGTTTTACTAGCGCTTATGTAATTTTGTACTTATCTTTTAACATCAGAGACTTTAATTTTTCAAATAAATTCACGTAGACTAGATTAATTTGAGCCTTGAAAATGCCACGGTTATTTGTGTCTGTAGGAATTTGATTCAGATTAGGATCTTCTTTGGTTTCGGTTGTAGACTTAGCCGACGGGTAATATGCACCCTCATCGGATTGTTACAATATCTTGGGTATCGTATAACTCTGAAACATGATAGGATCAGCTTTTATGAGAAAGTTTCAGCTTGCTGGTAGCTGTTGCAATTGGGCCAGGAAGTCCGTATCCAGGTCTCCATCGTAGAAACCCAGATTTTGTGCGAAAGAAGGCTCTTGTCTGGGAATTGGTTAGTAGGTGAACAACAGCAACTAGGGGGATTGAGAAGTAATTACCTGCTGGTAGGAAATGAGACGACCATTTCCTCAAACAAGGCATCGTATATTTCAGCGTCGCCTGTCCTTGCAAGAGAGTGCGATGTTGGGAATTCGGCGGTTGCCGAGAGACTTGGCATACCCATGACTGATAATGATTGTTGAGGCTGGAAGGCAGTCAAGCTAGTCGAATTAGTTATATCTTCCATGCTAGGTGCCGGCACTGAGCCATTCAGGCTTCCTGGTGGCCGCATTCTTTGTTCGCTTGAGGGCATGGGGGTCAAATATTGAAGATTATCACTCCAATCGTAATTGGCTGTCTTGAGAGGACGCAAATGTTTGGAAATGCGATTTTGCAATTCTTCCTTCTCGGGAAGGTCTGAGAGATTGAGACACTTTTGGCATTGGAGTGCAAAGCAAAGGGTGAGCGGCGAGGAGCCGACTGTGCCGGTCGTCTCACGATAATGATCAAGGGTGTCGAGCAGATGATGAATGGTGCTGACACATAGATCTTTGATCACGGGCGAGACTGGCTCAAACTTATGAAACAATGAAATTGTTGTGAATGAAGATGTAAGGTGAAGAATCAGAAGAGGAGGACTGGCATGAGATCGTCTTTTGTAGGAATGGCTTCGTGAAATTATGCTTTTTATCTGTCGTAAGTCTTCCAGAAGATCTGCAAAGCGAGAGTCATCCAAGGGTTGATATAATATTTGGCATAAGTTTTGCATGAGCTGCTGGACAAGGTTGAACGTGCTTAATGCTCGCAATGGAGTGGACGGTATTCTCCGTCCTGCGGAGCCCGCACCAGGACGAGAAGGAGACCAAACATCCCACTCTTCCACATCATCTTCTTCCACCGGCCCACATGCTAATTGCTCTTCTTGAGAGAAACTAGGAGTCCGGCCCAGCAAGGCCGACAAAACGTTGTCTAGAAGGACACACCCATTATAGGTGTGACTCAAGCGACCCTTCTCTGTTGCCAAGGATAAGGTGGCTAGCATCCTCGTGGCTTGGCCAACGACTAACCATGCTTGGCTATTATTACCCATGGCGATATGCACTAGAACAATAATCAACATGGCTTGGATGTGACCCAGGTCCAGATTGTCCCAATGCGCCAGAATCTGTTGCTCAATGGCGAGTTGAAGAGAAAACAAGTGGGGCGCTCCATTGTTAGAAATTCCTTTCATAGCAGATGTATAAATAATCAACGACCACAGTACCAGGCGAGATGAAGAGTCTCCAGAGGTATGGCCATTGCCCTGGTGCATGGCGCGTAGGACCGAACGGCGTTCAAGTATAGGAAACCAGCAATGGGTATAAGCGAAGTAGAATTCCACCAGATCTGATGTATTGTCTGGTATCTGAAATCCAGTAAGTCCTTGAGGCTGTATTGATTTCGAAACCTCTTGAAAGGTCTGAGGTATGCTGTGTTCTGGATTTGACAGTGTGGTGTCATGAACGTCCAGAGGCTCGTCGTCGTCCCGCGGCTCTGCCGGTTCCCACTCCTGATCATCGAAAGCACCATCCTCGGGTCCAAAGGTGAGTAATTGGGATACATCTCGGTGGAGCTTGGACTTTCGCCAAATTGAAACCGACTGGCGCCCAAGCTTGCTCGTGAGGAAGTTGTCATTCCCCCGCAAATCTCGGAGTAAGTTATGCATTGTACTCTCGCTGTTCGGAACATGTTTCAGCATTAAACCCAGAAACATCTCCAGGCTGCGCACGTAGCCAGATGGAAGCCCACGTCGACCTCCACCTGTCTCGTAGGTACAGGCCCGATTGGCCTGGCTGCAGATGGAGCATACGGGCTGTTCTCCATCACACTTGGATTTGCGTCGACGGCACTGATCACAGGCGCGGTAAATACGCTGCCGCTTCAACGAACGTGGGTTCGACATCCTAACGCATCTCAGTACTAAATCCAAGCATATACATCTGCGCATTAGGAATCCTCGGGATCAAGCGTGGCGATAGTCACGTGATCGGTGATGACTTTAACCGAAAGGTTACAATGCGACAATTAACGACAATGCGATGGCAAAGACGGTGAATATCTACTACGATTCACACGCGATAAGGATTGTATTTGATTGAAGCTGTTGATGAAATGATTTCCCTTAGACAACAATTGTTCCTCTCATACACACTATCCTGAACCTCCACCAACCTCACCAACTTTTTGGCAGCCGATTGGAGATTCTTCGGCTTCATTTTTTCCCTTAAGAGAAGTAGTACATGCTCTCTAAAGGATTGATGTTAAAATGAGTCCCGTTGTAGCCTCGAATCCCCGCGGAAATCCTGAGAATTCTCCCTTGAGACCTCCAGATGAGGCTCTGAGCTTTCATCGACACTATGATCCACAAGCAACGCTTTTGCTCGTAGGGTTCTTCGGTGCCGGCAAGAAAACCCTGGGTATCATAGCATCAGTCGCCTTGAGGCGACGCTTTATAGACTTCGACTTCTATTTTAAGCAAGAAGTTCAGTCCTCACCACAAGAATTCATTGCTCGCCGCGGACTGGCCCAATATCGCGAGATCGAGCTCAAGATATCGCGGGATCTTCTCACTAAATATGATAGAAACTGTGTCATAGTTGGCCTCGGAGGATTTGCCAGCCGCCCTCAGCAGACGCTTCTGGCCGAGTTTGCTCAACATCATCCAGTTGTCTATGTGAGGCGAGATGAACAAGACCTGCGGCAATTTGTCACCACCAGCCCCGAGAAATTCGATCGAATATTCGAATTGGGCAACGAGTTTTTCGAGTCGTGCTCCAACTTTGACTTCTTCAATCTCACTCAAGGACAGCCTGATCAGGCGCTGCCCGCGTACCTCAAACTCAAGGAAACGGAGCGTCTAGTCGTGGCATTTCTGCGTCGGATATTTGGAAGCTTCCTCCCTCAGACATTCTCTGCAGACCTGCTCTCTCCGGCACATACCTTTTCCTTGCAGGTTCCTCTAGCCTGGCTTGATGAGATAAGTCCAGACTTGGGCTTACTAGAGACTGGTGCCGATGCTATCGCCCTATTAATAACGCCCTCCGACATACATTCGACTCGACTAGCATCTAGGCTTTCTCAGCATATAGCAACTTTGCGGAAGCATTCCCGGGTTGCAATAATCATCGACATGGCGGCAATCACTTCCAAGTCGCTGGATTCCAGGACCCATGAGAAGATACTGGAAACGATTGTCCGCCTTGCTCCTGACATCCTTATTATACCGCTCGACTTCAATACCGAAATTCTGGAAAAGCTGAACTGCTCGAAGGGATTTACAAAAGTCATTGCTTATTTCCACGAAAAAGCCCCAGTGGGATCGCAACGAAATTCTCTCACACCTTTGATTCTCCGTGAACGGACGCGATCATTACGAGTAGATGCAATTCGCATCACTGGAGAATCTGAATACCCAGAAGATAATCTTCAATGTGTTCCATTTTTTAAAGAAGCGGTCGCCATCATGGATGTTCCTGTCGTTGCATATAACACAGGACCCGTCGGCCGATCCTCGATCTGCTTGAACCCTACTTTGTCACCAGTAGTCCTGCCATCTATGCAGCCTGATGGACTCACCGTGCAGCAAGCACAGCAGGCAATGACAGCATTTTTTCTTCTGCCCAAAAAAAAGTTCACCATCTTTGGACAGAGTGTGAAGTACAGTCTTTCGCCAGAAATGCATCACGCAGCGTATGAATATTGTGGACTACCACATACCTACGACACCTTCCAGGCCGATAATATTTCCGCGATTCATGGGGTTTTGAATGATGCAGACCGTGGTGGTGTTACCATCTCTCTTCCTTTTAAATCTGCAATCCTGCCTTTCATTGATGTGATCACCCCGGATGCAGACGATATGCAGGCTGTGAATACAGTTGTAATAGAGCAAAAAACTCAGTCTGATGGGTCACGGGTCACCATACGGAAGGGTTATAACACAGATCACATCGGAATTAGAGATTGCATCGATAAACATCTCTCTCCAGCCAACGCAGTGCGGGATGGAACCACAGCCCTGATCGTAGGCGCTGGAGGGATGGCCCGCGCAGCGATCTATGCTTGTTACGAGCTCGGCGTTCAACGCATTTTCATTTATAACCGCACACCCGAAAATGCGCAAAAGCTCGCAGATTATTGGAACAAGTGGGCTCATTCCAAGCCTGGTGTCAATTTACAAGTTGATATCCTCCGGTCAGCGGATTCCTGGCCTGCAGATCTTCGTCTGCCAACCATTGTCGTGCCCTGCATTCCACCCTTCCAAATCGGTAGTGAACACCCGGTGGTATTCCAAATTCCAGATCAATGGCTTGAGAGCCGGACAGGTGGAGTCTTTGTCGAGGTAAGTTCATTTCCCACCTTTATATTCCGAATCAAAGATTGACCCTTAACCAGGTTGCTTATGGCCCTTTCAAAACGGATTTAATGAAGCAGATGCTCCCTCGTGCATCGAAAGGCTGGGTCGTCGTGAGTGGGCTGTTGGTTCTTGTTGAACAAGGTATCGCCCAGTATGAAATATTTACGAAGCGGCCTGCACCCGTTCATGTTATGCAGCGTGTTATCCGGGAACAATCCATCAAATATGGATTTGTTCATCAATGAAATTTCTTATTGCGATATTGGATGATTTATCTTGTCTTCGAAGTCCAAAGCCAAACTTGAGATAGTCATAGAAGATATAAACTCAAAATAAGACTTTAGATCTAAATTCGTCAGTAGGTTGTCAGCTTTCGGATATGATCATGACCGAGAGCGAGCGTAAGGCTTTAGCCTACCCGAGACTAGAGATTCAACACCACATTAAAGACATCTAATTCCTGCTGAACATATTTGGCCATACGCTCCATTAAGCAACACCACTTTATTAATAATAAGATGACCTACCAACCGGCTATCATGAGTGCGTCTCTCGGGCGCGCTTGGTTGCACGACCTGGACTACAAGTTGGATCAAGCCGCCAAAGCGGGGTTCAAAGGCATCGAGATTTTCTACGAAGACCTGGACTATGCCGCACGCAAGATCTCAGGGAACGATACACCAACTTCAGAGCATATTCTGGAAGCGTCGGAAAATGTGAGCTCCGCGTGTAAAGGCCGGGGTCTCGAAATCATAAGCCTGCAGCCATTCCTGTTCTACGAGGGTCTCAAGGACAGGGATCAGCATGCCATTTTAATCGAGAAAATGGAGCTCTGGTTGAATATTGCAAAGATTCTCAACACCAACACAATTCAAGTTCCTGGCAACTTCTTGCCGGCAGAGCAGTTGACTGGCGACTTTGATGTTATTGCCGCCGATCTGCGCCAAATCGCAGACATGGGTGCAGCGGTTGATCCCCCAGTGCGCTACGCATATGAAAATCTGTGCTGGAGTACACATGTTGACACATGGGAGAAGGTGTGGGATGTGGTCAAGCGTGTTGATAGACCCAATTTTGGGATGTGTTTGGATACTTTCAACATTGCCGGCCGGGTATGGGCGGATCCGGCTTCTCCGACAGGCAAGACGCCCAATGCAGATGCCGAGCTCAAGGCATCGATGGAGAGACTAGTAAAGGACGTGGATGTTTCCAAGGTTTTCTTTATTCAGGTAGTTGATGCCGAGCGTATGGAATCGCCTCTTGTTGCAGGCCATCCCTTCCATGTGGATGGTCAACCAGCCCGGATGAGCTGGTCGCGAGCCGCGCGCACTTTCATGTATGAGGAGGATCGTGGGGCCTATATGCCAGTGGAAGATGTGGCCAAGGCAATTATTCATGGACTGGGGTACAAAGGTCCTGTTTCGATGGAGCTGTTCTCCAGGACCATGGCGGAAGAAGGCCAGCACGTCCCCGATGAGCATGCGATTAGGGGTATGGCGTCGTGGAAGAAGTTGGCACAGAGATTGAACTTGAACTAGACAGCAGTAAAAGCAACATCAGCAGTAATGAAAACATTTTCACATATGTGCAGGTTATTTGATTCGTGCGCTCAGTACAATTTGAGATCATCAGTAATGTAAATTTGCATTTATACATCAATAGTCTTTCCATCCAGCCAGTCCTTGGACAGCTTATACAAAAGGTCATGCTTCTCTCCGCATACAGTTCCTACATGTCGCCTGTGTCCAGGCATATCCTTCAACACCTTTACACCCATAGTGAGCTCTTGGCAGTAGGCCAGACACTTATACCCTTCAGGGTAAGAGTTGAGCTTCTCTTCGTCCACCTGGGGGATCTTGTTCGGGTTGACAGGAATGAGCTTATCCTTCTCATACCAGTGTCGGACAAACCGAGCACCCCAACGTCCATTGACCTTTTCAAAGCAGAACCAGAACCGGCAATCAGCCTCGGCGTCAACGTCACAGCCGTCAATGGTGAATCGCTGAGTGATGGTGGCCTTCAGTTTGGTGATGGCACGAATTCCATCAGGTGTGATATCAGTTGTCACTCCGTGGCAGCGGTGCATGATGAAAGCGCCCTTGTCCATGCCAGCCTTGGAAACTTCCATGAACTCCTTGAAATGGACACGGCCAGACCAGGTAGTATAAACATGCGCGTCTTCATGAAAGATTGACTCAAAGTTTTCCCATTCACAAGCGTCACTGTATCATCTTGTTAGAAAGTGAACGCCATATAATGGAATCGATGTTCGTACCGGTAACATGGCCATCCCTCTGCGAGTTCACGCAGCTTAGCGCGCTCGAGGACTAGGTCATCCGGGCCATTGTTGCGGATGGCGTTTTGGGGCCAAGTGCCCGCAGGTAGAGAATGTAAGTCGACCATTTTGTTTATTTGACTGAAGCTTTTTTTTTAACTGATGACAAGAAACCACGGGACTATATACTCCAATTTGGCGGGGATATCCGAAGATCGGATTATCCGCTGCCGGTAAAGACAGTCGGCAAATGTCATTACCGACAAGATGCATCGCCACCCCGCATCTACGGATCAAAGGGGTGACGTGGACTCTTCGGCACTGGTCAAAGTCACGCATTGGTAAATCAAGTCTGCAGCCATAGGCTATTTATAATGAAAAAGCTTGAGTGTGAGATAACAAGAAGTATATATGTAAGTTTTATACTATTGTTTTCTCAACCTTCTAGAAGTTGATGCCCTTGCTTTCTTCCGCAGCCTTCAAAAGAACATTCCAAGCGCCCTGTTGGTCCATTTTCTTACAGAGTTCCTCTCCGGCCCATAACCGCCATTGCTCCTCAATCTGGTATCCAATAACATGTGTTCCTTCAACGCAAGGCCATCCCAACTGCTCTGCCAACTTGATCATCCGGGTTCTTCTCGGCTTGAAACACATATCAAGCAACACTCCCTTCTCTGCTCGCGAAAGGAAATGCTTCAACATAGAAGCGACTGTAAACTCAGATGGTGACTTGGGTTCAAGATCCGGTACAGTGCCGATAACATAGTAAGGACTCAACAGTTTCTCTGCTTGCTCTAATGTCTTGACATGAATGATGCTCGGGATATTTGGGAGCTTCCGTGAATCCCGGATGAGATTGACAACCTCCTCCTCATCTCGATTCAGGACGTAGATCGTGGGACAGTTAAGGTGCTCTGTAAGAGCGTAGACGGCCGCGCGGCTTGCACCTCCAGCTCCAACGATCAAGGCCGATGCGGGGAATGTTACAGACGGCCTTTCCTCCTCCAAGCCTTTCTCGAGCAGACAGCCTTTAATTCCTCGCCAGTCAGTGTTGGTACCACAGAGCCGTCTGGGACTGCCATCCTTGTAGAAAACGTTGTTGCATGCGCCAATGATGGTCGCTAGCTCATCCGGCTCACAGAGATGCTCCATGATTGTATTCTTGTAGGGCATCGTGACAACAAGACCAGCAGTGGTAGGGTCCTTGGCTAGATTGACGAGCTCTTCTGCTGTCGGGCACTCAGTTGCATGAAATGTCCATGGAAGACCGAGCGACTTAGCAATATAGTTGTGCATGTCTGGTGCAATTGAATGTGTGACACCAACTCCAACAAGGTGGAGGGCCATATCTTGTTGTTGCGACATAGTTTCGATAACGCGGACTCTGCGTATGGAGGCAGAACAGTTGATATTTTTTATCCTCTTTATCTCAATAAGTTGACAGGAGAAGCTTCTCAATGAATTGGAGATGGAATTGAGAGACGGAATTGATCATATCCGATATGGACATCTTAGACGATCCAGCTAGTTGACATCAAATCAAGGCAAAAAACATAACCGAAGCGGAGTCATCATTAAGAACGTTTCTATTGAATATTGGAATGAACATGGTGTAGCATACATACAGACCCTGAATTCCTGTGCTGGAAATGTTCTCAACTCCATCTTCACTCCTGCACAAATCCCTATGTTAATAATGCCCCAGCAATGCACTCCAGTCGATATCAGTTCGCCAACGTACTTCCACATCTTCGGCAGTGAAATCTCATTCAGCATTTCACCAACTATTCACAATGCGGGCTTCAAACATTATGATCTTCCTTTCACCTACGATATCCGCGAATCGCCGAGCATCGACGAAGTCGCAGGATTGATTCTCAACAAGCAATTCGGTGGCGGAAGTGTGACTATGCCACACAAATTACACGTCCACAAGTACTGCACCGAGCAGACTGACACAGCCCGACTAATCGGAGCGATCAATACACTTGTGATCAAAGGCAGTGGTGAGAATCGCGCGATTATTGGCGACAATACCGATTGGTCCGGACTACACACGATCATTGCCAATTATTCGACAAAGACAAGGCAACAGCCAAATGTTGGACTAGTCATCGGTGCCGGAGGCGCATCCAGAGCTGCATTGTACTCCATGCATAGAGCTGGCATCCGACACATCTACATCATCAATCGTACAGTGTCAGTGTCCGAGAAAGTGAAGAAGGATTTTGCTTCCACTGTGAATGTCACCATTCTTCCAAATCTGCAGAATCTACCTCGCATGCCCGATGTCATCATTGGCACTGTTCCTGCTCACGTAACAATCGAAGATCAATTTGCCTCGATTTTCGGGCCCCGAGGTCTTTGCATTGAGATGTCTTACAAGCCCAGACAGACACCACTTTTGAATGTGGCACAAAGACATGAGGGCTGGGAAATCGTTACTGGAGTCGAGGTACTTCTCTCCCAGGCATACGACCAATTCCAACTTTGGACTGGTCGTGAGCCACCGAAGGAGAAGATGGTGGAGGCTGTTGCTGAGCATGAGCGAGAGCAAGCACGAAAGGAAAAGAACGCAATGCGATAGAGAAGGGTTTTGATCTAGAGAGCTTCGTTACATGAACAATATCAGACCCATTTCAGGAAAATCTCACCACTCCTTTGATCTCCTTGATAATGAAGTCGTATCTGTTGGAAACCATGATAATTGAGTGCAATGTTTATAGATCCCGCGGTATCTGGGAAGGTAGTGGAACGTGCTTTCCCTCCTTTAAAAAAGCTGACAATGGTTTTCGCATCGCTATTCAAATTATCATCAGGTTTTCTTCTGTACCCATGTTTGATATCCTTACTCGTCGCCAAGAGAACTATGCGCCCCGCAGATGGCGCCTGTATCGATTCGACAGTACCACTCATTATCTCCTCCTCGCCCTCAAAAAGGACCATCCACCAAACCAATTGAAACGGATGCTCGCATTGATCCCATAGTATTCGTGGAGCTGTTTGCGGGAACCTTTGGCATATTCATTCTCTCTGTTCTGATTTGGAAGGCGGGGAATTTCATTCGCTCATTTACAGAAGACAAGGTGCTGGCAGAAGGGAAATCACCACACACTCGATTTGCAAAGACTTGGTATGGCTGGGTCACCCTTGAAACACGCGAAAGAAACAGACTGTTCTTTCGCAAATTGTTCGCCAGGGTACGAGACTGGATGGCTTGGGAATCACCGAGAACGGATTATCAGTGGATATGGTGGGACCCCGGCCAGGAGGCGCTTCAGGCTCGACGCAAGGCTCAGCGACGGGAGAGGTGGTTGCCAAAATTCCTGTTAAGCTATGAATCGCCTCCAGCAGATGCGATCTGGAACCCGGGCCCACAAGCAGAGTGTCACGGCGCATTGTTCCCAGTGCCAGAGCACGATCAAGGTCTGTCGGCAGACATGGAAACGGTTCCCGTCGAGGAAAACGTCAATTCGTCTCCAAAAAACCCCTGGAGGACATCCGGCAAGAAGGAGAGCATGGGGATGTTGGTACCACCAGAAGCACATAGTCACAGTGATTCAAGATTCAGCGCTGAGACATCAGAAGAAGGAATGGAAAGCATTGTTTGGTGTGACGCAAGAACAAACATCTGCTCATCAACTGCATCACTTAATGGTGGAAAATACCCCATCCTGGAAGACACTTTTGTTGCTAAGCGGGAGGCATCTCAGTGGAGACATTCGAGTCGCAATAAAGGTACCTTGCATCTGGCACAACTTGATGGCCCCAGCGGGCCCGGAATAGCCAAACATCCTCCAGCTGTATACAAGGGTAACGAGGCCTCGAGAGACCGTTCACGACGAACAGCAGGTACATTGCGCCGTGGACATGCTCGGAGACATCGGATCTGGGCCGCAAAAATGCAGGTGCAAGCTGCGACGTCGTTCCTGAATGATCTGCGAGACTCGTCTGGTCCTCCTGGAACCCCAATCACCGAGATGCTGGCTAGTCTGATCTCAGAGCATGGTATCTCAGAGCAGACATTTTCAGATGGCATCTCAGAAGCACACATGAATAAAGGCAGCCAGCAGATGAAAAAATCTATTGGGAGAATCTCCCTTGCATTCCGACCAAGCATTGTGAGCAAAGGAATTTCATTTTCTGAAGATATCCCTACCAATGGAAGAACGCCCTTCTACCATACCTTACCGTCGCGGCTAAGCCCAATAATCGAGGTAACGCGGGACTCGGGGAATATACACTCTGTGCATGTTCCGCAGACAGCTTCTGGCAGACGCACCGTCTTTGACATCTGGCAAGACCAGGAAAGTCCTCACTCAAGATACTCAGAACATCGACTGTCGCAGTATCAAGCTTTAGAAGACAGCAGCATAGCTTGTGAAGAGCTGAGCGACTGGGAACTGAGGCTAATAGATAAGTTGGATCGAAAACTTGTATGGGTCTTCAACGAAACGACACCTGGTCAAAAGCCGTACCACTTCACTTTGCTCGCAAATCACTGGTTGAACCGAGAGACATGGGTAGTGATTGACCCCGTCTCAAGAGTGTCCACAGATGCACGAAGAAATAACGGCGACCCACGCTACAATGTCCCCTACCCAGAGCCAGAATTTGGCAACAAGCCAAAGTACCCCGATGTTGTACGGAAAAAAGCCCATACGCCCCGAATTGATTACTGGCGCGCCGCGATGAACCGGCAGAGAAAGGCTTCTGGAGTTCCGGACATCATACGCCCAAGGGAACTATATGAGGACTCTGCGGAAGAACCACCGGACGGTCATATTGACCCCGCGTGCTGGATCTTGCCAAAGCCGCCGCAGGGATTCGAGATGTCAACGAAGCAAAAGAATGCATGGTACGAGGGAGGCGCAGGATGGCAAGAACAACTTGACGACTGGCAGAGAGTTCGTCGAGGATATCGTCTTCGTAAAGCCCTGTTTGAGGGCCGAGTCAATCGGAATCGAGTGAAAGAGGTTGCCACAAATGTTAACAAATATTGTCGCCGTGAATCGCGTAAGGTGATCAAGCGGGATGAAAAAAAAAGCCACAACCAGCCTAAAAGTGTTAGGAGTTCGCTAAAGGCGGCCCTTGTTCATTCGTTCCTAGTATAGAGGAAAGATCTGGCATGTGATCTCTTCTTGTCTGATATCGTTACCTACGGTGACCGTTTTTCTATCTATAGATTCTTCCCGAGGGCCGATTGCTGAAGTGACATTCTTCTTTTGAACGATAATTGAATTGTGAAAAAATTGATCTAAGCGCTGGGTAATAGAACATGTGTAAATGGCGGCATCCTCTGTCAGAGCGGCCGCGTTTTCGCAATTGCCAAAAACTCCGGAAATCCTTCCAATGTTGTTTGAGCCCCGGCCATTGAATGCAAGAATAGCGGCGGGGCATCGGGTGTATAATACAAATCTGACTCTGAGTTCCCGTATTGGCGAGCCGTAGAGGGTGTGTCGGTTGTAAAAGTAGGGGAGGTCGTTTCGACGATAACTTAGAATCCAGGAGGGTTCACACGCTGGCTGACACGAGTCCACTTGGGCAGCTCTTGAAAAAAGCATAGCTGTTAATATGGCCACTGATACTCCACGAAAATATTGGAAAAATGCAATTCAGGAGCTGACATACTGTGAATGCCCTTGCGGTAGGACTTCTCCTTTTTGTCGAAGAGAGTGTACTTGTCCTTGGGCAGCATCTCCTCTTCACGGGGCATCTCCTTGTACCAACGCTCGACAGCCTTGGTGTTCTGACCATTCCGGGCTAGTGCAGCGCTGACGGTATCGACGACGCGGTCCACAGCGCGCAAGCGCTTGCGCTGCCGAGCCTTCTGAGGCGAAGAGAGGCGCCATGGGGTCTTCCTGTTCGTCGGAAAAGGTATTTGTCAGACTTTAACGCATCACGGAATGAATCGGATGTAAATCATACCAGAGAAGACCTCCGAATAGGGATTGGGTGGGCTTGAACATGTTGAGTTGATGATGCTGAGAAATGTTGAATCGGCGAAAATCGTGCTCGAAGTCGGAGTTGCAATTGGCCCGTGCGGTCGGTCGTATACTTGTAGCAACAACTTCTACTTTCGACAATTGACACCGGATCATTCTTCTATATAGGTGAAAATTTAATGTAATGAATATTGGCATGTATTATTGTATCTTTATAGCATGCTATTTACATATTAATGATCAAAATGGCATGAATCTGTGGTCCTAAACTTGCACGGTTTACCCCGGCTTCAGTCATGTGATCCCGATGGATAAACGTATTTTGCCGGGAAGTGATCTTTTGCTTTCCTCTCCTCCTTGTTCAGTTCTGTCTGAATTGGCCAGGCAAGCCGCTCCTTGACTCAAGTTGTTGTCTCTCGCCCGTCTGGGCCCGGTATATGGATTTTCTCTAGAGTCGCGTCCTTCCACTCAACACTATGGACTCCGGCGCGACGGGCGATGCCCCGTCTCTCCCTTGGCGGGCAATGTCCAACATGACGATGTGGGGTGTGGCCGGACTATGTCGCGCCTTCTTGTCGGGCTTGTGCAACGCTGATGCGCATGGTGCTGAGGCCTTCACGGAATTGCTGGACTCGAGGCGGGATCCTTCGCAAAGAACGAAAGGATTAATCACAGGTACTTCCCCAACACTACTCTTGAGTTGAGTATGCGCAATCGCTAATCACTCTGTTATCACTTTAGTATCGAACCATATCAGTGTGTACGTTTCATTTAAGGGCCTTAACAACGGGGTGCCTCGCTACATTTCAGCGCGCGGAAACAGCTAACAGCGTGTCGGAGCTAATAGTATGGACGATCCGTTGTTATGGGGAATTCTACCCCCTCGATTCTGGAATAAAAGATGGTCTTTCGGTAGCCACGATATCTGTTTCCAGACTAGGTGCGTTGGGAGAGCAGGATATTGGCTGGTGATCTATTACTTACTAGAGATACTCCGCAGACCACTGTCGTTTTTCTTCACCATGGGACAAGTGTTGCCAACACACCGTCTCCTTCATTCACCATTCGGTGGACTGGGCCAACCGGCTGTCACCGAGGCCATTCGATTATTGTCCAAGGGTCCCTTCCCCGTCGACCACCACCGCGCTACCCCCGAACGTCAGCACTACAGCCTCCAGAACGTCTGTGTTGATCCCTTCTCTGACCTGTCCGTCGCATACACAACCAACGGAGAGGATGCGCATCTAGCGCCTTCCGCATACTCATGCAATTCATACTCCTGGGTTCATATCTTCCCGGAAGGCAAGATCCACCAAGCACCGCGCAAGACCATGCGATACTTCAAATGGGGCGTGGCACGGCTCATTTTGGAGGCAAAGGAGTGCCCGGACGTGGTTCCGATGTGGATCGAAGGATTCGACAATATCATGCACGAGAGTCGAGAATTTCCCCGGTTCCTGCCTCGGCCAGGCAAGAAGGTCGATGTAACTTTTGGTCCAAAGGTCGACTCTGAAGCTGTCTTTGGGGATATGAGATCGCGCTGGCAGAAGTTGAAAACCAAGGTAGAAGCGTCGGATGCCCAGTCTCGAGATTTGCCTGTGGGCGTGCTAAGTGACGCGCTATTGCACAATAAGGAAGCTGTGGAGCTGCGCAAGGAGGTTACACGGAAGATCCGCAACCTGGTACTGGATGTACGAAGGTCCCGTGGCTTGCCAGATGAAGACCCTAAGGAGGGACTTGTGGAGACATGGCTTGAGGAAGGCCCTAAGCGAGAAGGGCATATGAAAGACGACTCGTGGATCAGAGATATTTGATCCAAAACTGTATATCAACATGTAAATAATGTACAAGATTCAATAGATTTTATGTTTCAAGCTGGCAGACCAGCGTCATAGCTTCCGATCTCGAACATCTGGACATTTCTGGAACTAGACCAATAGTTGAAGAGCGCCTGAGTTATCATAACTACTTACGGCCTTGGCTGATTATGCCCTGTTGACTTACCAGCTAGCTACGCCTCTTAAATAAATATGCTATGCAGTACATGAGTGTTCTTTGTTCTTTTTGATGTGGCCCCGGGACCCAACAGCAGGACTATTGAAAGTGGACGTCGATAATATCCTAAGTCTCATTTTTCATCAACGGACTAATCAAGTACAGTAAAATCACCTTGATTCTGTTCTTCTCCGTGATTATCTGCATATACGATTTCCGACAGAAATACACCCAATTATACTTGTCGGCACAAGCTACTGAGCGAAGCTAGAGAGAAGGGTATTTACGGTACGAAAGTGGAACGAAAGGAAGGATCGTTTCTAGATCTAGAACGCAGCCTTATAGCACATGAGTCACATGTGACTCACTGGCCCTGATACGAGACTAGGAATGTGGGGGCGATAACGATAAGGATGATCGGGTATATTGATTGTCTCATAGCCTCTTTTGCCTCCTAACATAGAACCCATTAAGTTTGCCTAGAAACTCCGGTCTCTATGCCAAAAAAGCACAGGACATCGCTATATACAAAACCAACCAACACACCACATCACACGCTCGCTTCGTCGAGAGCGAATGACAATGGTCGGTTTCAAGTTGTCAGTCCCACGAGGGGTCCGCAGGCTTCTACGGACGACTCATCCGTCAACGGCCTGATTGATCATTTGCGGCGTACGCAAGGAAATGTCTCAGGAACCTCTTCTTCCGCCTCTTCTCGTTCCTTCACATCGCAAAGATCTGTTCCACCAGCTTTGCGCGAAATCCTCGAACTTCCTGAACCTTCACAACCGCGCCCTCGACCTAACGCACGTACTCTGATCGGTGTACGCCCGCTACGTAGGGTTCCAGGTCCCCCACCACCAACAAGCTGGCTCACGGGAGACACCGATGGATCTCAAGGTTCTTCAACAAATGCCGGGTCCGATAGCATGTCCGAACATGAACAAATTCACCGTCTAGAAAGGCTACCTGGCGCTGTCTTCCCCAGACAAGACAGTCTCCAGCATTTTGTCATGGTTTCAATGGCCCGGAATTGGGCATGGCACGTGGACTATGATGGTCTGTACTTATCTCAGCTGCCTAGGCACATCAAGACGGCCCTTCTCAGCTACGTCGCTCAGCTCAGCCAGGAAGAGCCGCTGGCACCGTACACGAATGGACTAACTGCACTTTACCCGACAAGGGCAGAATATGCCAAAACTCATAGCGCGGAGTTAGAAGACGATGTTCTTGACACTGCCAATACAAATACTGCGGCTGAACGGCTTGACCTGAGCAATGCTCTAGGTCGCTGGTTATCGTTCAAGAAGCTGGATAAAATATTGCAAGTTTCCCACCCAGCAGACCTTTCGTCTGGGGATGCAACCGAGGGAAATGTACCAGATTCATGGGATAGCACCGAATATGAGACAGACAAAAGTGATATTCCTCGCTCTCTGGGCCAACAACTGCGCTTTGACAATCTCAAATACCTCTCTTTTGCGCATCCGCACAACTTTTCGGCTAACTGGCCGGAACTCGTGACCTTACTCTCTGACTTACCAACAATCACCCACCTCTCTTTGGCCTACTGGCCCTGTCCAAGCAATCATTCCCCCTCCCAGGCGCCCTCCCTAGTGCACTCTCTAGCAGACCGCAACAGCCCATCATCATACGAAGCAGCAGGAATCCTACGCCGACTCTCTCGCAGCACTTTCTGCCTCAAATGGCTAGACTTGGAAGGATGCTCTGACTGGCTCCATCTACTACCCTTGTGGACAGAATATCCCGAAGGCCTCAACGAAGCCCCTGTGGACTACGGCCCTGAGTGGAACACCTCCTGGCGAAACGTGGTTTCGCTCAACTTTGCACCTGGCTGGAATGTCAAGGTTCCAGATGCGCTCGAGGATCATATTCCAGGATCAACAGTCTCGTCTATTCTTGAGCCCGTCTTGCGTGAATATCGGCGGGATGTCAACCACTATGGGGCTAACGTATTCAGGGCCATGTCTGTATATCACTCCATCCGCGCGTATCGAGCAAATGACCGCGGGAAGGCAATACAGGCTGAGACTGGCAAGGAAGAGCTGGATCGGATGCAGGCCATTCTCAAGGGCATGCGTAGCCCTCCGGGGTAGCTTTGTTCTAACTCGTCTACAACTACTGATCCGATTCGGCGATATACTCGCATGCATAGCGTGGGTGAATGATGGTTTATGCATAGCCAAAACAAATTTATCAATCAAATGAAATTTCTGTACTCATTCCTATTTTTTTGTTCCATATAACTGTACAATGGTATCATAGCATGGATCCAAACATCCTCCAACCACTAAAATTTATCAGTATCAACTTTTATTTCCGACCCCGATTAAATGTCTTCAAAGGATCGACCCTCCCACCGGAAGACTTCTTGCCCTTGGCCTTAGCACGGTTATGATCTCTAGCCTTGCGGATTCGGTTCACGGTCGTCTTCCTGAAACCAACATATCCGACATCTTCTTTCGAGATACCCTTGCGCCCCTTGGCCGGCATCAAATACTCCGGCACGTGCTTCAAGTGTGACTGTACACGAGCGGCCCGCAATTCACCATCGTGACGCAGCTGGCGCAGCTCCTCTGGGTTCTCCTCGAAATGGCGCTTCAGCTTCTCGCTCTTAATAAGCTCTTGGCGAATCTCACGAGCACGGGCCTCCTGCACCGCAAGACGGGTGATAGCGCGCAGGGCGTCGGTCATACGGTAGCGGAAAGCATCAACCTGCTGCATTTCGAAGTGGTAAGGTCGGACCTCGTGGCCCATCTTGCCTTGGCGCTTGGTAATCTTAGCTAGGACAGTCTCATCCTTCTTGGCACTGCTAATTGAGGTCGGCTTGTGCTTGCCATATTGTTCCAGCGGGACGACGAAAGAGAGCGCCATGCCGGCCTTGCCAGCGCGACCGGTACGTCCAATGCGGTGGGTATAAGATTTCGCAGTGGATGGGAGGTCGAAGTTGAGGACACAGGCGACATTTTGGAAGTCGATACCGCGAGAGATGCCGTAGTCCTTTTCTTTGTTGGTCATCTTGCGGCGTTTCTCAGGTCGAGACTTCTTGTTGGTGGACTCCTCCTCCTCTTCGTCTTCACTAGAACCGATTTCCTCTTTCTCTTCCTTCTCCTCCTCCTTCTCCTCTTCCTCCTCGATAACTTCGGGGACCTTCTTGCTTGATTTGGCGGTTCCCATAACCTCCTGGTCGTCTGCAGCAATAATGATATCGTAGATGCCCTTGTTGAATTCCTCGACGACGTGTAGTCGGGAATTGATGGGAAGTTCTGAGTTAAGTACACAGCTCTTGATACCGAATTGTTCGAGGAAAAGCTTCACGCGGTAGCATCGGTCCACGTCGTGCACGAAAATGATGACCTTTCCCTTAACCAGCTGTAGCTTGAAAATAACATATGTGAGAAGGAACTTTTCATCTTCAGCACACTTCACCACAAATTGGCTGACTTCAGCGCCCTTCTCTTCCTTGTCCTCGAGCTTCAGGATAACCGGGCTACGGCAGAACAGACTCTTCAAAGCATCCACCTCGGAAGTAAGGGTGGCACTCATGAGAAAAGTCTGAACTCCACGTGGGATAGCCTTAGATAGGGCATTGATATCATCGTCGTATCCGTAAGACAGAACCAAATCGGCTTCATCGATCACCAAGTGTGTAAGTTTCTCGAGCGACAGAGCCGAGTTATTGACATTGGTGAGAACTCGGGTAGGTGTAGAGATAACCAAGTCCGGGAAATCGGCGAGCATAGTCCGCTGCACAGCGTCGGAAACTTTCTGGGTCAAGTTGATGGATCGGACATCCTTTCCGCAGAAAGTGGTGAAGGAGGTGACGACTTTTTGGACCTGCTCAGCAAGCTCGCGAGTGGGAACGAGGATGAGACCAGTGGTCGCTTTCAATGTGGGGTCAATCTAGTTCCATGCAATCAGTTTTTTGGTCTAAGTACTGCGGGTATCCGATTTGACTGACAGATTTTTGTTGTAAAATGGCTTGGAGGACAGGAAGAACATATGCGGCGGTTTTGCCGGAACCAGTCTTTGCACGAGCTGATCTCTGTTAGTACAGACTCAAAAGTCTGATAGGAGTTCCATAATTGCTCACCCAGAATATCCTTTCCTTCGAGGGCCAGCGGGATGGCCTTTGCCTGCACGAGAGTAGGCGTGGAGAACTTTTCTTTGATCAAGGCCTGGCGCAGTCGCGGATCCAACCCAAGGGCTTCGAAGTCAAGTTCCTGCTCCTCTGCGCCCGTAGGCTCGGGAGAAGGAACATCGTTGGCATCAAGTTTGCGCTTCATGTTGTTTGATATGCTGTTTGAACTCCAGAAGAGAGACCTTAATTTGCTTGATTTGGGAAATTTCGGCGGGCGGTGAGATTTTCCAGGGTTTTCTGGGCGGTCAAGGATTTTATCGTGCTGACTCAGCTAGTCATGTCCCAATGCGGGAAAAACGAAACACAACTCTTCCTGCAGGCAGACTTTTACTTTTATGTGCTATATTTGAGATAGAAGTTCATGTTAATCCATTGCAATACTTAAGACTATATCGCAGCCATATTGCTGGTATAATACATGGTGTTGGTTGTTATTTGATGAGAAAATAGCAACCTATCAATTGTCGAAGCAGGCACCAATTAATCACAATGTTATAGACACAACTCCGCCAAATGTGATGTTAATTGAATGAATGTACATTGAATTCTCCTGCCAAGTAACTGTCAAAAAATGAGTTATTCAATTATAATTATCTAACAATATATGACCCACTGGTTCACTTTTGAACTCAGCCTTGGTGTAAGCAAGGAATTATCCAGACAGCCCTGGGTAATCCAGACGACTGGTAAAACCATCACATTTTGCTCTACTGTTTGGGCCTTTTCAAAGTTTAGTAGAGGTGTCGGGGCCAGCTGTTTATCAGGCTTGGCCGTTTGTAACTCAAGTGGCTATTTGGTCATCAGGCTTGTTAGACTTGCTAACTGGTAGACAACCCCACATGTAGATCATTGTGTGCTTGTTATGATCAACGCCAGACCTTGCTACTGTCTGGCCACTATAGTTGATAGCAGGGCTGATCATAATCAGTTTCCATACTTGTCATATCAGAACTGATCTCACTCGCAGGCACCAACAACATCCCTTATGCTCTTTGACCACAAACCTCCACCGGACGTTACTTTTTGGCTCTTGATTATTACCTTGAGTATATTCTCGATCGAAGCTGGTCCCATGTGGCTTATGATTTTTCATGGAAAGCCCAGTATGTTCATGCCAAAGTATTGCGAGTATCACAAAGCTTAATACAATTTGGAGAAGCAACGAAATGTATCTAATGGGAGAGACGCAGCGCAGTGGCGTGAGCGAAAATGGTCTTTCTTTGCGAAATGGACACAAGATATTGACTACGCATCTGATTCGTCTTCCGATCAAACTTCTACCCTTGATACCAGCAGGCTATCCCTGGCAGAATCGGGAGTATATTTACCATGCTAGGAAAAAACCATACTCCACAAGCATCTCTGAGAGCTTGTTGAACGGCATCTTGTTTTCGTGTACTAAAACCATCTCTGAGAGCGCGTCAGTATTTTTCCAGGTGGGAAAGCGCTTGACTACATCCCACGACACAAGAATGGATATAAAACATATTTGCATGGAGCTCAAACTCCAGGACTCGCGCTTCGCCAATTGTACAAACACCCCGCACCATCTGGGAACTGAAAACGCGCATAACGATTAGCAGGAAGCTTATATCTAATTTCTGCGCGAGCTTTCAGAGGAACCCCTCCCAGACCCACTGTATACTCCTGAACTCGAAGATTGATCGCATATTATGAGCCCAGATACTTTTCATGATCATTTTGGCACGGCTGCTTTACTAACATGGTCATATAATGAAGAACCTAGAGCACAAGCTCGCCGAGTAATCACAATTCTAAGAGTCGGGTCTTGGCTAGCGGTTAATTTCGTTAAATCTCACCGGGTTTCTAATTCTCCTTCATGAGCATATGTGTTTCCGAAGGAAGCGCTTGGAGCCGGGTAATCTGACAATGAAACCTAAATCTACAGCTGGGGCCTCTACAGCTAAGATGCAGTCATCGTCAACACACGGCAATATTCTCCCAAGATACGAGAATAGCCCTTTTGGTAAATGATGTACAGACGCGGCTTTATTGCTATAGTAGCGAAGAGGGTCAATAGTTGAAGTGACTTGCAGCTGTTTTTAGGAGAAAGAAGATTCTCATCTTTTATCCGGAAAATCTCGGGGTTGAGGCAACAGAGGATATCCTCGGGTGGGCCTATGATGTCGTAGTCCGATACCCGGAACGCGCATGTGCTTAATTTGATCAGCACGGATATCTACAGGTTGAGTGAACCAACACTTTTCTTCTTTTCCATATAGGATTCCAAGCTCTAGGGTACTTTATACATATTCTGTTCATCACTCAAAACCTCTTCTCGGCTTGCCGCCCGCACCCCGCAATGGTTTCTCTCAATGAACAGCTCACGACATTGGTCGAAAACTACACAGCTTGTGATGTAAGTCCTTTAATTTAGAGCTAAATGATTTTCTATCGGTTTAAACTTTATTCTAACGTCCGACTCACAGATATCTGACGCCCTACTCAAGCTGCAGAAGGTAGCAGAGGGCACCGCACCACGAGCAGGATACTTAGCCGATCTCAGTAAGAAAGCGTTGATCTAAGAGAGAAACAATATCTTTAAATACATCAACATTTCTTACTAACGGTCCAATAGCCCCCTTCTCCCCAATAACCGGAAGAAACGACACAGCGCAGAAGATCGCCGCTCCAGCAACTACATTCAAGTTCCTCAATAAGGGCGATAGTCCACCAGCCATCGCGAATGAGAATCCTGATAAACATGGTTTCCCGCCTGGTAAGCACTGGGTAGATTATGCAGGCGACTTCCAGGATGCGGACCCAGCCAATGCGGGGTCCATTATTGTGATTGAACAGCCAGATGAGCAGTACTGTGCTGTGACAGGTGGTATTATGGCAACGAGGATGAAGTTCCTGGGTATCAAGGCTGCTGTTGTAGGTGGCCGAGTGCGAGATTTGAGGGAGTTGCAGGGCACAGAGCTTCCGGTGAGTTTTTGTCTTGAAGTATTATACTTTGATTCAAACTCCCTTCCTATATAGGTATTTGATACTGACCAATCATCTCTAGATATGGGCGCGTGCGACTTCGACCGTCGGCACAGGTGCTGAAGCCAAAGCTGCCGTGCGCGATGTGCCCATCTCTGTCGGAGGAATTACTGTATCACCGGTAAGTTGTGACAACTCTTATATTGGAAAACTTGAATGATATAAATTGATTTGGTTATTTATAGGGAGATATTATCTTCTGTGATCCGATGGAAGGAGTGGTCGCTATTCCACGCGATTTACTGGGCGCCGTCCTCGAGATCATGCCGAAATTGATCAATATGGATGAACAGGCAAAGGAGGCCGTGGCACAAGGAATGAGCGTCACAGATGCCTTCAAGAAGTTCCGAGCATAGAGCCCGGGTCAACTATGAAGGCAACTTTGTATATACTAATGTACAGAGATTACCAAAGAATTCGAAGCATAAGCGAGTGCAATCTTGGAAGGTGAAATGGAAACTATGTCATTCTGTCGTGGTATCTAGCTATTTAATACATCAGAAGAAGATGCGGACGAAAATGGGTCCAACCGCTGTGAAAGGTAATATAATAGTATGGTATGTCGTTTACTCGGCCACCCAGACAGCGGCCATTCCCATACCAGTACCAACGCACATACTGGTGACACCGATCTTCTTGTTTGTCCGCTTGAGCTCAGTCAACAGCGTGCTCACTTGGCGGGAACCGGTGCAGCCGAGAGGGTGACCAAAGGCAATAGCACCACCCTTGGGGTTGATCTTCTCGACGGGCAGACCAAGCTCGTTGATACACCACACGCACTGGGAAGCAAAGGCCTCGTTGATCTCGAAGATGTCGACATCATCCTTGGTGATACCAGCCTTCTCCAGAGCAACGGGGATGGCCTTCCAGGGACCAACACCCATAAGCAGCGGCTTAACACCAACAATGCTAGCAGAAACGTACTTTCCAATGATCTTCTGGCCGAGACGCTCAGCGGTGGAACGCTTCATCAGCAGAACGGCGGCGGCACCGTCGGAGATCTGGGAGGCGTTACCAGCGTGGATGGAACCATCCTTGGCGAATGCGGGGCGGATCTTGGCCAGAGACTCGACGGTCATGCCCTTGCGGATACCGTCATCCTCCTGGACGGTGATGGTCTTCTCATCACCGGTCTTAGGGTCGGTCCACTTGACATCGAGAGGGGCAATCTCCTCCTTGAACAGACCAGCAGCCTGGGCCTTCTCGGCCTTTTGGTATGAGGCAGCAGCGAAAGCATCCTGGGAAGCACGGCTAATATTGCGATCCTTGGCCATGTCCTCAGAGAGGACACCCATGGGAACCTTGCAGTTGGCGGACTCTTGGTGGTTCTCGAGGAGATCGGAGAATTCGGTAACGGCACCCGGGCTAGAAAAAGGCATGTTAGAATTGTTCCTACAGAGAACAGAAGGGCTATTCATGGTACTCACCCATACTGGGAGGACATGCTCTCGACACCGGCACCAATACCAACTTCGATCATGTCGGACTTAATAGCATTGGCAATATCAATGATAGCCTGCAGACCACTTGAGCACTGGCGGTTCAAGGCCTTGACTGCGGTGGTCTCGGGGAAGCCAGCCACGAGAGCAGCAGCACGGAACTCGGTAGCACCACCACCGGGAGGGAGAACGGAGCCAACAGCAACATCTTCCACAGCCTTGGGGTCGATACCACTTTTAGCAATAAGAGCCTTGAACACACCAGTCAGGATATCAGCGGCAGCGGTATCCTTGAATCCACCCTTGCCGCCCTTGGTCAAAGCGGAGCGGAGGGCGCATGTGACAACAATATCATCGGGGTGCTTCTCAGTCAAGCCAGCGGCTCCCCTCTTGCCACTGAAGTGGGAGGAAACTTGAGACAGGCGATCTTGGGCTGTGAGATTTCAGTCAGCATGAAGTCTTGTCTAAATGTGTTTGTTAATTCCGGCTTGCTAGAAAATACATACCGGAAGACATGACGTCAAAGAAGAGTGGTGGAATATGGGGTTCGGGGAAGGTGGAGAAAATCTGGGGGGCTAAAAATGCGGGAGGAAAGAAGAACAGAATTTCACGATGCCGGATGGGGTCTCTTTTATAAAGTAGACTGTGACACTCGGTGGTACTGCCCTTGTTGCAAGCTCGCCGATGCTGCTCACGCCGCAGAGGAGCCGAGGTCCATCGGATCATGGTTGTTCCGGTCGGATGTTGTGTCATTTAAGGTCACGTGGAGATGAGTGATCGCATGTGAACCAGACTGAAGACCCACTTTCAGCATGTGCGCCGAGCTATATGCTGTACGCACGGGGTATACTGTAGTCCATAACTACGTAACTGGTTTTTGTTTGTCATGCTTCTATCCTACCGTCAGTGCTTACTGAGTAAAAAGGTCATTTTCGCCAAATACTATCCCCACTGACTCGTAGCCACTGATAAGAGAGAAGGTCCCAGGCCTATCTATCTACATTGAGAAGTAGGCCCCGGGACTTTCCACATTATCGAAAGATACATAGGGTTTATTATATGAAAGAATACTGTCTAGAATCCCCAGTTTCTCAAGTTCTTCATCTATAAGCCCAAATTTTTGGCGGTGTATACAACACTTACAAGGGCTTTGAATAGTGCCTTGTGCCACTTATTTTTCTGCTTTTCTCGAAGATGCCAAGTGGTTTTCTGGCGCGCCTTCTTGTATGATGTCTCCAATAAGTGTTAGAGGAGGCTTGGATAAATTGAAGAGCAGTCGCCAGGAGAAATGAAGCTCTCCCGAGGTCTTAATAATCCTGCATTACACCTCTTATCCATAAAATCTGTCTTCTTTCGATGATTGTTTATCGTTTTTTCGACTCTCCTTGACTTACACGAAAGATAGATTCGGCAGAATTAGTCTGTAAAGATCTCCAAAAGAGCTTTCAAGCCATTTGTCGTAGTCAAAAACGCCTACTTTCACGTATTTCTATGCGCATAACCCTATTGAACATCTATCTTGGGAAAAGAATATAGGCTTAGTCACATTAGTATTGCAGGTGTGAGCCCTTCAATCAGAAATACGGAACTAAAATAGTGTCAGAAATACCTAGTGAAGGAGGCAAACTATACTGGATTTACAATAATGGACAGTTACAACAATGAATAGAAGACATAAAATGCATCAATTGCTACCGACTGTACATGAAAGGAAAGAACCTAGACGCGACAGGAATGGGATTGAACAGGTATAAGGAAATCGGGGAAATATGGAGACAACCTCCCTCGCTGGCAGGACGTACACATTACCAGCCTAGAAAAGGGAGATCTAAGAGAGATCTAGTTTGTGTAGAGGAAAAAACTGACCTGTTCCTGCGTCGTTTTTGGGAGACAAAGGTGGAGGGAGAACAAGGAGGGATGGAGATTGAAGGTGGAGACAGCAGGTGAAGAAAGAGCATTTTTGTTTACATGCCAGGGGAGATCAACTTGCCCTCAGCACGGCTCTCGGGCTTCCAGCCACCAGCGAAGGGGGCAGCACCGAGCTCCTTCTCGTAATCGCGGATGCGGGCCTCCAGCTCAGGGCGGAAGTGGCGGATCAGACCCTGGATAGGCCAGGCGAAGGCCTCACCCAGAGCACAGATAGTGTGACCCTCAACCTGCTTGGTAAGCTCCTGGAGCATGTCGATCTCACGCTCACGGGCGTTACCAGTCTCCAAACGCTGCATCATCTGCATAGTCCACTTGCTGCCCTCACGGCAGGGAGTGCACTGTCCACAGGACTCGTGCTTGTAGAAGGTAGACAGGCGGGAGATGGCACGAACAATATCAGTGGACTTGTCCATGACAATGACGGCGGCCGTACCCAGACCAGTCTGCGAGTCCTTAAGGGCATCGAAGTCCATCAGCTGGTTGTCGGCGACAGACTTGGGGATGACGGGAGTCGAAGAGCCACCGGGAATGACGGCGAGCAGGTTGTCCCAACCACCACGAACACCTCCACAGTGCTTCTCGATCAAGTCGCGCAGAGAGATGGACATCTCCTCCTCAACAGTGACGGGGTTGTTGACGTGGCCAGAGATACAGAACAGTTTGGTACCAGCGTTACGTTCACGACCGAAAGACGAGAACCAGTTAGCACCACGGCGGACGATGGTGGGGACGACGGCGACGGTCTCGACGTTGGTGACGGTGCTAGGGCAGCCGAACAGACCGACGGCAGCGGGGAATGGGGGCTTGAGACGGGGCTTGCCAGCCTTGCCCTCGATGGACTCAATCAGCGAGGTCTCCTCACCGCAGACGTAGGCGCCCATTCCACGGTGGATGTAGACATCGAAATCGTAACCGGTACCGCAGGCGTTCTTGCCGATTAAGCCGTTCTCGTAGGCCTCGTTGATGGCCTTCTGGAGGACGGTCGCCTCGTGGTAGAACTCGCCACGGATGTAGATGTAGGCGGCATTGGCGTTCATGGCACGACCCACAACCAAGCAACCCTCAATCAACTTCTGAGGGTCCTTGCGCATAATCTCACGATCCTTGCAGGTACCGGGCTCACCCTCATCAGCGTTGATGACCAGGTAACGGGGTCGGGGGTCCTTGTCCCAATCCTTGAAGTTCATGAATGACTAAATTGAGAGGCCACAACGGTTAGATGAAAAGAGTTACTCCCCACGCAATTGAGAGACCCAAGGGATCCTTTCAATGTCCAACTTACGTATTTCAGTCCCGAAGGGAAGCCAGCACCACCACGGCCACGGAGACCGGAAGCCTTGATCTCGGAAATGAGCTGCAATTGAATGTATCAGCACACCGTTTCTCGTTGCATCCGACCAATCCGGACGATCTTGAACGAGTCTACCCACCCAGTCATGGCCCTTCAAGACCATATCCTTTGTCCGGTGCCAGTCACCATACTTCATTGCCGACTTGAGATCTGCGCCATGGTGTCCGTAAAGGTTGGTGAAGATGCGGTCCTGGTCCTGAAGTCCGCCATAGTGCTTGACGGGAGGAGCCTCTTGCACGGTCGCGAAGGAGCGGGCGGCCGCTCCCTGGGCGCGGAGGGAGCGGGTCGAGAGGTGGGAGAGGGAGGAAGTGGAGGGAGCCGCCGCTCTGGATATCATGATGGCGGATTGACAGCTGTGTGGTGCAGAGGGTCAAGCGGGCATGGAAAGAGGGAAGGGGGAGCTCGCGGTAATTAGCAATTCCTGCGTCTGCTGAACGATCCGCCTTTACGTGCGTTGTGATTGGCCTGGTGTCATGTGATCATAAATTGGTCAGCCACTTCCTATTTGGGATGTGTGACGTTGGCAGAACTTATATAGTTCTCAATTTCAACTTTTCTAATCTATAGCTGTGGTACATATAGCACTGCCTGCTTCGCCATGGTTGGTTCATCTGTCACTAATACCTGCAGGGGTTCAACTGGGATCAACACCCGCTCTGCATCGCCCACGATGCACGCCCACTGTAGCCATTCCGGAGCCAACCATTTGCTAGCCGAGGGTAACCAAGTGACTCCATCCTGCTCAGCCAATTGAAGGAAACCATCTCGGTCCTTCGAGAGAGCTTGTAGTAATTGCTGAGCTGCTGACGCAGATTCATCAGCCTTCCCAGCGGGCAATGGATATTCATTGACCAAGAAGTCAACCCATCGAGTCAACCGCGGGGAAAGCTTAGCTTGTATTTCCTGATCATCAGTTGTCGCCGTTGCAACCAAAAAGTTAATTGCGAGCGCAAACATCACTTGCGGGTCGGTCCCCCATGGCCCATTCGCAGCACGTCCTATGAAGTACTTCTGACTTGGTACCTGCAGGTCTTTCGGCAGGAGACGGAAGAGCTCCGCAAGTCGGAATAGTTCACCGTTCTTCGGGATAAGTGATTGCCGCTCGAGAATGCGCACCTTTGTCCGAGACATAACCTCATCGGGGAAGGTGTCAGGTGGAATTTTCGACATGTGCTCGTTCAAAAGGCTCTTGATACCCTCCCAGCTCTCGTCGCGTTCGTGCTCCCGTGCTCGAGCGATAGTCCAGGACGCGATGATCAATGCGGTTTTGTCTATCGTTATTTGGCCTTCGCGGTAGACCTTTGCAAATATCTGTTTGAGGTTGGCCGGCTCTGATGGCAGGTCTTGAGCGCTGCCTTGCAGCTGGAGAATGTGTGCAATGAGCTCAAGGCAGGTCTGAGAAAGCGCTGCCAGTGCACTACGGCTAGTACCGTAAGTCGCCTGGATTGAGATACTTGATTCCTCGATCTGTATCCTCTTGCGCTCTCGGTCGTTTGCTTCCATGATTGCAAGAGCATTGAATAGAGCGGGTGAAATGATTGCGTGCTCCATAGGACCTTGGGGTGTAAGGAGTGGGTAGGACACATTGAAAATGTAGTAATGGTCGTCAGTCTTTGCGGCTAGTTGGGGGAACATCTGGATCTGGCGGGCTTTCGCTTGGCCGAGGGCACTGTCTGGTGCCACCCCCAGTTTTACAATCCGGTAGTCCGTTGGGTTGTTGGTGATAGTGAATCCATAATTCATGAGCACTGTCTCTCTTAGCTGATGCTTCCGCTCTACGTAGGTTCAATGGTGGATTCTTACATTGCTCATTGTTCCGAGGGCCATAATTATTGGAGATCTCCTGACCTGGCGAGGCATCTTCCAGAATAATCATGCCAACATCTTCTTCGCCTGCTCTCCACTCGACCTTTGCCAATGGTCGATGATTTGGCAGATCAATGAGCGGTAACAGCACTGAAATACCCTCCTCCGGGAGATCAGCGTCCTCTACAGCACTTGACAGCACCTTAGCCGAGAACGCACGAGACGTAAGAATCGTCCATGCCCAGAGGTACAAATCCCTAGAAAGTTAGCAAAGCACAAAACATGAACAGCCCGAACAGGACAATTTCACAGGCATATCCATTGACAGTACACAACACAAACTCACCAGGTAAACGCCTCAAATCCCTCAAATCCAGCCTGCTCCAACTTCTCGATCGAGAAATCATACTGCTTGTCCCAATCCCGATACCTCGACACCGAAGCATCCGGGATTCCCGTTCCCTGTAACCAATCCACATCTTCCTCTCCAAAGAACAGCGGTGTCGTCATCTGTCCGGGCTGTGGCAAAGTCCGTAAATACGGGTACCAGAAGCTCTGCTCTCCCCGCAGAAAGTGGGCGATGAGGAAGAAAGTCATCGTCTCTGCCAATCCCACGCCTTCAATGAACGCCTGCGGGAGCTTCACGCCATGCGAAGAGAACGACCCCTTCGCGGAGCTGTAATCTACTGCGTTGAAGTAGGACATTGTCACGCCTAAGGGCGCATTTATTACCTTCGTCTCCTTTGGGACTGTTGTAGGCCAGTCGGCTTTCACTTGGAGATGGACGCCGCGCTGGTCGTCGTGGGCTATGCACACAGTATCATTTATGTGACCTCCTTGGCTGCAAACCCATTTTAATAGATGTGTATGGGCTTCCAGGGGGTTTTTCCTGATCTCCCTACGATTATATTAGCATCGGTAGCACAGGAAGGTAATGGCATATCATTTGTGGTATGTAAGATGGCTTGATAGTACTCACTCTGATGGGAAGGCCATGGCTCCAATAACTACTTTTTCGGCTTTTCTCGGTTGCAAATTGTTTTCTTGCCCACAATCGAACATATGTTATCAGCGGAGTGACAAGCAGAAGTGAGAGGAAATGGTATCATTGAACCACGAACATTTGAAAGATTCGGCGGAATGTGGGTGATCGCGACCCACTTTTTTTTGCCGCAAGAGAAGATATGGTTTAACTATACATAATGAACACTACAACATCCAACAATAATTATGCGTAGGTAAGCAACCTCAAACCTCAGGAAGTATTGGCCATAGATTTAATGGTTCTGAGATGAACTTATGAACTAAAAGCATCAATTCACCTCTCTCTCTCTCTATCAAACATATCGTACAAGGACATCAACCACCCAATCCAGAGCATCAGAGCCATAACCCCATAGAAAATCACCCCGTGATGCGTACCACAGCTCGACATCGAAAGGAAAACACATAAAAGTTCCATGCAGACGAACTCGACGGTCATCAGATGTAGTCCTCCCCAGAGATTATCCAGATATGGAAAATATGTACAAAGGTCGCGCCATGAAAACAGCACGTAAACATCCCGAACCAGCCAAGTATGAAGAAATAGAAGAAAAGATTTGAGAAAAGGAAATGAATACCTGAGCACCCATGCAATTCTCCCTAATAGTTGAAAAACATCATCGTGCATGCACGCAATGAAGTAAATAGGCGCGGAAATGCAGACGTGAAAGTAGAAAGGAACATTAAGACAGGCAGACCATTCCGATATTAGTTTGAAGTAGAAGATTTGCGGCCTGGGACTAAGATCTCCACCAGCCCGTCATCCTCACCATCACTACTGTCATTTTGTTCGTCATCGAAGTGGGAACTCACAGCCCGTGGCCGGCGAAATCCGGTGTATCGGTTGGGATGCGGCAGGTTGGAGTAACCCAGTGATTCGTTAATGATGGCATCTTCCTCCTCATCTGAATCGATCATGCCGGTGGCGCTGGGTCCGACCATTTCACCCATGTCATCGTCATCTTCATCGACTTCAAGGGGTACGCGGACACGTCGCCTCATTGCCTCTGCGTGGCTGTCTCCATCCTCATCAGAGGAGTTAGACAGTGTATCCGGTGGACTGAACCCGCCTTCATGGAACCCTGAAGCAAAGGTCTGATCGGCGTTTGACCCAAAGTCTGCGTTGGGGAACGCAGTGTTGCCTCCCTCGGCATCATCGTCAATGCCGGCAATGACGAATGGATTGCTCGGCCACTGGGAGTCTCTGCTCTCAGCCTCATGAACCCTGTCGTCCGCCGCTTCTCCATCTTCATTTTCAGCCGCTTGCTGTTTTTGGGCTGCTAGGCGTGCTGCCAGCTGTCTTCGAGCACGGGATGGACCCGTACTCAACGGAGCTGGGGGTGGTGGCAAAATGGGAATTGGTTGGCTTATCGAATTCATGGATAGCTGGTAAGAATCATGTCAGCTTAGAACACGGAAACCATAACATAACTGGACGGCGGTTCCTCTCAAGCTGGCAAGGCATCAAATCATTTCCTATGTGCAACACCATGTTTATAGGCAATTATACCAGCGATATCAATAGCAATCGACAGAGGGACAACACAGACGAAGAAGAGTCGCTGACGAAACGAATACATCTCTGGTGAAAAGCGCAGCGTACCAATCATATGGTGGTCCAAAGCATTTTCGCCTTCTGCTTAAGCTCCCATCGCCCAACTTGCAACATTATCCAGGTCATTGAATCGTTGCCGTTACAAAACTAGAGGGCAGGGGAAGGAGAGGATGGACGTGTGGCATATGCGCACATCAGTCGCGAATCGCTCGTCATGGTTTGGTCGGAAGGAGAGTACCCACATTTTCGGAATCGCCGTGGTCGGCATTGGCAGCATCTCTGTTGTCCTGATCCTCCAAATCTTCATCCTCGTCGTCGTCACTCGAGCTGGCAAACCCACTCAGGAGAGAGGGACCGCCAGCCCCAAATGCTCCACCGGAAACACTCCCTTGGTTCAAGTCAAACCCTTGGAAAGTGGAGTTACCAATCCCACCATTTAGGCCTGCTTCAGCGAGAGCATTTGAGTTGCTAAATCCCTGGTTTGAGCTGATAGCTGCTTGGCGAGACCCAACTGACATATCTGGGCGAACGCCTCCCAGAATGGCATTGTCTCGCTCCCGGGTTTCGGAAAGCGTCTGCTCAACGTAATCAATCCAATCCGGGTTCAGAACTGATTCCATAACAGAACGAGAAAGCAACTCCGGCGGGTGACGTTCACTGAACTTGACAACCTCTTCGGCGACAAGAGTCAAATGACCCATGTAGCCAAGACGAATCTGCTTAGTCTTCTGTGCCTCATCACTGCGCTTCTGGCCCTCGATGATAGCGGTCGTGATCTGACCGGTTTCGAAGACATTGATTGCGAGAGCCCGGTTGTAACCACGCTCCATGGGTCCGTTGAAAACCTGCTGGATCACATCGTACACAACATTATGGAGGAAGTTGTTCCATGGGAACCGGAAGAAGAAACCCTAGAGATACAATTAGATGGGGCCCCAAAAAATTTGATACAATTATAACTCACCAAAATCGTCGGGACAACCTTGTTCTCAACGAACTTGATTTTCAAGTAGTCTCCAACCACCGGGTGCCCGTCCGTGTCATATTGAATATACTGCTCGGCAGGGTCTTCTGCACTACCATCGTTGCGAGTGGTTTCCTGGGCGGGCTCAGTAATCACAGAGGAACCCTCTGCTTGGTCAGCAGGGTCGGAAGCCGGCTCTGAGGGCTGCTCTTTCGATGTAAAGAGCGGAGGTGGGACATCTTCCGGCTGAGCTGACACTGCAGGCTGCTCATTTTCAACCTGTGGGGTTGACTTTTGTTGCTCGCTCTCAAGCTGAATCTCACTTATCTGATCCGCAAGACCGGTAGCAGATGACTGGGCCTCGGAAGATTCAGGGGTGATTTGGGAAGAGGTAGAAGGTGTATCAACAGCCGAGCCCTCTTGTGAGACTGCAGTCTGCTCCAAAGAAGTGGCTTCCTTCTCAGTTTGCTGATCCCCTTCCTTCCCGCCAACAAGCACACCAGAGGCGCCAACGTCCTCGAATCCTTCTTCTTCACCTGCCCGAGCCATATATGTACCCTTAATATCTTCGGGTGATCCAGAGTCCAGGGCGGATCCGTTGGTAAAGTCTGCCGTGGTATCATTATACTCCATACCAGATTGCTCATCCCGAAGCGGGTTGAAGTAACCCTCCTTGATCAGCCTCTCACGCTCGGCATCGCGATGCTGGACATACTCGTCGCTACCAGGCTCGTTGAGGAGACCCATGTTACTACAATGCAATAGTTCAGCCATCAGTTCACAAGTTTTGAACCGATCAAAGCCCAGCGGCTCAATCTTGCCACCCCAAGCAGAGTTCAATCGGCCTCGTTCGACGGTCTTGAAGGTTTTCCCATCGTGAATGGTGTGTTTCGGACTCTGAATCAGAGCCATAAAGTCGGGAATATGCTTCGCGAATGCGCGCAGAAGGTTGCCGAGATAAATTGGGTCGTAAGGCGTCGGCATTGATTCAGGACTTCCGAGGTGCTCGGGATCATAGTCTGAATTATTCTTGCGAATAACTTCGATCACAATGCCCACACCCACCGTCAATGGGTTACCGCCCTTGAGCATAGCCTCCACGAGTTGTTGCACACACTCCGCCGAAACTAGCTGACGGGTGAGACTGTTGGGACCAATGCACGATTGATCATTGGGTGTCGCATTTGCGGAGATGGTGATGATCGCTTTTAGGAAGTCGCCCGCGGACGTCTGGACCGACGCAGGGTGATCCGGAGACAAGAAGGAGAGAAGAGTTGGGATCAGATTCTGGGACCGGAGCCAGTCAACGGTGCCTTGACCACCCTCCGCCTTTTCCAGGCTGATGATCTTGAGCAGGAGGTCCATGACCATGGGGTTATCAATGTGCTGCAGCAGAGCAGGTACAATTCCATCAAGGGTTTTCAGAAGATCCAGCATCTCCTCCGTCTTTTTATCAAGTAGCGTCTCATTCACTTTGGTGAAATAGCTTGCCTGCAGGGAGTCGAGAGGCGCCGGCCGTCGAAGGAATCCCCAGAAGTCGCGCAGATATGCCGGGTTCTCCATGATGGTTTCGAGAATGGTCCATGTCTCCGATGACAGAATCTCACAGGCCACGTAGGCGTGCTTCAAGCGCGACTTCTCGACCCTCTCCAGGTCATCCGCATCCAGAACACTCTTCAAGGGATCCGACTCCTTTTCCTCATCCTTGTCGTTGTTGTTCGTTTGCTCTGCTGAGCCTGCATCTTTGGAAGCATCTTTCTCATTGGCATTTTCTTCTTCTTCTTCTTCGTCGTCGTCATCGTCATCGTCGTTCACCAAGCTCGGTGCTGTCACGTAGTCCATAAGCCGTTTCAAGACATGGTCCTCGCGCAGATATTCTATGAGTTTCGTATTATGCTGTTTGAGTTCTTGGATGATCTCGGGCTCATCCAGTAGTTCCTCGACGGTGACCTCGGGTTTTTCGAGAAGGGTATCGATGCTGGAGATACTTGCATATCCCCCAAAACGCCAGAACATGATGAAGTATATAGCCGGAAAGGACGATTCATGGGACGTTTCAAGTCGTAAGTCTCCGAGATATCGTAACGGAGCGGTCTATGGTACACGGGCGTTGGCTGTAGGATGCGGGAAGGAATGGATTTTTCCGCAGGGTGAACCACCGTCGTTGTCCACACACAGGGTTGTCGCAGCGGAAAGCGGGGGTGGACGAAACTTGGCTGTCACGGGGAAAGTGCTTGGGAGTGCAAAAGGGTATAGGGCCGGGCGAAGCTTGCGCTGTTGATTCGGAAGGTCAGCGCGATATTCGGATCGGTTGCATCAATGACGACGCTGGTGGTGTGTGCACCCGAGCTGCGGCTAGATCTCACGGGATTCGATTCCCATGAGATATGGCAGAATCAGGTGGGGAAACGCAAGACAGCACTAGGGAAAGGCCAGAAAGCTAGAAGGGACAATTTTGAGACATACAAACTTCGGTAAGTGAGTGACGAGAAGGGTAATTCAGTTGCCCTCCGGTGTGAGTTTTTGGGAGGGCGGGAATGGGAAGAAGTGGAGGAGTGAAGAAATGAGGAAGAGGGGAGAGAGAGTTCACACGATGAGTATGTAAAGTATTCTCTTGGCGCGGTCCATCCAGGAAGAAACAAGGGGAAGGGCGCAAGAGAGGGTGAGAGATGAAGCTGGTCAGAGAGATTCGCACGAGTGCAGGGGCGGACTTAACAGCACACACATGTAATCATCTGCGCGGGGATCGTAGCCCCGACCAGCGGCAGATAAGCTGCCTCCTTACAAAGCAATTATATCTACGACTATGGCCGTCAAGTTCATTAAATATTACACGAAATCTACAGGAGTCAAAAGGATGACTTTTGTATTTCATAGACTGGGTACAATAAGGAAAAATCAATTGTAATCTCTAGGAATGAGGGATTGTAATATCCCCTCGGCATCGGATATGGTAGAAATCTAAGTCCACATCCGGGCCCTGCAGAGTCGGAGGCGTCACCTCGTGCGCTTAATCCAAGTCCGGAGAATTTCAATATTGGTCAATAATCAAGATGTTGAGAAACTGCACGTAAATCATCGAAACTGTTGAGCCGATTTTGATTTTCAGATATCATTCTCGAGGTCATCTGAAACATGGGAGATGGCCCAGGCGTGGGTACCACGTACCTCCCGTTCTCGCTAGATCCAGCGTGGGGCGAGGTACTCAGTACGTCCCGCCAGTGCCCAATCTACTCCCAAGTTGGACACCTGATGGCATCCGCCTGATAATTTCATGTGTAAATGTCGAACGCCTGACTATGTGATATATATATGATCATAATACACTCCATACTCCACCAGTACTATAAGTCGTTCACGCGCGACTAATTCATCTCAACTTCATAAGGCTGGTTATCACGTGTATTTAGTGCCTCAGGTATTCAGGCATTAATCTGACGTCGGCCCTCCGCATTATCATTATTGGTGCCTGTAATTGTAGTCGATCGTTTTGAGTGCTACCAGTTTACTCATTGCACGACGAAAACAAAATCACGTATCTTGCTTCTAACTGAGCTTGCCTATCACTTGGTCAGGAGCCTAGAGAGCGGGAACCTACAACCACTCAACCATCAAACCGTCCCTCTTGCCCCTCCCTTGAGCTTAATCTCGGTCTGTCACAATGAATCGTCTGTTCGGCACCAAGAGCGCGGCTCCTAAGCCCACTCTAGACGGCGCGATCAGCAAGGTACATATTGATCCCAACACCTTACCACAACTTCAGCTAACTTAACCACCCAAACTCAGGTTGACGACCGCGTCGCCAGCATCGATGTAAAGCTCTCTGCCCTTAACTCCGAACTCGCAACATACCAAGCCAAACTTTCTAAAATGCGCGACGGGCCTGGAAAAAATGCTCTCCGCCAAAAAGCACTGAAAGTGCTGCAACGCCGCAAACAATACGAGGGGCAACGGGACCAGCTCTCCCAGCAATCATGGAACATGGAGCAAGCAGGCATGATGCAGGATAACCTGAAGAACGTGATGACAACTGTCGACGCCATGAAGACGACCACCAAGGAATTAAAAAAGCAGTATGGCAAGGTGGACATCGACCAGATCGAGCGCATGCAGGACGAGATGGCAGATTTGATGGAGGTTGGCAATGAGATCCAGGAGAGTATTTCTCGGGCTTATGATTTACCTGAGGAGGTCGATGAGGCGGACTTGGATGCTGAGCTGGAGGCTCTTGGGGAGGAGTCTATGTTTGAGACGGAAATGGGTGAAAATGCGATGCCGAGCTTCTTGCAGGATGAGGTTGCGCCACCGCAATTCATTGATGAGGCACCGGAGCAGGCCAAGGTTAAAGAGGCTGCCGGCGGTCTTGGATAATCTTGTTTAACGCTGGATCTGAAGTCGAACCTAAATGGCCCTCTGATTTATGGGTTCAGGGTCTCGGGCGATGGAGCTGAATTGGGATTTTATACAGTAGTTCCGATGCCCATTTCGGCTCTATGGCTATGGCTCACAGTACGGGATAATTATGATCATTTGTAGCGTTTAAAATGTTTGTTATTGTCTATCTCTTCTTTCATGCAGTAAAAACAGGCCGGCAAGACTATCCATGGGGTATAGCAAAACGCTTGCAATGCAATGTGTAGATCATGCTTTGCCCATTCCGATCAAAACAAGTAGGGCGACATTCATGATGACAATAAGCAGCCAGACCAGCACAGCAATGATGGAAGTGAATAGACTATTCCGCATCGAGACTTGCACAACCTCAGTCTCGCCATCGACACCACTGGATTGCTCGGCGGGGACACTCATGTAGCGATTAAAGCATGTGAACCAGATGAGGGGCGCGGATACAAATGGTAAGATGACACTAAGAACAACTTGGCTGGCGTTCAAGGTCTTGTCCAGTCCGTCCTTGCCAACGGCGGCTGCGATGATGATACTGGGGATGATACTGATAGAGCGAGTGATGACCCTACGAAGCCATGGTCGAATACTCCAGTTGAGCATTCCCTCGCTCACCATCTGTCCAGCCATGGTGCACACAATTCCAGCAGAGATACCAGACAGTAGCAGCGCCAAAGCGAAGATAAGACCAGCAGCTGGGGAAATAGATGAAGAAAGAAGTTTGTGAATACCGAAGAGGTCGGCGGAAGCACCGCCGGGCACATCATAGAGGGATGCACCAGCCACAATGAGGATAGCGCTATTGACGAAGAGAGCGAAGGTGAAGAGAGACAACGACAGCTCAATTATCGAGTACTTCATGCAACCTCGAATAGCGTGGATGGTTGGTCGGTACTCCACTTCACCACCGTTACTTCCCAGTGGTACTGTAGAATCCACATACCCAGCAGTGACATCAAATTCTTTCAGGCGAGACTGCACTACGCCGCTACCCAAGAAAAGGGAGTGGGGCATGACAGTTGCTCCGAGGATACCACAACTCTGGTAAAGACTATAATATAATGTTAGTACATTTTCTGTTATTAGAACTCTTAGCCGGCGCTTACCCTTCGGATTGGACGATGGCAGATGAGGGAAGGTAGCCACGGAAAACCTCTCCGATGGATTGGTCCTCGATGAGAGAAAGCTGGATGCAGAAGCAAATAACGACCGCCAGGACCAGTCCCATGACGAAAAACTCGAATAAACGCAGTCCCCACATGGAGCCATTGGGGCGCCAGAAGATGAGCAGGAAGAAGACATCCACCAAGGTGATAGCGCAACCCGCCACGAGGGGGATTTTTAAGAGTAGATTCAATGCAATTGCTGAACCAACCACCTGTGTCATCCATTAGTAAAGTTTGAAATGACACCATCCCTTGAATGAATATATACCTCTGCAATGTCAGTAGCAACAATAGCCGCTTCAGAAAGGCCATAGAGGATGTAGACCAACCACCGAGGGAGATGTTCACGACAGTTCTCCGCCAGGTTAAGACCAGTCACGGAACCAAGCTTGATGCAGAGCGACTGCAACAGGATAGCAAAAAGGTTGGATAGAAGCACAATGAACAGCAATGCATATTTGTACGATGCACCGGCAGCAACGTCGGTGGAGTAGTTGCCCGGATCGATATAGGCAACAGCAATAAGGAAACCAGGTCCGATGAAACGACCAAATTTGACCAGACTGCGAGCACAGTGGAGGGCATTAGAAGAAATATAATCTTTGAAAGGACGGCGAGGTGATCCGCTGGCTCTCGTGGGTGATTTGCACCCCGAGGCTGCGGTCACCTCGCCGTCCGGGACTTTTTCCGTTCCGGGATCAGAGTCCTGCCGACTGAGCGGTTGCGTGACTATGGATAATGTGTCGTCTCCTATTGCAGTGCCAGTACCGGTGGCATTCTTGCGGTGCACACGAGAATTGGCGATACCATTGAAGTCGTTGCGAGTGGTGATGTCCGGACTGAAGGGTGGCGGGCTCTGGTTCCAGCCCGGATGCTGAAGAGTGTCGTCGGTACGCGAGGGGCAATTCATGGCTGCTTAGCTGGCCAACTGACTTTGTGGGCGGGCAGATGTATTAAGTCCTTGCAGAATCGGAAGCTAATCGGGCGGCGTATATGTTCAACCGAACAAGGACCTTAGGAGAGTCCGGGACTGCCCGACTTTTTTGGCGATGTCGTGTGGCTCCCGCCGCGAACCAATGAGTCTAAAATTGGCGGGTCCTGCCCAGACCATCCGAATCCTCACCGTGAACACAATACGTAAGGGAAAAGGTGGAAGAACAATGTTGCCTTAAGCATGTCTCAATTTAATTCTAATTAGCCAAAGAAATTAAAAAAAGGGTCAGGATCTGGCCGAGAGCGTTCTGTTATTGGAATTGTACACATATGCCCCGCGTTCGCAAACGGCGGTGGATCGCGAGTTTCCACCCGCGGGGAAATGAATCCAGATTTCGATTTCCCCCGATATTGAAAATCTTGGACAAGACTGGAGGGCAAGTGCAGTGCATCAAATGATGACCTAGGTCAGTTAATCTTGTATGATGAAAAAAAAAAATAAACCTCCAAAGTGGTCATCAACCAAGAGGGGTACAGGTACTGGGAGAAAATTGTAAACAGGGCTGCGATAACGGGCTATGATGTCAACAAGATGAAAGGCGCGCACGCGAGCTGCCATTGCGCTTATATTGTGGTTCCATCATATGACGCGAGAACTGGCCTAGATTTAATTCACAAACAAATGAAATGATTTCATGAACCTAGTCCCGGTATACTGCTCTGTGGAAAGGTATTGCAGGGTCCTGTATCGTAGAGTCAGTAGTTCAAATATATAACCTTAAAGAGTAAGATCTGGAACCCCTCCATCAACAAACCATCTGCAAGGATACTGCAAGAGCCCTAGAACAGGAAATGAGGGGGGATCGAAACCATAGAAACCTTCCAAACCCAAACAGATAATATGCAGATATGCAGAGTGACATGTCGATGGAATAAATGTTCACCGCCAACAGCGCCCGTTGCCCGGTGCAACTAAGCCCACTGCACGTTGTTTACTCCTCCACCCGCAATCCAACCAACCCCAAGGATCGTCTCACTGCGCTAGTTATTCAGACCCAAATCAAAGTGGGGATCTGATCCTCAATGTTGCCGTTGGCAGCAAGACACTCAAATTCCCCGGGTGCCCGGCTTTGTTTTTCATCTCTCAGATTCTTCTTCTCAAGCCGTTGCATTGGTCTTTTTTATTTTGCATTGCGCTTCCTTTCGATTTGGGTATCTTGAAGACCCATTTGCGCTTCTTTGTTTCATTTGGGCGTGGTTTGATTTTTTTGTTGCATTAAAACATCCCCGTGAGTTTACTGCTGTCCCTTCCCGCGTCCTCGAGATGGCTGGTCCATATTCTAACGTGCCACAGTTGCTGGTCAACGGTGATACCAATGGCTCCTTCTACTTCCGGTCCTCAGATCTTCGAGGATGCTCACCGTGCTCCCAAATCGTCCGTTTTTCGGGCCATGCTCTCCTCGAAACACAAGAGAAATCAGTCCGCAGACGATGCCATGCCGCCACAGCTCCCACCGATTAAAACATCCGATCCCGTTCCCTTCCCATGGACCCAGCAGCCTACCTCCGCCCCTGGTCATCTCCCACTGGGTGAAATCGTCCCGAACCGCGATACCGGAGATAGCCACGTTCCAGCCACCAGGTTCGGCAACAAGGAGGGCAAAGGGACCCTGCATAAGAAGACGAAGAGTGCCGTCTCCCTGAAGTCGCTGAGAAGCTACATGGAGCGGAAAGATGGAAGATCCGAGGAGCCCGAAGTATCCGACGAAATGCAACCCAAGAAGGCCAAATCGAACAACAGCCTTTCGGCTATTCTGAAACGATCACAGCGGGGCCGCAAAGATGGCTCAAAGCAGAGCCGTGACAAAGAGAATCGCAGCCCAACTGAACTGGTTGACAGTATGCCATCGCCAGTCTGGTCTCAAGAGTCGGTCCCATCGTATCAGCAACAGGTCAATCGGTCCCGACAGAATTCAACTGCAGACCGGCACCGAAGTGTCGCGGACGAGCTCTCCCTCTATACACCCCAGGGCTATAGTCCCGCTCAGCAGCGAAACTTTTATGATTATGCCCAGCCATCGCTGACGAGAGCAGGCGAGAGCAAGACGCGCCCCAAGTCAGAGAACTTCACGGCCAACAAGAAAGTGAAGGATGTGCTGGGATCTTTGCAGCGCGTACCCACGAATGATGCGAACGCGATTGACCGGGTGGATAGTGCCTCGTCCAAGAGCCACGGCCTGGAGAGGGCCAGGAAAATGTCGGCGCCTGAGCCTCCGGCACCTAGGTCTCCCGAGAAAGAAGCGAATCCAAAGAGATTATCGCGTGTGCAAGCTGCAATCTCCGCGTTCAATGCCAAGGATAAAGATGCTGATGTGCACCGACATCTCGACTCCAAGGATGTTGAAAGCGAGTTTGAAAAGCTATTGGTATGTTTACTGGGACAACTCCGTTGAAGGAGGGAGTTTATAACTAACGATTTCTAGGATGCAAGGAACATTCCCCACAATATGCGAGACAAGATGCGCTCTCTTGACACCAATATCAAAGTTGACTTCATCCAGAAGGGCCGAACTGAGAATGGTGCCCCTAACAGTGCGGGTACCTCTGACAGTCGCCGCGGACGCGGAAAGGAGACCAAAGATGACCAGAAGTCTCAGGACCGCAAGGGTTCCCGCTCACGATCTAGAAGCCGTGGTTTCACATTCGGTAGGGGCTCTTCGTCCCCCGGCAAGAAGGCCCGCCCAGAAAGTGGAACTTTTGCTCGACCGCGATCGGTGGATCTTTCCCAGCCCGTGGGCGTTTATACAACTCTTCATCCGGGTGGCTCGACTGCGACTCTCTCCGAGGCAGCCGTCGTAGACACTGCCGCAGACCCTTCGGACTTTGTGCATTATCTGAGAGAGATCCAAAAACCGGAGATAATCGAAGTAGGCAAGCTGCACAAGCTACGTCTCCTGCTTCGCAATGAGACAGTCAGCTGGGTCAACGGCTTTATTACTGAAGGCGGAATGGATGAAATTGTACAGCTCATCTACCGCATTATGAAGATGGAGTGGCGGTATGCAGCGTCTCCCTTAAATTCATTGCAATTACAATTCTAACTAACTTCTCACCAGGGAGGACCATGAGGATACACTTCTCCACGAAGCTCTGCTTTGCCTAAAGGGTCTTTGCACGACATCCATTGCCCTCGCGCACCTCACCAGCATTGAGGCTGAGCTCTTCCCTGCCTTGTTGAAGATGCTGTTTGACGAGGAGAAGAAGGGCCCTAGCGAGTTCACAACTCGAGGGGTTATCATCAACCTGCTCTTCACGCAACTCTCTACAACCCCTCCTGGCGAGTTGCCAGTCAAGCGTGCTGAGCGGCTTTTGGGCTATCTGCGTGACCCGTCACCAGCTGATGGCAACCAGCAAGTATCTTTTATAGCCAATATATACCAGTCTCGACCATACCGCGTGTGGTGCAAAGAAGTCACTAACGTGACTAAAGAAGTCTTCTGGATCTTCCTGCACCACTTGAACGTGATCCCACTGCCCAAGGCAGACCCCAAGTCGGATGATCCCTTCACCGAAAAACGCTCAGTGGACAGTCGCCTTTTCTCCCAGCGACACTTCCCTCCACCTCGCCCACCTGTTCCCGCAGCTCCGTATGTGGGTGGTGTTGAGTGGGATGCTACAAATTATTTAGCCGCCCACCTCGATCTGCTCAACGGTCTTATTGCCTCTCTCCCTACGATCGATGAGCGCAATCAGCTCCGCTTTGAGCTTCGAGCTTCTGGATTTGAGAAGGTCATGGGTGGTACCATGCGTACTTGCAAGGAGAAGTTCTACTCTTCCGTTCATGAATGTCTACGCACCTGGGTTGCCGCGGCAGTGGAGGATGGCTGGCCATACACATTGGTGCGTGAGGGACCTCCTCGCTCTGGAGAGCCTGGGTCTCCCACCAAGTCGCCTAAGAAGTCTGCACCTGGCAGCCCCAAGAAGGGCCTGGTTGACGAAGGGCCACCAAAGCTGGAGTTGGCGCTGAATCTGCCCCTCAATCTGCCAGACAGCCATGCTGCGCATAGCCCATTGACACCTTCGAGTGATCTACGCAGCTGGCTCTAGCTAAACAGGAAAGCTCCTTGTTTGGTTTTTTAATTTCTTTCTCTCCTATGTCTTCTCTTCCCCTTTTTCAACATGTCCATCCCATCTCGACGTTTCATGACTTGGCGTTACGGTTCATTTTACAGAAGGCTTTTACCAGTACTACTAGGTACTGGCTCAGTGGGGGAAGCTCTATTGAGGTCTATTTGATATTTTTTTTTTTTGGTTTCAGGTGTTGGCATTCGTGGTGTTGTTTGGAGTTGCATAGTTTCGACCGGATTCGCTCATGACAATCGATGACAGAAATGAGAATTGAATGACAGCTCATTGGATTAATACCAAAATTTGCCCATCCAACCATAGTTCTCAATCTTGAACATCTTATTATTATACTAGGCTATACAATGAGATAAGTGCTGTGGCACTAACAAATCATAGTTCCCCACACCGCCCCCGCAATACCCGTATCTTGACGCGCTTATGATTAATCTCGATTTTCTCTTCTCTACTGCTGCAATGAGTTCTCGCAAGCGAAAAGAACTTGATCCGTATATGCGGACTCGGATCTGTGAGCTCCGAAATACAGCTCAGTGGTCCTATGGCCGCATCCACAAAGCATATCCAGATATCCCGCTCTCGACAATCAAGTCCACATGTCAATCACAAAAGAAGCGCGTCAATAATCAATCGCGACCGAGATCGGGGCGGCCTCGGAAGGATAGATCTATTGAGTTTTCACAGAATCAAATGTATGGATTTTGTTCTCCTATAATGGGCTGAATACAGATCTAATATTTCTTTGATAAGGTCGAGGCATTCCCAATCAGAACGAATACAGGACAACCAAGAACAACCCAGTCAACCACAAGACCAGGATAAGAACGAACGATTGACTCACCAGCTAGCCCCAACAGATGGACCGCTAGCCGGTTTAGGGGGCCAACAAGCAGAGGGTCAGCACGTTGCTTCATAGTTGAGAGCAGAATTGTGATAATGATGTACTATTTTGCGAAGAAATGGTATTGTACAATAATATACGAGGTATCGACCATACACAGATAAGAACGTCCTTCATGCCTTCAAATGGCCATTCAATTCTTCTCGTCTGAGTTCTTCCCTGGACCGCGAGGAGGGGGACTAGTGAATATCGCCTGAATTCCAGAGAAGAAGCTCTCTCGGATCTATTTCAATTCAATAGTTAGTTCAAAACTCAAAACCGTCTTTCGATACCCCAAGTGGATCGAGTGTGAAGAAAAGAGAAGCACTTACCCCATCGAACGGCGTGCCCTTGGTATCCCAATTCATAAATAGAATCGCGTAGACCGCAACAACTAGAGCCACCATGTCAGTACCAGAAATCATCCAAAGTCCTGTTTTTAAAGACATACATCCAATGATAATCCACTGAGCCAAAGTGACCATTTTAATAAACTTTGGCCGCGCATACTTCAGCGCCGCACGCCGGCGGTATTTACGCTCAAGTCGGAATTGGTGCTTCGGCGAGAGCTTCGACATGTCTGGGGGCCATTGTCGCTTGGGCGGATATTGGCTGTAGGGATCATCTCCTGGGTAGTGGAAGGGAGTTGCCTGTTTGTCGGTGGAGAGGCGGAAGGGAGAAGAGTAGTTTAAGATTGCGGAGGTGGTGAAGCGGGCTGGAGATGCGGTGGTGAATAGGCGGGGTTTGCAGGAGACTGAGGTGGAATTCTAAGTAGCGCATAGGTTAGCTTTCTTTATTCGGACTTTTCTAGAGAAAGACTGTATATTATATCGTACAAGATGGCGCCATGTTGGTTGGTGGCTGATCTGGGTCTTGAAGGCTGCAGTCGAGATTGGGCTCGCGAGTCGCGCCGACGGAGCGGCTGCGAAGATTTGACGAATCATGGGCAATTACCCGCCTAATCAAGGAGTAAAATTGTGGTGTATTTGCTCTGCGAGTCGAGAGAGAAGGTTGGAGCGCGGAAGTTTGAATGGGGGGAGGTCGAGGAATTGGAGTTGGAGAATTTGATCTGCCGTGCTCCGCAACACCTCCGCAGGCCCGCTCGGGCTGGTCTTTGTAAATACTTCTCGGACGTACAATCATCGTCAATACCCAAAACATCGGTATATTTGCATTTTGGCAAGCTTTCAGTGACAATATCTCAGATTGAAAGTTACGCTGGTAGGTTCTGAAAATGATCTAGACATTTCGGTGTATCGAAGCCAAACAGGTTAAAGAAGCTTCCTAACCGCCATCCAAAGAAGGAGCACGGTACAATTTTGGCATTTCATTGTAATATAATGAATTTTTGCATCATAAAACAAGGATATAAATCCAACAATAAGATTGGTGTCTGGAAGTTGGCAGATATTCAAGATATGGACATGGAATGGCTAAACAAACTATAGCTGATGGTTTAGTGGTGAATTGCAACCTGCCCTAAGGCTCATAGGCCTGGTAGACTTAGTTCGGGGTGTGAACTACATACACTCAGACAGGGTAAAAAAACAATATAGTACCAGGACACAACGATGTGCAAAAAAAGAATATTCAAACACCATGAAAGGAGGCAAAAATCGACGGCTGGCGGATTCGAACCGCCGCCTCCGAAGAGAATTGATTTCTAGTCAATCGCCTTAGACCACTCGGCCAAACCGCCTGTTGATGAAGGTAAACCAGACATGACGCTACATCGAGCATTAGCGCTTGTGCGATGATGAGCGACCAAGTGCATAGTCACGTTACAAAAGTTTGAATTGACGTCTTTCCACCGCTTACGATATTTGGCCTTTCATCATACGGCTTTTTGTCGCGCTTCAGTGCAACACGCGTTTGAGGGCTGTTTGACTCTTTGTTCTACAGTTTTTCGAGGCTATCTCGGTGCTCAAATGCCTCCAGTTCGCACCTCGGATCGTCCTCCAAGCCCCGGGGAAAATACCCCTGAAGGTGCAACTCAAAGCGACCCACCGCGCCGCCGTCGAGAGCTAGATGCAATCACTAGGACTAAGATCTGTACTCTTAGGACTACAGCTGGATGGACCTATAAACAAATTCAAAAAGAATTCCCCCATATTCCATATACTACACTCGTTACAACAGTTCACAAGGAAAACAAGCGAGTCCAAAATGCAACGTCTCCGCGTTCTGGTCGACCGCAGAAGCTCGATGAAGCGGATAAAGCAAAGCTTCTAGAAGCTGTCGACAAAAATCCTAATATTAGCAACGAGGAACTTCTCGCATTAGTCGACCATAAGGTCAAACGACAGTCGATCTGGCGTGTTCTTAAGGAAAAGGGGAAACAGAAAAGGTTTGTAACTCATCCCGCCTAACTCAACAGAGATTCATATATTCCAGTTTCATTGGTTGTTAACAAATATGGATGTAACTAGACTGGGGTTCAACCAATGGTCTTCCAAATGAGACGTTGAGCAGAAAGTCCAGAATGACTGGCCGTTCAAAGCCCCCTCTGGCCTATGCTTTACTTCAACCCTGTTACCCGGTTATAGACGCCTCCCACTTGTGATGCAGCCGCTACAGGATCTCATCCTTGCTGGCTGTCACATCATCATGGAGCAGGCCAATTTGCCCTTCCCTATTCGAAGCTCTGTATGGGTCGAGGCTGTGAATCCCCTGGGCATGAGATTAAATTCTGGAACGATAATCATAGTCCCTTGTGAAATGAAGAAGGAAACGGAAGAGATCGAAGGTGATCAACTGAATAGTTACCTGTGGACATAGATTATGTCAGGCCCGGCCAGATCAAGCGGTTCCATGTGGGTCTTGTTACACCTCTTTGGGTTTAGTTTTCAATGTCTGAGCCCTGTGGGTCTTCGTCTTGACCAAATTAGCCCTAGATTTCGAACAACCTTGGGAACCAGTCTCAAAATAGATAAAAAAAGATAAACCGACGGCTGGCGGATTTGAACCGCCGCCTCCGAAGAGAATTGATTTCTAGTCAATCGCCTTAGACCACTCGGCCAAACCGCCTGTTATATGATAATCAGCGAGAGATTTGCATCTATGAACGTGGCTTTAAATTTGGCAGCAGTTATAAGCTACTGGCAAGTTCAAGTACGATTTTCAGGTTAGATGTGTACTTAAAATGGTAGTACTAATGGTCATGCAAAAGGAATGGAGCAGAAACCATGTCAAAGTGGTCTGTCGATGCAACTGCTAAGGTTGCTGAGAAAACCTCCTGGGCTTTACTAAAAGGTGTTATTAAGTTTCCCGGGAGAGAAATCCTGGGTGAAGGAGCTAGAGAACAACATTGGACGAAGGGGGGGCAACTTGATAGTAAGTGCAAGACAGAAAGAGGAGTGATATTGCAAAAAGACAAAAAGAAACCGACGGCTGGCGGATTCGAACCGCCGCCTCCGAAGAGAATTGATTTCTAGTCAATCGCCTTAGACCACTCGGCCAAACCGCCTATTGGATGAAGTGAGCTTTGATAATTGACTACATGATCCTAGACTATACTAAAGCGCGTCAGGATTCCGTTGATCGTATACAAGGTTGGTCTGAAGGCGAGCTTACGGAAATTTGATAGACGAATTTTTTTGGGGATAATTTTGAATCAACCTTGGGAGGTAATGGACAAAGCACAATGTTGTCAATTCAATTGATACCCTTTCAAAGTTGTTGTTAGCAAGTAAATAGGGGGTCCATGTAAGAATATATTTCCCGATATCTCCGGCGGCCCTCAGGAGTATTTCTACGCCAGTAGGGGTTACCAAACTCCCGAGGTGAGAGAACCCTGGAAACTAACCCTGGAAATAGGGGATCACCAGACTGTCAAGGCGGGCAGGTAGGTAGTATCTGCACGGCCGATCAAAGTGCAATACGGCCGGACCTCTTTCATCCCGCGTCCATTCTGTCCACCTTGTGTGCTGGATGTCATAAAATACAGGTCGATATGGGATCACCCAACCCATCCATGATGGCCGCGAATAGGTTTTTATTCTTGGTTAGTGGACATCTGGGCAAAGTTGAAAGTGACAATACCCTAAAAAGTGTTCAAGTGGTTTGCCCTTACCTTCTCCTGATCCCGATACATTGGAAATGAAACAAGAATACCCAGTTGTCCCAAATTTGAAAACTTGAAGTCGATCAACGAACATAGACCATGCTATTCCACAAAACTGGCATTGGGAATTTTCATACTTGTATCATATCTATCACAAGACCCTAAATGCGTTCGGTCTTTCGGGCAGGGCCAACTGTGAAGTGGTAGGATGTAGTATATAATCGAGGGACATTTATAGGCAAACTCTATTACATTATGATTTAGAGCGACGATAAGCGATTCAACATGTATCATAAACAGGAAGAGCTAGATTGAAGGATTTAAGGCAAGTCGTATACCTCACTACCTACCAGTGCCTCGGACCACAAGTTCGACATCATCAGTGTCGGGAAATGGTCTTGACTTGTGGAAAATTTAATAATGTCCCTCCAGAGTAAAGAGTTGTTGTGAAGATTAGCAAGTCAAATCGAACCGATAAAAGACACTTCAAAGTCCACACCGAGTCCTTCAAACACGATAGATCACAGGCGAATTCCAAGGTTGATAGCCTGTTCTCAGGGGCCTCCAATATTTTGGTTGTGTACTGTAATGGACTTTTTGCTTATGTAGCCAATGCAAAAAACTTATTTTATCTAATAGGCGGTTTGGCCGAGTGGTCTAAGGCGATTGACTAGAAATCAATTCTCTTCGGAGGCGGCGGTTCGAATCCGCCAGCCGTCGATTTTTTCTTGCTCTGTGAAAGCGTTCACGATCTGGAACTTTTGTTTTTGCCATTCATTATCAAAGTGCCCTCCTTTCTTCCATTGTGGCTGTCCTATCAGAATCATTAAGTTTTTTTTCTGCCGGAATCTAATATTCGATTGATTGCCGAGATGCCAAGAATCCTTGTCTGCATTACGCACACTCGGAACTTCAACGGATAGACCAAGGCCCTGCGCGTCCTACATGTCTAAAGTCTTTTTGGATGGTAAGAGCCTACGGTGGAGCCTGGCTCGGAAAACCCCCCGACTAGCATTACGTGACGCTATGTATAAAATTCACCTTAAGCAACACCTTGAACGTAACTTACTGCATCCTCTGCTCGAATAAGGCACGTCTCAAGTTCATATATATCATATCAGAATACCTATAATCAATCCCTCACACCGAATATTCAGGTGCACGCTCAACCGCCCTTAAATGTAGAAGCTGAGCCTGACTTGAATTCTTCAGCTTTTTATGTACATAGATTGTACTTCGGAGTCAGGCAGATCCACAGTCCACAAAAAGTAGGGGATTTGGCATTATGACGCAAGGGTCTATTGTATTGAGTCTTTGCCCCACAGGTCCCGAAATTTGGAGTCGGTATATCCTGAGGGATCTGCATCACCCCAATGAGCTGCCAAGTGCCGGGCCGCGTAATAATGTTCATCGGATACATCGGTCGGCTGTCTGGTTAGCCCACATAGATAGATAGTCCATCAAACTTACTTTGCCGGAGAATAACAATAACCGCAGAATTGATTAGCAAGTCCCGACAGGGATAGCAAGTAGACATGTACGCATTTAGACATGTACGCATTTAGAGAACTCAATAGAACGCCCCACAATCGCTGTTTAAACCTGTCAAGGACTATTAGATGCCTCCAAGGGACCTGTTAATTGAAAGCTATGTGCATCAAGCCTATGAGGCTAGCCGAAAAAGACGTGCCAATTCCACGTACAATTGTGGACCTTGAAGCTCGTAGACCTTCGGGACTGCCAGCGTCTCCATATTTATTCCAAGATAATGTTCACCAAGATGCTAAAACTATCGACATTACCAATCTACCGTCAGATGCCAAGCCATATTGCCCCAGGGGCTTACGCAAGTGTACATTGCTGCAGAAAGCATGAGCGAGCCAGAAGTGTTGAATTAACAATACCTACAGACATATAAATGTAATCACAGCAGGACCTCTTAAGTAGACAAAGATATCAAAATTTTATTTTCTTATCATGCAGTATCCTAAACTGGTGGCCCTCGTCGGATTTGCTTCTATAGCACTCGCCCATCCAGGCCCTCACCACGGAATTTCAAAGCGAGAGGTGGCTCGTCGCCACGACCTATCCACCCGTTGCTCTGAGCATGTCGCCCGCTTCAACGAGAAGCGCTGGAATAGGAACATCAACAAGAGATCTCACGATCACAATACTACCGTTCAGATCCAGACCGAAGCTCCATACTACGATTTCATCCAGAATGACACCTGCGTGTTGACTCCTGAGGTGACCGAGGGCCCTTACGTCTGGCCTCAATCCCAGACTCTACGTCAGGATATGACCGAGGACCAGCCTGGTGTACCCTTGTGGCTAGATGTTGGCGTCCTCGACATGAACACTTGTGAGCCATTGGAAGGCGTTTTGGTTGATTTCTGGCATTGCAATGCCACTGGCAGTTATTCCAGCTTCACCGGACTTTCTCCCAACACGCCTTTTGAGACATTGCTGGACCAGCTGAACGTCACGGACTTTGAAATTGGTACCACTGACCTCCATACCGATGACACTACCTTCTTGCGTGGAATGTGGCCGACCGATCACAACGGCATGATGGAGATGAAGACTATCTTCCCCGGTTGGTTCTTCTGTATCCATATCAGCCCCTTACCGATGCTAATATTCCCACAGGGTTTTATATTGAAAGAGCTATTCACATTCACGTCCAAGTTCACACCGATTGGACCATTCGCGGCAATGGTACTATGGCCTACGGTAACACGGTCAGCACTGGTCAGATCTACTTCGACGAGCAGCTTGAAAAGAAGATCATGGCTCTAGAGCCCTACGTATCCCATACTGAGATCAATCGCACGACCAATGCTCAGGACAGTGTTTTCAGTGAAGACACAGATGGTGGCTACAACCCTGTGATCTCGGTTGTCCCCATGGATGGTAATGACTTGAGTAAGGGTATGGTCGGATACATCACCGTCGGTGTGGATCCTACTGCCATTGAGACTGATCTATAGGAGAATGAAACTCCATCAGACCTTTTGTAGACATTAGAATTTTGGAGTCGAGAATAAAGTATATTATAGACACATGGTAATATGAGGACTGTGCTGTATGTTAAACTTTTACTTCATCATCTCTGGTTTGATCTAGTTGAGAATCTGTTGGTGTCTTCTCGTTTACTGTTGTGCATAACGAAATTGCCTTCGATGAAAGGGTCACAAGCAAATGTAATTCTTAGTCATGTCTATCTACTGGTGTCAAGATCATAATGTTGAGCAATATTCGGTCATAATATTGTAAATGTCAATTCTCTCTAAGATCTCAATTTGATATAGAGATAATTACAACCTACGGATGCGGCAGGCAAACAGCAAAAAGAATATTGCAATGAAAGACATCGCTGAGATAATTCAATGCGTCCTCTAATCAGAAGGAGACTTATTAGATCTAGTACAGAAGCGGCGAGGAAACCCAATGATGCGGTGACTAAGTAATACGGCACGGCATCACATGATGAACCATAGAAAAGAGCCCGTACTCAATCGTGCATGATTGGCTGATACATCCCCATACATGCTCATACCCTTGGACTGACGTGCCCAGCTCGAGCTATACTTTTCGGGCGGTTTTCCTTGGGCCGAACAGAAAGACAGATTCTTTTCTCTGGGTTTTGATTCCACTTACCATGGATTCTCAGTTTCGACCTGCTCGTATACCAAATCGAAAGCTCTGGACCCGAAATTCAGTTTCTTTCAAACTTTGCACATGCGATATCGTATCATCATTGCGTCAGCCCCAAAGAGTTGAGAACAGATAGCTATTAATCAATTAATCATATTATTATCCTAATGTTGCTACTTTATCCGAGATGAGACAAACATCGTGGAGGCCCGCAAAATGGCATTTAGGTGGAAGAGGATTACAGCGAAGCTGGGACTGAGTATCCCCATGGTGCTGCTGATGTTCAAGTATGGTTTCCTCCATTCTATATGAATCAATTCTAAACTGAGAGACATGGACTATAGAGGTGCGATTGCACCTACAATTGGACTCGCAATGTACATCCACCATTTTCAGCCAGACTAGCCAAATGTACTAATATCCTGCAGATACCAGAGCGATGCCGTGGCTAGGAAGTTCTCTACCATTGGCTATCTCATTCCCATAATTTCGATCCTCACGATTCCAATTGCGCCACGAGCCCGATTCTTTCAAAATCTCACAGTGGCCATAGTATGGACCCATTGTTCGCGTGTTTGGTTTTCCTGTGCTAACATTTTGCTCGGTACGGTAGCTCTCAGTTGGATTGGCAGTCTCACTATCTTTCCTATCAATGTGGTGTGCCGTCCGGGCTCGCGCAAATACGACCCATCTACCTCCGGCAGGAAGCGCAGGTGGTCCAGTTGCTGGTGCTCATGTCAGCCCGTATAATGCCGCTGCAAGTGTCAACATGGCAATATGGTTATCATTCGAAGTGTGGCTGGCAAACACGTATGTTGCTGAAGTCCTTGTTATAATATCCCAAATTTGATGGATGGAGTAGGTTCCGTGCTTTTCGACCACAATACTTCATTCCGTCGATAATCTTCTCGATTTTCATTCAGGTGACGGCGACATATGGAAGTCAGTTCGCAACGATGGATGAAGCTGGATCTCTAAGTGAGACTTCCATCTGAGAGCATAGCAATATACATTTGCTAATTGTAAGAAACTTCTCCAGTCAAACACCTAGTGGAAACATTTTTTGCGGGGTTTGGACTAGCAGCAGCAGTCAATGTGATTATTATTCCGCTCACTTCTCGGAAGATTGTCAGCATGCACATGACGGAGAACTTCAACGCGATCCAGAGAGCACTGGACGCGCAGCGTGAATTTACGCAATCCCTATCGTTGGGCGACTGGCTTTTTATGCATGGTAAGCCAGATGTCTCTCAGCAGGAGACAACAACATCATGGCCAGAAGCAAAAACCCTGAAACATACAACCATGGAAGCTACCATAGCCCTTGGAAAGGTGACATCGGAAATGCGCTACGCAAAACGTGAAGTCGGTTGGGGTTACCTCGGGCCAAAAGAACTAGCAAACATCAATCACCTCCTGAAGAGGCTAATGGCCGCAATGCTGTGGATGGAGTCGCTTGCCAAAGTTACCAGACGAATACCTCACTTATTAATCCAGGTGGAAAGCATGTCTCACGAAGAGGAGCAACAGAAGTGGTGTTGGTTATTCGAACAGAGGCACGGGTCCACTGAACAACTCATCCAAGCCATGAAAGAGGGTCTAGACCACTCTGTGCATATGCTTCGCCTCAACAAAGCACCGGCGGCATCTCAATCGGACATTGAAGCCAACAGAAATCACACGAGCACACACTTAGAAGAGAAAATTGACAGCTTTCTCCGAGAACGACAGAGTCCATTAGATACCTGGCTCTCATGGACAGGCATACGCCAATCTCCTGAAATATCCAAAGGGGTGAATACTCGGCAACGTGAACGTTATCTATTTCAGCTCTACTTTCTTCTGGATGTAGGATCCTCCTAAACCCTGGATTGAAATCGTATACCTAACTTTTGTTGCAGTTAGAATCTTCGCTTATTGCAATCGCAAGAAGAACCCTAGATCTGGTCAAATATGCGGATTTGAAGGTGAGCGACGGTACCATGCACAAAAAAAGACTGGTGCTTCCATCATGGAAGCAAATGAAAAAATGGTTCTGGGCCTCATTGTCTAGGGAAGACCGAGAACTGGATTATTATCTGTACAGCAAAAGATCCGGAACTGCCAGAATCTACCTGGACGATGTCCTACAGACGGACACAGATCCAGAACACCTCCCCCCACAAAGCAAGTGGGAGATGTTTGGCGATAAACTCCGAAGAGGCTTTCATTTCTTTGGGTCGCCTGAGTCGGTGTTTGGCTTCCGAGTAGCAGTCGCTACCATGACTGTTTCCATTGTTGCGTTTCTCAGAAACTCGCAGCATTTCTACATCGAGCAACGCCTCATCTGGGGCTCAATCATGATTGCAATTAGCATGACTTCGACTCTTGGGTCAGCTATATATGGGCAATCAATGCGGCTTCTTGGAACATTCACTGCAATGGTGTTGGCATACATTGACTGGTTCATAGTTGACAAACAACCAGCAGGCGTCATTGTATTTGTTGGACTCACCATGTTTCTGTCCCATTACGTTTTAATTAGGATTCCCACTCACCCTGTGCCTCCTATAGTCCAAATGGTTACAGTAACGTTAATTGTGGGCTATGCACTTCAGGTAAAGAAGGTCGGGGTCATCTTCTCCGAGTCCAACGGGCAGGTATATCACGCTCTGTACGTGCTATCGCCTTATCGACTCGCTGCTGTTGTTGGTGGCATCGGGGTTGCTTTCATCTTCACATACTTCCCGGCTGTGACTACAGTCAAAAATTGCTTCCGGAGAGATCTTGCGTCTTTCCTGTATCTTCTCGCTCATTACTACAGCTCTGTGTACACGACAACCTCCATACTAATCAAAGGTCAGGCTGGAGATCGCAGCGACAAGAAGAGCCTCGGGAGAGTCCTTGAAAAAGCTCGCACTCGTGTGCTTTTCAAAGAAATCGTTCTCCTACAGGCAATGAAACAGCACACATGGTTCTTTGACTGGGAACCTACCACCGGGGGAAATTTCCCAGGGACGCCTACGATAAATTGGCCGAGCATGCGCAAAAGTGGGTTCGTTTCCTGATACCAGCTGTTGCAAGCACTGATATCTTTCTCAGCGTACTTCAACTTTCGGTAACATTAGTCGAAATAGCTGCTTCATTTCATCTCACCGGCCCGATACCCTCAGAGCCTTGGGACGAAGACATCAGAGCGCTCATAACATCTTTGGACATGAAGTCTCATGAAGTAACATTTCTTCTCACGACATTATCAGGTGCCATTAAAACGGGTAGTCCACTGCCTCTTTATCTCAAGGCGCCCAAACTTCGTCTGCCTACCGAGCTCCTCGCTACTGCTGCTCCCGACGCAAGCCTTGTTAGTCCAGAAAATTTCAACCAACCGTTGTTTTCAGCCATTGCCTCTATGGAGATGACTATGATGGCCTTAGAAGATGATCTATCTCAACTTTTATCCGGAACGAAAAAACTTGTTGGACAGTTGAACTTGTTGACAGACACTGTCCCCAGCGAAGACTTGACTGCTAATATGAATTCAATCATGGCGATGGAAAAAAGAGATTGACTTATGTATATTCATTAATATAGGATAGAATACAAAAGCTTTCTGAATATCTTCTAGACAAAAAGCTAGGCAAAAAGTCAGAGGAATGATCTTCACTCTTTAAGTCTGCTTATCAATGTCCTGTTCCTTCCATATTGACATCTCTTTAAAGCCAAAGTCCTCAACCTCGACATAATCCGCTGCTTGAGGTCCCAAATGGACGATCTTTCCAAAGAACTTGACGACAATGAAGATGATCCTGGTATAAGATAGTGACCGAATGAGTACTCGCATAATCCAAACACCGCAAGCAATTTCTGGATTGATAATGTACGGCTGACCAGGGGCTAGCTCCTGCCCATCCTTGACGATAGGTCGCATTTGCTCATTGTACTTTGCAAGTGCAGCTGAAGGGTCCGGACTCTTTCCTTTGATATAATTCTGGAGCTAACCTGCCAGCTTGTAGGCTGCGCTAAAAGCCAAGGTGGTGCCCAAGCCCGATATGGGAGAGGCGCAATAGCTTTCCAATCTCTAATAAGACTTTTGAAGAGGTCGCCTAAAGGCCAAAGTGATAATGGAGGGAAAATTGACTTACCCTGCGTCACCCAGGAGCACCACCCTTCCTTTACTCCAACTCTCCATTTTTACCTGCGAGACAGCGTCATAGTAGAAGTCGTCTGTTACTTTCATCTCCCGAATGATCCTGTCGCACTCCCACCCGGCGTCTTTGAGGTATTCCTCCAGCAGTGCCTTCTGCGCTTCAACACCTCTATTCCCCTTCATCGCGACCTCGACAAATTTTGCGTCCTTCTCATTCACAACATACATGAAGATAGTGGACCTCAATCCAAGGCTGTCTGGTCGTAACATGATACCGCGCCGACCAGGAGCATGAAACCACCGTCTCCACTTACCGTCCTGTTCCTCGCGTGGGATGCTGAAGAAGCCGGCAAACATTCCTATCCGCTTCAATCGGTCTTTCTCGCCTTCTTCCCTCCAGACCATCTTCCGTGTCCGACTTTGCATACCATCAGCTCCAACCAGAAGATCAAAGCTTCTTGACTCGCCGCTCTTAGCAAAGTGCACATGCACCTGGTTGTTATCCTGCTCGATCTTATCGAGATAATCTCCAAATATGTACTCAATGCCCTTAGCACCCTCGTTCTCAGCTTCAGCACTGACCCGCTGGCTGTTCCTCCAACACAGTTCAGCAAGCCTACCTCTAAGAATCTCAATGTCACTTGTTGGCATCTGTATCTCGCCGGTCTTATCAACGCGGTTCTGTGACCAGACGCGATTGTGCTCATCAACTAGCTGGACCCCTTCTTCTCCAGTGGTAGAAGCTCGAATCTGTGCCTCGAGCCCTAGCTTGCGGATGATGGTCACACCCGCGCCGCGAATGTCAATGTTCTGGCCGCGCAGATGGGCGCTGCGCGTGGACTCGCGCTCCAGAATGGTGATGTGAGGCTTCTGGGCGGCAGGGATATCTGCTAGCAGTAGAAACGACGCTAGTGTCGGACCTGCTATCCCACAGCCAACAATCAGGATATTTTGGGGGCAACATGTTGCCTTTGGATGCGAGATGATAGCGCGCTCTTCCAGCAATGTGATTTATGAATAAGGAGCTCGCGCAGGAGGCCAAAGAAAATCGGATTCGATGTGTCAAGTACTTCATGCCCCTGATTGGAGCACAAAGGGGTTTTATGGTGTGATGGTGTACTTCCTTGGTCTTTCGGCCAACAAAAACAGATTCGGGCCCGAGGGCATTCCCATACTCTGACTGGTGTTTCGTCGGTCTCACCCCGCACCTGCGGCGCTTCGTTTGGGGGCCATTCCTGCTTTCCAATGTAACATGCACCCTTATAGTGCCTAAAGAGTAGACATTTCTTAACGCCCGTGCGCTCCACGGCTTGCCAGTGGGAAAGTCTAAGTAAGAGAAGCAAATAGTGGGAACCTATGGAGGCACACCTTGCTATGCGCGCTGATTGAATTAAGGTAAATCTAGGATAATATGCTCTGTCGCATAACGGGGCAGGTGAAATATTTTTGGTAATAAGATTGGTTGAATAGAATACATGTTCACGTTGAGGATGGTACAAATGAAATTATTGCTGAAACATGCTGGAGAAATGACAATGGCATGAAGAGACAATTACGTCAAATAAAGATAAATCTATGCCCTGCTTATCTTTTCGAGATTACCTTAGAAACCACCAGCCATAACGACACCATAGTAGCGTCGGCTCATCTCCACGGTCTGTAGGACGCGAGCATCACCAGTCAAGGGAAGACCAAGAACTGCAGAGGATTCAACGGACTAGATTTTGAGTTAGTAAAATTGTCAAACGAGATTGGAAATTCTTGCATAGAGCTGGGTTCATCACTAACCTGAACATCCTCATGGGTGATCCAGCCGGCCAAGGCACGACTCATTTCCTTGAAAGCAACACGTTCTTCTAGACCGTCCATGCCGGAACTATCGCGAACGCGGTCACCCACGGCAACCAGTGCGTTGACAAGGCGAGTCAGACGAGTGGGGTCACGTCTGCCGCGAGGTGCAGTGGCCAAGCGCAAGAAATCCTCGTAGATACCACCGCCAGAGGCCCAGCCGCGCATCTTGCGTTCAGGACCATCGCCGAAACCCGTGACAAGCTTCTCCAGAGTCTGGTAATCGCGCGAGATGACAGTTGTGGGCCCAACAATGCGACAGAAGGTAGCATGGGCATCGTTCCAGTGCTTGCCGCGGATAAGGCAGTCGACTTCACGGATGGCATCACCACGATCACGGGCAGCAAGGGCCTTGGCAACCCAAAGCCAGGCATCGGGAATTTGAAGGTCAACAGTCATGTGGAGCCAGGCGGGGTCAGTACCGGCGCCATCGGGAGACGTGGGGTCGGGAAGGTCTGCACCATATCGAGCAAGAGTTTCTTGCACAGCACGCTTACGATCATCGGGTCGCGACAAGTGAAGAAGAACAAAGAGAGCCGAGGAAACATCTCCAGCAGCGATCAGTTCCGAAGCATAGTCCCAAACCAGATGATCGACTTGGACTTGATTGATCTTGATCGCGTTGTTCTGTCCCACGACAGTAGTGAGGACGTGATGCAGTTGGAAGGACAAGCGGTTGGTCAAAAGGTTGCCAGACAAAGACTGGGGGAGCAGCGCCGCAGGGAGCTCAGTAGCAGGAACCTTTGTGTTTCCGCAAGCCGCCGAGTATGCCTTCAGAAGAACCCATAACGGAGACTCACGTCCAAGAGTGTCTGAGCCAGGCTGCACAGTAGTACGAGTATTGGCACTTTGCGCGGGGTGGGGGAAAGCAGGCTCGAGGCCAGTGGCTAGGTCTTCAAGGAACTTGGAGACAGCGGCCTCAATAGGCTCATCCTCGGTGATACCATACCAAAGGCGGAGACCAAAGGCCTGTAGCCAATCCAGCTCGAAGCGCTCGGTGAAAACAAAGCTTGAAGCTCGGTCTTCTAGTGCACCGCCCGCTTTGCCCTCACTGCGAAGACCATTGCCGGATACTAGCTCATAGAGAGCTCGGACAGGCTCAGTCATCTCCGAGAGAACATTGTTTTGGCGCCAAACCTCAATCTGATTGGCCATGTCTGCCTTTGAGGTGGCATCCCGACCAATCTGTGCAACCACAGTCGCCAGGTGATAGTTTTGGCTATCAACTAAAGTTTTGCAAGCCTCTTCAATTCGGTGAGAGCACAGAAGGTGGACAGCGCGCTCTTCTGGAGAGCGAATATGGTCCAGATCCTGAGTGTGGCGATCACGAATGATGTTCTTCCACAGGCGGGTCAACCGATCCTTTTTAATTCGATGGGCAAACTTGGGTCGCAGCTGCGGAGGCACACCCGCTGAAATGTCGTCCTCGATCTCATCATTGAACAAGATATTGGCCAGCTGCCAGATTAAACGTTCTTCCTCTGGGGCCGGCTGGATGGCGAATTCGCGAAGATCAATCTTGGCCAGACGGACCAAGGGTATCCCATCGACCCGCTGAATGGTAGACTGCTGATTTTGCACATTAAGGATATCTGTGGACTAGATTCAAAATCAGCGAAAGTTTTCAACCTCAAGATTAATGGAAATCTACCTCAATTGGTGGATTGTAGCCTAAAATCGTGACATCCCTCGCCTCACTGAAGATGGAGTATCGTTCCTTCCATCGATTATTCGTGTCTGAGAAAGGCTCATGAAGGTCATCCTTGGCACAGATAATGGTGTCCATTGGACCCCAGCGGGGTTTAAAAGACTCATGGAAAGCAAAGTCCTTCTCATCCATTTGGGCGGTATCAGCGAACGTTTTTGGTTGTTTGTTGTAAGGCCACTGTACCGAAGAAAGAGAATAAAATTTAGCTCATGTGATCTCAAATTGGTCAACTATCTGCGGGGGTGGGGAATGGTGGTGCTAGGTACAGGATGGGTAAATATGACAGGGGTAAACAAGAAATAAGGCATGAACACAGGGCATAAATAGATCGAGAGTGAAGGGAAAATCAAGTGTAAAGCAAGGTAGGGGAGCGAACCTCAAGGCCCTTGGGCTGCGATTTCGAAGCTTTCAGCTGAGAAGCTGCGTTTTGCTTCTTGGGCTGCTGCTGGAATAGCGAATTCATCAGGTCGATACTGTTGGTAAACCCCTTCTTGGGAGATGCCATTTTCTCTGATGGTGATTCCTCACTCAAGAAATGTCGGTCGGTGAAAGCACTGGCTTGAATTTCTCGCAGAGCATCACGGTTCTGCTTTCGAGGGCTGATAGTTCGCTGGAGCTGCTCAGTCCAGTCGCCGCTGAGATTCAAACGAGGCTTGGGTGGTGTGCCGAAGGGCTTAAAGATAGGCTGGGTGGTTTCCAGAACACTGCTCTGGTCATCGTCCTGCTCCACGGTGCGATGAAGACTGGGAAAAGAACCCGCCATGTCCATATCCCCTTCTTCATCAGATCCAACTATCGAGTCGCCAGATTGCTGGCTCTCGGTGACGTCGTCGTCATGCTCAGTAGTCGAACCCGCGGAGCCTTCCTCTAAAAAAGACTCGGTCTCACCCTCGGAACCCATCTCTTGGTCTTCTATGGCCATGGCCTGATTTCCGAAAGAGCCAGGGACCAGCTTGTGCTTCTTAAAATCGAAGGTGTCATCATCCATACCCGCCATAGATCCAACAAACGACTCGTCGATTGAAAAGGTCGCGGACTGCTCAAAGCTGATGGGGTGGTCGGCCTTGGGAGTGCGATTGTCAGGTCCTGCACTCATAGTGCTCTGATCAAGACTCTCACCTTCTTCATCCTCATCATAGTCAAGTCCATACGTGGTAAAGTGAGGCACAGTGAAAACCCAGGTGCCAGTCTCAAGCTCATAGTCGATGAACTGGGTATCCGTCACCTTCATCAAACGGTCAATGTGCTTATCAAAGAGTGGTCCATTGGTGACGGGGGATGGCTTCTTCTTATCACGACCACGCGGCCAGGAGTTCTCGATACGTAGAGTGGAAGGCACGTTGAGACCCTTACCCATAGGAGGCTTGATTGATTCATCAGGATACACAGTGATCTTCCGAAGACCAATATCCACGATTCCATTGAAGATATTGTCGATATCAACGGTAGTAAGGTCAACGGGACCATTGAAAGTGACCTGTCCACAGTTCTGGCGACCGACAGTGAAGTCCACAACGCGCTTCAACTGATCGCGGCTCATCTTCTGGAGCTGCGCTGCAGAGGGGGACATCCAGTAGTCACCGGGCTTGGGGTCACCAGTAGGAACGGTAAGGTGCTTGGCGGCAGTAGGGACGGGCTCGCCATTCTCAGGAACGACGGCGAGGTCGCGGCTGACGGATTCCATTTCGGGACGGTCAATGGCATCGATACCGTTCAGACTGCCACTCTTGCGAGTAGACCGAAGGAAACCGAGCTCTGCGGGGGTAGGTTCCGGACTCTTGGACTCCACGCGAACTAGCTCGCCACCAGAAACGCCAGGCGAGTCAAAGCTGACCTTCTTCTTCAACTTGTCGGTAGGCTGGGAAGCATCCTCACCATTGGTGATGGGAGCGGGCGATGTGCTGGCGGGACGAGCAAAGAGATCGCTCCGCAGGCTACGATCAATTGTAAGACGCTTGAGACTGCTTCCGTTACCACGACCACTGCCAATTTGCAAGGCACCGGGAGACAGAATGCTATCCGAATCTGGGTTGAAAGAGTTGCGAAGGTTGCTAGTGGAGTAACTCTTACTGAAGCTGCGCCCAAAGCTGCCATTGACGCTGCCACGCAGACTGCCGCTGCTAGGTCCAGAGCCCAACAGACTGTTTCCAAGGCCAGGGGTGCTGGCCGCACTGGAGGGGGATCCATAAGTAGAATAGGAGAATCCATAGCCCTGATTCCTCTTGGGGGGAGTGATGAGACGGTTCGCAGCATGAGGGGTCATGTTGTAAACAGGCAGCGGGGTTCGCTGCTTCTGCTTCATAGTGGAAGAGAGGGGAGTAGCCAAAGGACCAGGAGACGGCGCATTGGGTGCTGGCAGTCCCGAGAAGATAGACTGGCTACCGTAGGGGTTACCCTCAAGGAGGGATGAGGTAAAGCTACCGGGGGCGGGCTGCTGGGGCTGTTGAGCCTGCATGGGTTGCGAAGACCCAAACATGCTACCACCAGCCGGCTGTTGCTGCTGGTTCTGGCTTCCGAAGAGGCTACCACCAGTGTTCTGAGCACCAGTACTTTGAGTATTGCCAAACAAACCTGTGCCACCTGTTGAGCCGAAAAGGCTAGGCTTCTGCTGCTGCTGGGGTTGCGTGTTGCCCAAAAGCCCACCACCTGTGGACTGCTGAGGTTGACTGGCACCAAAGCCGCCACCGAACGCACCGCCGGTGGTGCCGGTAGAGCTGCCAAAGAGACCACCAGGCTTTTGCTGCTGCTGATTTTGGTTGCCGAAGAGCCCACCTCCAGTGTTGGCCGACTGATTGAACAGTCCGGTACCGCCCTGTTGAGCCTGCTGTTGCTGTGGCTGCTGTTGGTTATTTTGTCCGAATAGAGATCCAGTGTTTCCGCCAGCAGCACTGTTACCGAACAAGCCAGTGGTCCCAGATTGCTGCTGAGTGTTGTTTGCGCCGAAGGTACTACCCGTATTACCAAATAAGGACTTGTTCTGGGTTTGATTCTGCGCCCCGAAGCCAGTCAGAGAACTCGTTCCAGTCTGCGGCTGGGCACCAAAAGGCGCGGCTGTAGCAGTTGCGCTACCGAAGGGGTTGGAAGCTGTGGTTGTTTGCTGAGTGCCAAATCCACCACTGCCAAAGCCACCAGTGCTGGGGGTTCCCGCGCTACCGAAAGCAGGCTTGTTTTGCTGCTGGTTCTGACCGAACAGAGAGCTGCCAGTGTTGCCGAAACCCCCAGTTCCAGTGCTGCTGCCAAATCCTGTACCGGTTGCTCCTGCGGTGCCGAAAGCAGATGGCTGCGCTGCAGCCGTTGTTCCTGTGCTTCCGAACAAAGAACCTGCAGGCTTGGCTCCTCCGAAAAGTGGATTGGAGTTAGTGGAGCCGAATGCGCCGGTGGTTTGTGTTTGTCCAAAGGCAGAGGGTGCACTTGTAGCTGCGGCACCACCAAAGGGTGTAGCACTCGCCCCGAAGCCAGTGGCTGGCTGAGATCCAAAACCACCTGTTGCAGGTGTACCGAAGGCAGAGGAACCGAAAGCACCGGCCTGACCGCTTCCGTTGCCGTATCGACGGCCTTGTTGATAATCAGCCAGTCTTAGTTCTTCGAACGAGAACTTGCTGTATGGTTGCATGAAACTGACGCTCTGGTAGTGGTTTGTCGCACTGGTGTTGGTGTCCTTTTCAGTGAAGGCACTGAATGGAGTGCCACCAGTGCCTTCACAGGGAGGCAAGGCACCTTGGAAAGCAGTACCAGTACCGGTGCTGCCAAAGCCTCCACTAGGCGCAGCAGTGTTTGTTGCCCCGAAGCCGGTTCCTGAACCAAAGCCACTGCTGGTGTTCGTGGTGCCGAAACCTGTACCAGGAGTTTTGCCGAAAAGACTTCCACCGGTGTTTGTATTGGCGGTATTGGTGTTACTGCCAAAAGCACCAGTGTTTCCGGTACCGAATCCACTGCCGGTAGAGCCAAATGCGTTGCCTCCAGCAGCTGCATTGTTTCCGAAAACACCACCTGTTGTGTTGGTAGTTCCGAAGCTCGCGGGACGATTCTGTCCGAAGAGTCCACCAGATTGGTTATTAGTGTTGGTACCGAATCCTAGGAATCATAACGTCAGTAAGCTCGAGCGGAAGCAGGAAAACGAAAAGCAGATCAGAAGGAAAATGTAAGCTCGGGAAAAACAAAACAAAGGACACAAAGCAAAAGTGCAAGAGAGGAGTAGCTCGACTCGGACGAGGGTATCCTCATGTGTGGACCACTCAGGCTCCATGGAATTCTTCAGGTTTGCCGATCAACGTTACCGCCCGTTGTCAACTGCCCCGGGAAGGCAGAGAAGACCACGCATGGAGCGTACTTCTCAGGCGCAACCGAGAGTGTGAATTCCATAGGACGCAGAGTAAGGGTCGGTCAAGAAAGATAGAAAGGCGTCCCAGGAAAGCCGGAATAGCGAAATCGCGAGCCTGTTGTCTTGAGCACGTACCTCCGCTGGCGCTGGAGCCGGCGCCGAAGCTGCTGGCTGTATTGCTACCAAACAAGCCACCACCAGTAGTTCCGGTTCCAGTATTGCTAGATCCAAATGCTGGGGTTCCGGTAGATCCAAAGCCTATATGGTAGGGGTGATCGCGGTCAGAGAGACTGGTTTCAAGCTGGGCCTCGCAACTCTTTCTGTTGTCACGGCGTCGCTGAGCATCGAGAAGAACCGCTGGAGATGTCGAAGAGGCCTGACGAAGGATTTCATGACTGGAAGATGGGATTGATTCCTTGCGCGTGTCATGGCCATGGCGGGTCGACGTCAGGAGCACCGGATTGTTGTTGAGAAGAGAGCGCCGAAGGGCGGAACGAGGTCACAGACGAAGAGAAACAAGGGGGATGGGAAAGGGCAATGGGGGAAAAGAATCGCAGATATGTGATATGATGCACCTACCTCCTGCAGTGTTATTGTTGGTGCCGAATCCAGAGCTCCCGAAGTTGGAGGTCTGGTTGTTCTGCCCGAACCCTCCTCCACTTCCGAAGAAAGACATTTTGTCGGTCGGGAGCTGAGGACGCTATGGGTGCATAGGTCAGGCTCGCGCAAGTAATGGGTGACGAAATCGTCCTCGACGATGGGTGTGATAACGAGGGTGGCGCGTGGGGAAAGAGAAGGGAGAGACGCGACAGAAATCAAGTCAAGTTTGCTGAAGGCAGGAGTATGATTATGTCAGCACGGGCAACAGTGATCCGTCACGTGGTTGCTGCCTTACTCGGATGCGGGATTGACTCGACTACACTCGTGCATGGATGCATGCAAAGACGGAGTGATGCAGAATTGTCGTGTAGTGGGGCGCTAGCCCTTCGATGTGAATCTCACATACCGAGCTGGTGAATGTCAAATTTGAGAGTTTGTGCAAGGTTGAAAATTGAATAGGGTGGGAAACATGAGATGAACTACTACATTCCCTCACAGCTGGGGGATATCGTTAATTTTTACACTACAGAGATGAAACAAAAGATCCAAGATAAATCGAAAATCACATGGCTCATGATGATACTGGTAGGGAATCTCAAATACATCAAGGGAAACTCATAACCGAACTAAAAAAAAAAGAAATGTCAACCTCCCACCTCAGAGTTTGTTATTGACCCTACTACGGAAAATATGCAATTAGTAAAACTGATCTCGAGCATTACACAGCATAGCTCAAGGGAACTCACTGTTTTCAAACATTATTATCGTAAATTTCATTGAGCACTCTCCTACTTCCGACGAGAAGCGTGAACAGTCTCGATGATCTTGTCCACAACGGAGGGGTCAGAAAGCTATGGAACAGATTAGCAATGTTCAAAGTAAAAATGCAAGCAAAAAGCAGGGTCGGAAAGCTTACTGTAGAGATGTCACCCAAGCTGTCCTCCTCGCCGCTGAGAATCTTGCGCAGAATGCGACGCATGATCTTTCCGCTGCGAGTCTTGGGGAGATCCTCCACAACGAAGACGGCCTTGGGAGCGGCGAAGGGGCCAATTGATTTGCGGACCTGCATGACCAGATCCTTGCGCACCTGATCGTTGGTCTCATTGCCTTCCTTCAAGGCTACGAAAGCATTCACGGCCTGGCCGGTCAGCTCGTCCGAAATACCAACGACAGCAGCCTCGGCAACCATAGCTAGGAGAAGTTAGCGATCTTGATTTTTTTTCCGCGTTCAGGAAATACTCACGGTGCTCAATAAGAGCAGCCTCGATCTCAGCGGTAGAGAGACGGTGACCGGAGACGTTAACAACGTCATCCACACGGCCTCGGATCCAGTAGTAGCCGTCGTGATCGCGACCAGCGCCATCTCCGGTGAACTAAATAATTGTCAACTTCTCGCCTCAAAAGCAGTTGTAGGTGTCTTACGTAGTAGCCCTTGTAGACGTTCAAGTAAGTGTCCATGTAGCGCTTGTGTGCTCCCCAGACGGTACGGGCCATGCTGGGCCAGGGTTGCTTGAATGCCAAGACACCCTCGACGTCGTTACCAGTGATTTCCTCGCCAGAGACGGGATCAATGATGGCAGGCTCAATGCCAAAGAAGGGCAAAGAGGCACTGCCAGGCTTGGTGGGGGTAATACCACCCAAAGGTGTAATGACGTTGGAACCAGTCTCGGTTTGCCAGTAAGTCTATCCACTTAGTTAGCATGTGCGCATTTTCTTTTTAGCTTTAGGGGTTTACCAACATCGCAAATGTGAGCTTCTTCCTTGCCAACAGATTCAAAGTACCACTTCCACACCTCTGCGGCGATAGGCTCACCAACAGATCCCAGGATGCGGAGGGACTTCATCTTATGGTGGATGTGCTCATCACCAGCCCGCTTCAGCAAGCGCAGAGCAGTAGGGGCGACATAGAACTGAGTCACATCGTACTTGTCAATGACATCCCAGTAACGGGAGAAGTTGGGGTAGGCAGGGGTAGACTCGAAAACAACGGTGGCACAGCCCAAGAGCAGAGGGGCATATACGACATAGGTGTGTCCGGTAATCCAACCCACGTCACCACCGCAGAAGTAGCGGTCGTCGTCGTGAATGTCAAATACGTATTTTCCAGTCATGGCAGCACCAAGCAAGTAACCGGCGGTAGTGTGCATGACACCCTTGGGCTTTCCGGTTGAGCCGGAGGTGTAAAGAAGGAAAAGAGGATCCTCGGAGCTCACAGGCTCCGGGGCGAGGTAGTTGGGGTACTTTTCGACCTCCTCGTGCCACCAAATATCACGGCCGGCGGTCCAAGGGACCTCGGCGCCGGTGCGCTTGAAGACGAGCACAGTAGACACATCAGGGCACTGCTTAAGTGCCTCATCAACAATGCGCTTGGTACCAATGACCTTGCCACCACGCTTGCCCTCGTCACTAGTGATGACGACTCTGGAGTCGGCATCAAGGACACGGTCACGCAGCGAGTCAGAGGAGAAACCGGCAAAAACGACCGAGTGCACGGCACCAATTCGCGAGCAGGCCAAGAAAGCAATGACTGCCTCCGGAATCATGGGGAGGTAGATGGCGACTGTGTCACCCTTCTTCACACCACGCTTCTTCAGAGCCCAAGCCACCCGAGAAACCTCGCGCAGCAACTCGCCGTATGTAATAGTACGGCCCTCGTTGGGCTCGTCAGCCTCGTAGATAATGGCCACCTTGTCGGGATTCTTCAGCGCATGGCGATCGACGCAGTTGAAGGAGGCATTCAGGGTTCCCTCGACGAACCAGGCATTGTCGCCGTTCTCGAACGAGCCGTGGTGAGTTGTCTGGAAGTCCTTGTCGAAAGTGAGCAACTCGCGAGCCATACGAGCCCAGAAGGTATCGGGGTCGCGGATCGATTCCTCATAGAGTTTCTTGTACTCATCAATATCCTTCAGATGAGTACCGGTGGGGTGCTTGTCGTGGAAAGCCTGAGGAACATGGAAAGTGTCGACCTCGTGGGCCTCGTGCACCTGCGTGGGCGACCAAATTAGCCATCAACGTGATCGCTCGAGAGACTGGGGAGTGGGGTGAGGCAAAAATCCACGGAGACACAGGAACTTACCACCGAGGGTTTGGGGGCAGTCGACATGATTTGTGAGCCTCTGGGCACAGAGAATGAAGTGAGAGAAAAGCGTCGCAAACCTCTGGAGGTGGAGAGTCAGAACAATTTCCAAGAATGTGGAGGGGGACGAGATCAATAAGCTCTTGATGAGAAAGAGAGGGAGACTTACTGGGGACGGGGCGGTTTACGGAGGGAAGAGAGACAAGGGAGGAGCAAAGCAGAGAAATAAACCACGGGGGATCCGCGGTGATTTAGTAGTCGGTCCATTCAGGCCATTGCCCACACAATCGCCCGGGCAGGTGGAGATCGACCCAACCATGAATACCTTTCCGTACGCGCTGTCACTACTTATTTTCGGGTGGGGGAAGTCCCCCGCCTGGTCGGGAGCAAGCTAGTATGCCGCATACAGCCCAAAATTACCGCCGGTGTATTGTACATACTAGTTCTAAAAAGTTACTCCTACATCTCAGGGGATCACAGGAATTCATGGTTCTCAATGGATCGAATAGCCGAATTCAGTATGCTAGTCAATCATAGTTGAAGCCGAGGTTAATTCGGAATAAATGATTTCTTCCAAAAGTTGTCTCTAATTAGGTAATTCCAAGGGCTGAATCGCAATATGTAATCCATATCACTAATGAGATCTACCTAGGGCTCTTCGGGGCTCTCTTTTTTTTTTTTAGCTGTAATTTGCATATATCAAAGGAAACGACGACTATGATCTCAACTTGATATGTGTCCTGCTCTGTAGTGTCGATGAATGATGGAAACTAAGATGTATTGAGAATACCAAACCATTAGTTGAATGGAGCTTAGCGCGCCCAACTGCCTCATGCGGTGTGGACCGTGCTTTTCCCGCTGGATGAGGAATGCGGGCTTTACTGAATGCAGACTCTAGTCGGCACATTGGATACTCTGCAGCCGACCAGGCACGATCGGAAAGTCACCTGGATTGAGTGAAATTCCGACCAAGCCCCTGTATGGGCAAAACACTAGAACGTGAATTTTGACTTCGGCCATGCGGGGGACAAGGCTCTTCCGTTGCTCCGGGGAAAGGTCAACAATAGAACCCTTCCCCTCCCTTCGTCCCCTTGTCACTTGTCCTTTAACACCATTTGTCCGAAGCGATCGGCCAGATTGCCTAGGTCCTACTTGGCATGCACTTTGCTCGGGTCAGATAGGTCGCAAAGTGGTCAGCAGCAGCTCGCTGGAGGAACGGGATCGGGTGTTTTGAATGTTGTTAACCGTGGACCTAGGTCAATCATCCGGGTGATCTCGCCACTTGCGATGTCATTGAATTCCCAAGCTTGTTTCTCTAGCTTAAAGAAAGTCAATACCATAAACGATGATATCACGATCCTTGAAGCTGTCACTGAGACCACATCCCACTTGATGTTACTTATTTCCCATGCTGCGGGGGCTGAGTCAGCAGGAGCGTGTGATTTGAATTCAATGTCAAAAGTTTATTTTGTACTTTCTTCCCTTCCCGAGAGTATTTATCTAGATCTTTATGATCGCGTGGATTCTCAACCTCATTTGTTATATAGGCCGAAATGGATCTAGTCATGAACTAACAAACACTTAAGCACCACAGTGGAGTCCACAAATCCTAGCCCAGTATGGTAACAGGTTATTTAATTTACACAAAGATTGTTGGTGGGTGGCTTCAAAACAACTGTAAGATTACAGTGGGATTGTGGGATTGTGGGGGGGGGGGAGAGAACGCCGTGGGACAGCCCCCTGTTCTTAAATATTATCACCAAGATCATCGGTTGCATTGCCAATGGGGCTCTGGGCGACTGCTCAATGGCGCCTAATTAAAAGTGGGAGATCTTTACTACTGTTGCACCCACAGGTTGCTAATGTAGTATTTCCACAAGACTATTACTTTGCAATTTTAATTGACGAAGATCAGTGGGAATACGAGCTGCAGGTCTCTGCCGCTTGCAACCCTTTGACATGCAAAAAAAAAAAAAAAAAAATACAAAAATACAATAAGCTCCACACATCCCACTTCGCGCGCCCCAACAACCCTCCTTTCCTGCAGCCTCGGGCTCGGCCTTCATATGGCAAAGCATGCGGGAACCAGAATAAAATACGTCCGGCAAACTCAGCTCACCGGACGAAGCCCGACTTTCCAGGACCCAATGAAGCCCGCGGAATTGCTTTACCGTGGGGCAAATCCACTTGCTTAGATTGTGGGCTCAACGAGCAAGTGTGCACCGAGAAAAGACCGCATTATCTCCTTGGTGGAGCCCCATTGATTCCATAAGCTGATTTTCTGTCAACAGCTATGGGGTCAGATCGATTCAATGCCGATTTATTGGTCAACGGTACTTTGTAAGAGACCTAATAAACTCGGGAAAGAGTGAGTTCCGCGTCGGTCCGAATCAATGCGACCCGTCTTGCCGAAATGCAAGATTCATTAACGGTCGCCATGCTCCGCTTATCGCCATGTACCCGGGCTCGATGGACGAAACCTAGATAACAAACCACGTGAGACTGGAGACTGTGACGATTGCTCAACTTTACCTCCATGTCGCTGATGGATACTACTTATCAACATCAATGGAGAGAGACCACAATCACTACATATCATCCATGGGTTCTTATCAGACGCATCGCTCTGGTAGCTCCCTGTAGCCTGCACCCTGCAATATTACATTCCCATCCTCTTGACCATCCGTTATGCTAATTGTAGACACCGACTCGACCCCACTCACTGCGGTAAATTGGCGTGATGTAACAAATCTATATTGTGGGTGAAATTGATCGCATCCTCTGTTACGTAGGGACATACCTTCCCTGATAGCATATGATCACCAAGATGAAAATCTTCAGCATGATATGAATAGACACCTCGAAGAGACTCTTCAACCAAGAACTCCAGAACTACTCCAAATGCTCTGCTAAACCATTGCTTAAGCACTAGAAGGAGTGATAAATGATCACAGGATAAAAAGGACCAGAGCTCAATTTTACCAATAAATCAACCCGTTCTGCACTTCATGGTAACATGATCTACACATGGGTCTTACTCAGGAACTCAAGAACTTATGTACTCCCAAAGTCAGCCATGGTAACGCAGCCATGACGATATCCAGAGTAAGGCTCACCCAATCTTGTACATAAATATAGTCAGAGCTCGAAAGACTTTGATCTACCGGTGGGTTCAGTCGTTAGATCATTCACATGGCATATGCGAACTTGTACGATCTCCAGTGCGCCTTCCCAGGGAACGATCTGTTCTGAGGGATACCCGAGGTCATGCCTACCTAGAATATCATTGATCTTCCGAATGGTCCCCTTATATAAGTGGTTGTGCTTGATTGCGCGTTATTAGTATGATTTGGGCAGCTGTTGAAAATCTGCAGAGCTAATGGATCACAAGAAGAGAGTGAAGTGCGATGGATCAGATAGCTGGCTGACTGTTGTTAGTGAAGAATGGTTGCGAGGAGGGTTGAGGGCTTTGAGATTTCGAAAAATGGACAGTCTCTGCGACTGTGGATTATCAGATTAGGGTCTTGGGCATACATTTGATAGTAATACATGGAGTGAATCGTTATCACCTTTGCCTGACTTTCTGGTCTCCAAATCAATTGCAATAATTGATAACAGAAAAGCCAAGTTTGTTCTTTTTCTACATCACCACGCTTCACCCATCTATCACTACAGCTGTGACAGTAAGCTCATAATGCTGAGCTATATCCGTAGACTGAAGAATGTAAAAAGGTCGAGGCGGTGTAGGACTGATTCAAGCTTATTTCCACATTTCTCTTTGTCTGGGGTCTCACCGCCCTTACCTGTGGGGTTTCACCTTCGTCATCTCAAGATAGCATGATCAGTCTCACTTTCTCGAAATGTCTCTGCAGCCATGCCGGACGATATGTCTATGATCCCATATAATGGGGGAAATCTTGATGTTGTCCTGTAAGTATTTGTCCCTAGTCTCTTGCTTCCCGGGCTGACAGAGGTTCAGCCGACATAACGACTCGGTGGTCGTCTATGATCATGACTCGCAACAGCTAGTTCTCCGCACTGCAGCTGATACGCGTGCGAATGACGTCGAGCTTTCAAATTGCCCTTTATGCCACCGGCCCATGCGAGATAGCAGTCGAGGTCGACAGCATGCGACCACGGACCCTGAAGGCGAATTCATCAACCCGAATTACTTCCGCATGCTCGATAACAGCCTCCCAAGCTCCACAAGCTCCTCTACCCCTCCTTCCCCGCATCTTCGCCTCGTTCAACCAGCTCTTTCTGACGGATCAGCTAGTCTCGGGCCTACTAGCTCTCCTTCTCAGAATCCTCATCAGACAGCGTCTCAAGGAATATCATCTGCCGCATTCAGTCAGGATTACTTCAAGAAGTTCTTTGTGGAGGAAAAAGTGCTAGGGAAGGGAGGAAAGGGCGTCGTACTGCTTGTCAAGCATGTCTTGGATGGTGTTTCTCTTGGACAATATGCCTGCAAACGAGTTCCGGTTGGCGACGATCATGAATGGCTAGAGAAGGTTCTTGGCGAAGTCCAACTCCTGCAGCATCTCTCCCAACAGAATTTGGTCTCTTATCGCCATGTCTGGCTGGAGAATGCTAAAATTAATGTCTTTGGTCCGAGCGTGCCATGTGCCTTTATTCTACAGCAATACTGCAATTCCGGTGATCTACACAACTATATCTGTGGCTCCGTTCAGACATCAACCACCGCCCAGCAACTGAAAGCGCGACTCCGACGAAAATCAAAGGGCGAACCAGACTTGAACCCTGCAGGGCCTCGCATGCTACAGCTAGATGAGATTTATTCTTTCTTCCGAGATATCACATCTGGTTTGCGCCATCTACACACTAATGGGTACATTCATCGTGATTTGAAACCACAAAATTGTCTCCTTCATGAAACAACGGATGGTATGCGAGTCTTAGTGAGTGACTTTGGTGAGGTGCAAACACAGAATGCTATGCGCAAATCAACTGGTGCAACGGGGACATTGTCATATTGTGCGCCTGAAGTGCTTCGACGCGAATATCCGGAGGGGCCATTCGGCAACTTCACGTTCAAGTCCGATATCTTCTCCCTGGGTATGATCCTTTATTTTCTGTGCTTTGCAGAGCTTCCATATGCAAGTGCCGATATCATCAACGAAGAGAAAGAAGACTTGGACCAACTTCGCAAGGAAATCACCAGTTGGGCCGGTTTCGATCAAGCTCGGAGGAAGCGCCCTGATCTTCCAGAGAAGCTTTATAGCTTCTTAGAAAGGCTCCTTTCTGTGGACCCTGACAGAAGGCCCACTGCAGATGAAGTTCTGAATGGAATCCAAGCTGGTGCCAATGCCAATGAGTTTCGCTTCAAAAGAAACAGCTCAACCAGTCCCGACTTACCTACTGGTGCGAGAATCCGCCCTGTCGATAGTCCGCAGCCCTCTATGGATAGACGGGCCCTTTCGCCCGCCAAGAAAATGCCTCGCAGCCCTGTTGCATTTCGACGAGACTCGATGTTCGACACGAATGGGTTTGGGTCCAATTCGCCCTCTGGGTCAGAAGTTATAGATGGCAGGCCATCTCTCAGCCCCGACCAGGATATTGTTATTCGCCCCAGATACTCTACTTCACCGCCCATGTCCCCGGCTCGACACAGCCATGATGAATCAATCCATGATCGTCAACCGCAACATTTACCTCGTCAACAACTTCTTCCTCCGCCTCCAAGCAGATTCCCTTCCCTAGATTTCTTGAAAGCATACATATCATCACCAGGGCTGCAATTCTCGGTATTTCTGGTCAAAGTTGTCTCTGTTCTCCACCCATGCTCTCCTCTCTCCGTTAAACCTTGGATCCTCTACCCTCTTCTCCTACTCGCTGCGATAACTCTTGGTGCACATGACTCTCGGGTGCAAGGTCTAGCTATCATAGCACATATGCTCGTTGTCGGGGTCGGTATGCGTCTCGGTGCTCTATGCACTTGGCCCGGAGACTCAACTCTTGGCCTCTGAAATTCTGAACCATTGCATCCAATGCATTGATGACCTTTCATGATTATGCTTTTCATGATATCCTTTTCTTACGGCGCAATGGAGCTATTGCATATTTACTCTATCCATACTCAAAGAACAGAGGGAGTTCATCTCTCTGCTAGTAAATTATATTCATAAGTTGGGACCACCTGAATTACCAGTAATACATAGTACATAGATCATATGGGCATTAGAAACTGAGTAAGTCTTGCTTACAATTTCTATTAATTGCGTGAAAAGTATCAGTTTTCTCGAATCTAATAATAGTACTTGAAAAAGTGATATAACATGCATGTTGGGGGTGAAAAATATAACCATATCTCCACTTGATCAGATCACAGCAACTTAGCTTTCCCAGGCCGTAAGTACTCTACCCAGAAATGTGCAAGAAACACGGGTGAGCACAGTACAGACTGGTCAAGCATAATGGCATGGAGATCCGATGGTGATGTGGCCAGAGATTCCCTCATTTGAGTTTGTTCTTGGAAATGTTTGAATGGTCCATACCAGAGAATGGCATGTCCATGATTTACTGGAAGATTCCAGCACACTGAATTCCGTTCACTGCAAGGTGGAGAAAATAAGTTAAAGATGATGGAAAGAATCCACCAGAACCGGAACTCCAGATAAGCCAGTCTACATGGGCCTGATTCAGGTTTGAGTGGCAAGTTATCTGCTTTGGTTGATCTTCAATGTTATTAGAATCATTTTCGGTAACACATCTTTACCGAGGTTGATATCCTGCTGAAAGGCGCGGTTTCGTAATCAGTAGGATAGCCCAAGTGATCTGTAGTATTATTTAGGCTTAAAATGCTGCCTCGCGAAGTCGATGCCCCACTCAGGGGGTCAAAAACCGATCCGAAAGACCGCATCGCACCTGGTGCTCCAATTCTAGGTAGGTAAGCAATTGACTTGGCTGTCGTAATATCATCATGCATATCCTTTGTTTGGAAAGCTCGTTGTATGCTGATCCCTCTGTGTGCAGGTGTAGTGGGTTTTTTGAAGTTGTTATCTTCCAGCCTGAGACAGTACTGATTGAAAGGTTCAGTTTTCTGGCTGGTGAATGACTCTCGTGGGTTGGACATAAGAGTCGTACCGTTTCACAGGTGAAGAAGACTGCGGAAAGTAGAAAGGGAGAAAAGGCTGACAAACCAAAGAGTGAGGCTGAGGTGGTCCGTGCGCCACTGTGGGTCTAAGATCATTCATCAGTCCCAAGCTTCCACACCTTCTCATCCATCATTCGTTATCCCTCACCATGGCCTCCAAAAATGGGATCGACCGTCGAGATGAAGACGGTAAGATATAAATTTCCCTCAAAGATGTATCATGCTAACGTTTTCCTTTCCAGAGGTCTGCCCCGTCTGCAAATCCTCGCGGTACCTTAATCCGAACATGCGATTCCTCATCAACCCAGAATGCTACCACAAGATGTGCGAGTCCTGCGTCGACCGGATTTTCTCATCCGGTCCATCCAGCTGCCCAGTAGCAGGATGTCGAAAGACACTTCGCAAGGCCCGTTTCCGAGCCCAGACATTTGAGGATATCGGCGTAGAGCGGGAGGTTGATATCAGGCGGCGAGTAATGCACATGTACGCTACCCACACTCTCATGGTAACAAGACACCCAAACTGACCCATATAATCCAACAGTCTCAACCGTCGCGAAGAAGAGTTTGACTCAAAACGCGCCTACGACGATTTCCTCGAGCAGCGCGAAGAAATGATCGCCAACCTCGTCCACCGCACCGACGTTGCCAAGACTGAAGCCCAACTACAGAAATACGCCTCAGTGAACATACAATCCATCCGCGCGAACCAAGTCCTCGAAGAACAAGAAGCGTCCTCCTTCGCAGCTCGCATGACCCAAGAACAAGAAGAAGCCCGCCTCCGCCGCCAAGCCGCACGCGAGCAACTCGAGAACGAGCGCCGCGAGATGCAAGCTGGACGCGAAGACATGATCTCGCGTCTTGCGGCAGGCTCAAGCGCCGACGCTGCAGCTATCGCGCGCGAAGGACACAAGGTGCTATTGAAGAAGTCGTCTGCGCGACGTAGTGAGGAGGACCGCATTCGACAGAAGCAGGCTGCGCTGCGTGGTAGTGAGACGAAGCGGGGTGGATCATCGCTTACGACTGCCGATACGGCTGGACCGTCTGATGGTGGGCTTATTAAGGGTCTGCGGAGAATTAAGACTCCAGAGCCGGAGAAGCCGTATGATCCGTTTATGGGATATGTGCCCGAGAAGCGGGATTACTATGCCTTGCAGCCCTCTTATCCGTCAACCTATCTTGATCGTGTGAAGAATGATACTCGAACAGCGGCTGGAGGCTATGATCTGCAGGAGTATTACTCTCGAACGCTGGTGGAGGCATTCGCGGGATTGGGGTGTTTTATTGGGGAGGAGGTTGCACAGCGAGAAGCTGCTACATCGGGGTTGGGACTGAAGCCTGCTGCGACAACCAGTGCTGCGATGGCGGCCGGTGACGAATCATGAAGGATTTGATCTAGGATACGCTGTGGGTGGCACTTCTCTTTTAGTATATGGCACATAGCGACGGCGTTTGGATTCATTGTTTTTTTGTGTATACAAATATCTACGAACTTTCCATACGTGGAATGAAGAATGTGAAGAACGAATTGATCTCGATACATTTGTGCAAACAATAGGCCGGCATGCGAGTAGAATATGGTTGGCCGGGAATAAGGGCTCGCAGACCGGTAGAATTACAACCTGAACAGATAACGCTAATACACCCTTCAATGCTAATCCACATCCCGTTTGAATATTCAAGTACGTCCAGTGAGCTCCGCAGTGCTCTCAATGCCCTCCCAGGGCAGTTCATCTTCATCATCGGACTCCGCCAAGCGCGATGACTTGTTAGTTGTGCCAGTCACATCCTGAGCGCCGGCCATATCAACACCAATGGATTCCAAAGTCATCTCCATTTCTTGCTCCGTGATCTCATGGCCACCTTTTTGGCCCTCAAGAACATCGTACAGCGCATAAATCTGGTCGGACTTCATATCAATATCCCTCAAAACAGTCTCGATCTTCTCCAGGAGCGTCTTTCGCTGTCGCTTTCCAAGCGAAACATCCAAGTTGTTGTACGCGCTTTGGTATGTAGCCAGCTGCATCTTCAAGTGAGCCAATTCATCCTCGAGGGTCTTGAGCACAGTGGCAAGAGCGACGGCAGGGGGTTGGGATGGGCGCATAGTGGGCTCCTCGTTGTAGGGAGATGGCTTAGGCATGCGCTCGGAAACAGGAATAGGCTTGGTGACCTTGACAGGCTCATGGTTGCAAGTGTCATTGGGGAGGACGTTCTTGCAGATCATGCAATTCTTGCCCTCATGGTGCGCAAGGTTATCCAAGGCTCGCTGATCAGCTTCTGGGAGGCGAGTCGGGTTACTAGCAGCCTGCTCGACACGGCTAAGGGTAATGTCCGGAAGAATGAAAGCGGATGTCATGTCCTCGATGTTTCGGCGCTTCTTGCGCTGCGAGGACATCGATGCGACGGAATGATCGGAATGGCGTCTAGGACGCTCTGCTGTGGGTACGACCAAGCTGTTCTCGCCATCTGAGGTGACTACTGATTTGGTAGTGACATCACCCATCGCTGATGCAGGCCGGGGAATTTGTGGCTTGGATTCGCGCAGAGATGATTTACGAGGCATTGGGGTCTTCAAGATGCTCTGGCGGGTAGTGTTGACTGTTTCGGTAGTGGTGTCCTTTGACGCGCTTGAGCGACGTTGCTTGCGCGACAATCTTTCCTCTTCCAAGGTCTTGCGGAGACGAGCAATCTCATTTTCATCAATAATACTCAGCAAGGTGAGATCCCCCGCCTGGGAAGACACCTTGCTCTGCTCAGTGGCCTCCGTCACATCTTCCACCACAACCCGCTTGACCCGTTGCTTGCCAGTGTTGGGCTGCTTCCTGGTACTCTTTGATTCAGATTGGCGAGCAGCATCAGACTTGCCCGATCTGGACGAACGCTTGAATGTAGGCACGTCGATGGAGAAGAGGGCTTCCTCTGCACGCTCCTTCTCCAGCCGGGATATTTCTTTGTCCACTTGGGTGGAGATCTTGGAACGAGAGTCGTCATTGCGTCTGGACTTGGGGTTCGAACGAGCACTTTTTGAAGTCAGGTCTCTGGTGCTGCGGCTCATGTCTGCACTACGCTCTGTGTACATTTGGCTGTCGTCGGCATCAGAACCGGTGAGGCTTTCATCTGATTGGGCGGTCTCCTGCTCGCGAGACTTCTTGCTAGATGTTTGGCTCAGCTGAGACTTGAGCTCCGCATTCTCCCGTCTCAAGTCCTCGTTCTCGGCCTTGAGCTCGCGGCTTTCAAGGTAGGCAACACCCAACTGGGAGATCGCCGACTCTCTCTCTTGGTTCAGACGTCTCACTGCGGCTTCTTGCACCTGAATCTTCCGGTCCGCGATATCAAGTTGGTTTTGAAGGTCGATGTTGGCGGCTTCGAGTTCTAACTGGGTCAGCTGAAGAATTTTGGAAACATTAGACACAACGTACTTTGGTTCTCGCTAGCAATCCGCTTGGAAGTCTTTTTGTTCTCTCCATCGTCCACTGTGTACTTCTCGGAGTGTCGAGATCTACCCGCCTTGAGTGCTGCGTTCTCATCGCGGTAGCTCTCGATTTTCCTCTCTGCATCAGATTTGAATCTCTCAAGTTCTGAGACCTTGTCCTGCAAGAGTCGGAGAGAAACAAACAAAGCTTTTTCATCCTCGGGGATGGGTACAGCATCGAGAGGCATATGTTCACGAGTCATGGATACATCCGCCCCATCACGGGGAGGGGAGACAAATCGGGTGGAACGTCTATGCGAGAATACCGGAGTGCCGTCTTCGTAGACACCAGAAACCAGTTCAGAGATATTAGGGAGGTCGGGAAGAAGGAAGGAGTTGCGGGTCATAGTATCACCCATGTTGTTGGTGTGTGTTGTGTTAGCAACCGGTCGGCGAGCACCTGCAGAATTGCCCTTGCGAATTTCTCTCGCATATGCTTCTCGCGAGACGCGCTCGATCGCGTCGGCGATCTCTTGAGATTGATTGGCGCTAGCAAAACGCGTCGATCGAGACTTGGTCTCAACCGGGGCAGGGCGTTCATCTCCCAAAAATGAACCGTCGTAGTTGTCACGGACTTTGGCGTGCATATCGGACAGGGAACGGCGTTGGTCCCGCTGGTTTTTGGAGACCTGGGGGCTCATCATATGTTCCTTCTGGGCTTGAGTCGCCCGTCGCAATTGGGCATCTTTTCGTAGATTCTCGCTCACAGCGCGTTTGGGATTCGAACGAGCAGGCATGCTCTTCTGTGGGGTAGGGTATTCCACGCGCACGGCAGGAGAAGAGGATCGGACGCTATTTTGGAAGCTCATTACGGAGTCGCGCGAGTCGTCTAGGCGACGCCCAGACTTGCCGACACCGCGTCCCAGCTCCATGGAAGGTTCACTGTTGTCATCAAACATTTCTTCCTCGTCAACCTCTTCTTCTGAGGGTAGCTGAGAAAATTCAGGGAAAGCGCGATCAATAGTTGAGGTGTTGACAGCCCAGTCGGGTTCGTCGTCGTGCATATCGGGAAGCATATTGGGAAGCCGAGGGCTGCCGATTTCGCGGGTCGACGCCAATGCTTCGTGTTCAGGATCGAAGTCAGACACCGTCAAACTGGTGTCGGAAAGAGGCATATTCAAAAAGCCTGGGTAGTTTGGTGGTTCATGTGGGAGAAAAGTGGAGGTGGATGGGGGGTGTTGATGGTTTTGTTTTGGCGCGGAATGTTTTGGTCGCGCGTCTCCGCCAATCACGATAGTTGTACGAGGAGGCTGGGCAAGTACAGCCTTTTCATTTTCATTTCCTCCACGCCTGGAGAATTATAGTAGGGAATATCAATCATCACCTAAGTGTCAGTTAAATAAGTTCAAACTTCAATATTATCTGTGACATGAATAATTTTAAAGTTGGGACCACTGATATTGATTGTAAGGTGCACGGCAGCAAAGAACAAGATTGAGACATAACACACTTTTGGTCCTTCAATATATATCCAGCTAGCTCTGGAGCTTGAGATGATTTTAACATAACACACGTGGGCATTTTGAAACGACCTCAAAATATCAATAGGAACAATAGACCACACAGGCCTATTCCCAGGGCTATAGATAAACTGCAATATTATGGTCTAGGTTTCCCGCGTTCCAGAGGTCGTACTTCCAAGGTTCCTTACCAGATCTATATCCTCCCTTCTTTCCAAGGCTCTTCATAAAACCTCCACTAGGTAGGCTTGTTGAACGCTTGACCTTCAAATCCGTAACCACTAACAATTTGAAATTGATGCCATGTCCAACCTTGGAAGATTTGGGTCAATGCAACTTCGTGCATTCAACAAAGGCCCACCATGTCGGGATGACACATGGTATGCCTAGTGTTCTTAGTCCATGGGTGAATCGGGTTGAATCGGGTGGAGTATTCCTGTCTTACCCATTCCTACCATCCATTCCCAGGCATTGAGCCAATTGACCCGTGAACCAGGATATCCGGCATCTCTTGTGTTGTCACGAGGAGGGCTAGGCCCCCGGGGCTGCCAGCCTTCAACGGTCAAATGTTGATATATTGCCATTGTAATTATAGGTACAAATCTCACGAGGTGAAAGATCACTTTGCATCGTATATCGTACATCAAACCTAAATCCATGATGTATCAAGGGTCCATACCCACATGCATGGGGGCTGGTTGTTTGCAAGGTTTATTACATGCATATATCTCTACCGCTAGTTACACGTAGAATTGGCTTACATCGCCAAAACGAATTGTAAGGCAATGGATATATCTCTTCTTATATTTTTAGTATATCATGTGCTCTATGTTCTAGTCAGAAGCTAAGGATTTGGTGTGCTGTTTTCTCACAGGCGTTAGAGTTGGTTTATGACATCGGGATCCCGAGATCCGACGAAAAGGAAAGTGCCACCATTTAGCAATTGCTTTATACCGATGCAATATTCACCGTTCAATATTGAAAAGCTCATCAATGGTAAGCCGGGCATCCCGGTATCGCTAGAATTATGTATAGACATCCGAGGATTTTCAGCAGGGATCACTGCCGCCAAAATAGATACTCGACCCACCAAGTCCTACCCGTCGTTGAGTAAACCCGATGGCTGTCAAATGGTAAACGTGAAGGAAATCCCACCTTCATGCACATAAGCAAAGTATACGTATTCTCCATGTTGTTCATGACATCATGGCGGGCCAAAACCAGGAGCATTGGAAGGGTGGCATGGGGCCAAAAGGTCGCTTAGCAACTGTGCACAGTTCGCAATATATACCTCTTACGGCGATACGTGATACTGTGCGTGACTGCCCAAAGCACGGGGCCATCTGGAAGATACCCTGGCTCTCATAATGAGTGCTACTAAGCGACTCGTCCCGTAGGATTAGACCAGGGCTTTGGAGTGGATCGGAGTGATTGCCTTGAAGTGGCTCCATCGAATGTAGCACGCATTATCGGGAACAGAAAGACGATGATGCCCAATTAATACCCACCAAGGCGTTGAGGTCCATTCTGCCATGCAAGTTGGACAAAGAACGGACATGCTAGGCTTGATCGAAGGGACCGAGCGGTGCTACGAGAAGCCGACTAGAGCGAAGCGAAGTTCGATGTGGAGATGATCAAACACGGGAATGAAGAGACGATTCCCAGAGAACTCACGACGCAGACCCCGCATTGCAACATGGGGCCAGCGTACAGAGTTCATGGCGCTTCATGAGTCGTAGCGCGATGAAGACGGCGGTAGTCAAGGTTCTTCTAGAAGATGGGGCGGATTTCAATAAGGTTTATGCGCTGACCTTACCCCTCCCAATGTGGATGAGACAGGGGAAAAGATTGTGAAAGGTGACGATGTGCTGCCAACATGTCGGGAAAGATAGGAGTGTGAGCCGCCGTTGGATCCTAGTCAATGAAGGCTGGCGCTGTTGGTATAACTATTCCTGGCCTAGGGCGCAAATTGCCACTGTAAGGCAGGTCGTAGGCCTGGGAAGAGTTGCAAAAGCTGAGATAGATAGCATACGAGATACGATCAGCCGTAGACCGGGCGATCAAGAGGCAAATAAGACAATCCACTAAGATAAATTAAAAAAAAAAGATTTTCCAAGCAATAAGAAAGAAAGAACGCGAACTAAACCAGATCCCTGTCGTAGTGTTCTTTTTGGTCCAAAGACAACCAATCAAAGTGGAACTAAGAATATCACATTAGGCTACTGTCATGTCATTTGATGATGTAGAGCGCAGGATCCACTTTGCTCTGGGCTCGTGTCCAGATCTTTAAATAGAACGTTAAATGGTTTCGTGATTGTTTTGATCCTCAGAATGCCTATAGAGGAGAATATAAGGATCAAAAGGACAATTGCTACTGTATAGAGGAAATCAGAAACTCATCAGAACAAAATAATAAGCAAGTTGGCCCCCGACGATCCCACGTTTGGTTATTTTTGAACATACAAGGGCCGATCGCCATCTCCGACCGGGCTGGTTGGTGGCGTCAATAGTTCTAAAATCCACTGCCAGCAGGAAAGAAAAAAAAAATCCTGCGCCTAGACAGATCTCCATGACTCAAAACAGAATACTTTAATTAACGTAGCCCGCTACAAACGTGGTTATTCTTTGGTTCTGATTTTCTCTCTTAAGGGAGAAGATTAACCTCTCGTCACATTGCAGAAGCGCCAACTATTCTTAGCTTGGCTCCGTCAACCCCCGCCTCTTACTATAATCCCATAATCCCTCTTTCCCCTCTCTATCATCTCTATGACCCTCATGACACTCTATCCTTCTGCACCCGTGAGACACTCATGCTCGTCAACTATGTCTTGCATGCCTTCACCAGCCGGTGACCCTCCTACTATCAGCGCGCGACCCAAACTCACCCTCCAAACTACCTCTCTCCCTCGCACATTTGGGTCTTCAACCACCGGCCTCTCCCGCTCCTGCACCGCTGCTCCTGGTGCATCACCGACCGTTGGAAATACTTTTAAAAACGCCTATGACATTGCAACCCCCGCCTCCGCAACCAGCTCTCCCTCCAAGGGCCCCAGCCACCGGTTTCCCTCCAACAAACCCATCTCACCTTATGTGCACAACAATAATAATCCCTTCAACTACCGCCCTTACCAACTTCCCTTGGGAGTGCGAAGCATCTTGCGCAACTCCCCTCTCGACACAGCCTCACGGCGGCGATCGGGCTCCATCTCAGCAGGGGCCAACAACGGACCCGGGGGCGCAGGCGCTCGCCGAGTCTTTTTCCCCACAAAGAAGCAAGTCAGCTATCGAGTCCCAATAGAGGAAGAGATCCGCACGGAGCGCTACACCGCGCAGCATCTAGATCTCGTGCTTGAAGAGGAGGAGAAGGCAGCAAAGCCAAAGGTGGCAGTGCAGCAACACGAGGCAGATCGGGGGCCAGAAACACAACCGCACGACTCCACCCAGGAATCAGACGCCAACCAGTCCCTGTCTGAGTCTAGTACTTCAGACGAGGCTAGTGCCGACGAAGGAATACCCAAAACAACGCTTTCGAAGCTGGAACGCAAGAAAAGACGCACTATGCGCACAGAGCGGCAAGTGCGCGCTGTCGCACTGCTTGATGGATTGGAATCGGACCAGTATGGTGGCTGCTCCACACCGCAGACTCCCCAGGGACGAGTCAAACGTCGCCGAGAATGGAAATGGACTTTGGGACCGATCAACACCGATATCGCTACCACTACCAGTTCTGGAAGTGTTTCTTCCGCGACGACGACACCTGAAACTCCCTCGGTTTCCTCTGCCTCCACTGTGGATGAACCAAAACCTGAAACCCAATCCTTTCAGGATCAATAGCCCACTTGGGGGCCGAAGACTCACGAACTTTGCTATGACCTTCCTACATATCCTACGCATGCATAATGGTGATGCATATATACCATTATTGCGGAATCATATTCTTCATCTAGAGGCGCTGGTCGGCTTTTGATTTTTATTAGCGATAAATCATAAATTATCTTCCTTAACCACTTCATCAGGTTATCATGGATCAACTTTAGAGAATAAATTAATTTCTTTGAATCTACTTTGACGCATTTAAACTCCCGATTCCGTCATCACGCAGCGGCACTAAACCTTCGCGCGGGGGATGCATAATGGCGCCAAGATTCTCACCGTTTGCTTCGTTTCCTAGTTGGGCAGGCCCACTTGTCCAAAGCCATGTCAGATTTGGATAATCATCGATTGCTCATGTGGAGACTGCCCCTTGAAGTAGTAATACTACCTCATACAAACTCCGTTCTAAATGTTTTAGAGAGGGATAGTGTAGTAAAATGTGGAACCGAAACATGTCGTCATCGTGTACTATAGAAACAAGCTATGTAAACACAACCTTAGAACGCCAATTCACCGAAAAAGAACCATGATCGGCACGCTAGGACAAAAAGTAGTAAGTACACACTAAATATACTTCCACTTAGGATTGGAAATTGCACGAGCCCCTTTCAACAGACGGGTCATCATTCATTGCCCTTCAGGTCTCTGTCTCAACATCCGGCTCACGTCCCGTAAGCCCACCTGCCCCAACCTTCTTCTTAATCTTTCTAAGCGCAAATTTCGCCTCATCCTTGACAAAAGCCGCGTTCCGAGCTGGTTTCCACTGCATCAGTCCTCGCTGCTGCCGCTGCTCACTCCTCCGATTGGCCTTATCGCTCTGATCCATACTCTTTGAAGAACTAGCCGTTGCACTTTCACTGACTATAGATGGCCCCACCGACGAAGATTCATTGTCAGAATCATCTGATGAAGAGTCAATCTCATCATGCTGCTCCTCACCATTCTGCGGACCCCCTCGTACAGAAGGCTGGCCCTTGAGTGGTGGCGGCATGACAGGATCATGGAGCGGTTTATCCTGCCCTGGCTCCGCGACCTTTCGGCCCTTGGAATCTGTGTACGCCCGCGGATCATGCCCAAAGGCACCACTCCAGTCATGGCCTTCATGGTCGATCCAACGGCGACGCTCAGTAGGAGGAGCGTTCTTAAGGACGTCTCGGGAGTCAATGAGACTTTGCTCATGTTTCTGTTGGACTTCCTCGGGGACTTCGATAGAGACACTGCGGGAACGAACGCCCTGCGAGACGCAAGCTTCCCATGTTTCGAAAGTCTCACGGGAATCGTTGTCGACGACGAACTTTTCGTGCGACTCGTCGATACCCGGCGAGAAGTGGCAGTTAAATTGCAGCCGACCGACTGTGGTAAGATCTTCAAGGCCGGGAACTTCCTTTGCGCGCCAATTCTCTTCCGTGATGTAATTCTGAGTGAGTCGGGGGCCACTCTTAGTTGTCCAGATTGGGATATCGATGTCGGTGTGCTCGTTGTCGACCAAGTGCTGCAGCCAAAGCACAGCATAGGCTGCTGCGCCACGTTTGCCCTTGGTGTGGAACTCGAAGACGACGGGAGATCTGTAGCGATGCTTCACAGGTAGACGGAGGCTATCGCGGAAGGTTTCGTCCGAGATATCGTAGATCACGTCGTCACCTTCCGCGCGTGACTTGTGTCGAGGAATCTTGCCTGTACTTCCGCCGGTGCGCATCTTGATTTTGGCATAGTGGCCGTAACCCTTAGCGACGATCTGGTTCGCGCCGAATTCGAATGTGCCGACGTCCCAGCCGAGCATGGTGGGTGGTAACTTCGTCTCCACGTGGCGGAAGAGAAGTGAGATACGGATGCGTCCGAAGCCGACGCCGCCATCGAGTGGGTACCAGCGTGTGACCTGGGAGGCGGTTTGGAAGATTTCGGATAGTTTGAGGGGCACTACACCTAGGATGGGGTCGTGTTCTCTGTACCGCTGGTCTCGCACGGTGACCGTCACGACAGCGGAGCGCCAGTCACGTACAAAGCGTTCTGTTCCAGCGTTGAAGATTGGTTTGGAGCTCACGGCCTTAGGGCGCGTGCGGTAGACCTGTAGATGATACGGTTAGAATTGCACTCTGCAGTTCATAAGTGTAGCATATAATACGCACCAATTGATCGTTGAGCATGATCTTGCAGTAACTTGTTGGCAAATCACCACCTTCTTCTTCCGTATTCTCACCAGAAGCCTTCGCAGGCTCATACTCCTTGCCCTTGCGGTTTCCGTCACTGCCCTTAATATTGGCAAGCTGGAGATTAACAATCTGATGCACGACAATATGCACAATACCACTCGGCCAGATAGGGTCAGGAGGCGTATGCACAACTGCATCCTCTTCCTCATTGTTAATAGTGCCCTTGTCATCCTCAAACGTTGGATTTCCTTTAAGATTCTCAGGGAGATCCTTCTTCTTGCCATCCGTCCGCAGCTCAGGACGCAGCTTCGGCTTTCCGAAGTAGCCAACCTCCCAATGCAATTGACCCGGCATCTCGCTACCCTCATCAAGACCCTGCAGCTTAGATACCTGTGGGTACATCTTACTCGGGTGCTGAAGCATCTCCCGAATAGGTAGCTCGACTTTACCCACGATATCATCCGCAGTATTACGGTCCGAATCCCAGAGCTCAATACTCAAGTTCTCGTCCGCTTTGATAAGCTCCGGCGTGACAAGAAGCGCGGCAGTTTCCTCCCAGATAGGATTGAGGTCATCCGTGATCACACGAGTGCAGTACATAGGCTTCCCGTATTTCGAGAACGAAAGGTTGATGTACGGATCACTACCACCGCCCTCGCTACCACGACGGTCCTGCTTGCTCAGACCAACAGCCCGGTGAATACGAATCCACATCACGCCGATGGCGATAGTATCCTTGTCAATGTCGTCAGCCTGCAGCATCATGCTCACGTCCATAGTCATAGATTTGGGCGCCGCGAACATTGCACAAGCGGCACCGATAGAGGAATTCACAAAGTTAGAGATAAGAGGTAGATTGAGGATATTGACTCCACGTCGGAGCATGGGCACACAAGCCGCTTTGACGTGAGGGATGCCAACCAAGCTGAAGGTGAGATCCTTTGCGAAAGGAGGCTCGGGCATCATCTGAAGTCGGAGTCGGACGGTGCCAACCAGCTCGGTTAATTCGACGAAGATGGGGAAAGGGATGCCGAACAAACCACGGATACCAAGATAAAAGACGATGTGCATGTGCATGTTGCGTGCCTTGGAAGAAGCCGTTCCAGAGCTCGGCTTAGCGTGATAGGCGAACGAAGCCTCCAAATTGTAGTAGCTGCCTCCTTCCTCGGTAGCAGCGGCTTCTTGAGGGTCTTTGGTCTTCAAGTTTGATTCGTGAATATTGTCCTTGAGGTTTTGGACGTGCCCATCCGGAAGGGCACGCATGCTGAGAATACGGATTGGGTTGTTACCCTGGTCGATCTCAGCGATGCGAACATTCTCAACCACGCTTGGAGCGGAGGCTTGCATGATATCCTCGATTGTGTCGGCCATTGGAGTCAACATCTCGGGATTCATGAGGCCCCAGACGACGCCGAGAAAAGAGTTCATCCATTCCACCGACTCTGGAAGAAGGTTTGCAGTGGCCTAGATAGATATGGTTAGGGCGGTGCTTATGGTTCGCGATGATGAATACATACGGTTTCCCCACGCATCTGCTCGCTACTCCATTCCATGTCTTTGCCACTCCGGATAACCTCTTGTACCCATAACCATACACCGCTGGCAATGCATGCAGCCAATGGGATGAGGCCCCAAAGAGAAGCGCCAAAAGTTCGACCAAGAACAATGATAGCAACAGGGATACCGATGCATAGTTTCGTTGCCTGCTTCTCCAGCTGCTTAAACATGGGGGCATATGAGATTGTCGGTGTGGGATGGAAGAGCACATTGGTCTTCTCGCCACGGATTGGCACATCGGATGTTGTTCCTTCGGCGATAGGGTCGGGAGGGGCGGTGATATCTTGCTTTTCCTTATACTCTGGTAGTTCTTGATCATGGCTGGTTTTCACTTCCTAGTATATACTTAGTTTTGCACGCATTGCTAATGCTTTGGTAGTGGTGGACTTACAGTCGGCTCTCCGATATTGGCATTTGGCACCGTCAACTATATTTCCGTCAGTGAGATCAATACCCCTGCTCGACTCCATGGAAGACTGTACACACCATCGGATTCTTGACAGCTTCCATTGATGTTTCATCTTGATCCTCAACTCCAATATCTTTCCCAGTCGTCGGATCAGTCACAGTGCGCATTTTGGCCTTGGAGACCTCGCGCGCCTTGTGAGCGACCGCATCTTCCTGGCCCTCATTATGTTTTTCCCCGTGAGTATCATGCCATTGGTTGTTCTTTTCGCGTTCAAGTCTCTGTCGATTCTCCTCATCAATCCGAAGATCACGATCCTTCTTCTCGTTGTCAAGGCGCTCGACGTATTTCTGAACCGTCGGAACAGGATTGGCACCACTCCAGTGCTCACCCATACGATGCTGCTGTGGTGATCCACCTTTTCCCCCAGTAGCGTCAGCCATGAGAGAAAAATATATAGAAAAATATGATCGTCCGATTTGCTCGTCGCTTTGAAGTATGGTAGACTAGACCGGGGCTGTCATAGGTATAGACTGCGACGAGGAAATTGATTCTTCACAGCACCTCCCACGTTAATCGCAATTAAGGAAATTGATCACGCAGGGAAATATGTGCAAGCTTCAAGCTTCAAGCTTTCTCGACCTGAATGCACGTAAAGCAGAGACTTGAGTTGGGCGGACGGAGCGACCGAGAGCTTCCCCAGAACTACGTCATCGGTGGGATCAACCCTGAAAATCGTATGACGAGGTCAAATGCCCTGTCATTCGTGGCTCTAAGTGTTTCGTCTGCATCGAGGCAGTAGCGATCGTCCGACTATCCAGATCTGAGCTCACGCCTCTGCCGTGGGATTCTCATCATACGTTATCTCAATTTGAATCATTGACTCTGTTAGTCGTCTAATCACATTCTCCTCGTGCCATGCGTTTTCGACCTCGATTTATGCCCTGAAGCATATTCAAATACTCTCTTTTTGTATTGCTTTCTTTATCATACCCATGATTGATCATCATCATCGCCAAGGGATGAGCCAGGACAATGATGTCACCAGCGCAGCTGTGACTTCAATGCCAACATGCAACAGCTGAAAAATCCTGGTTGACCATGGAAAGTTTCAATGAAAATCCCTGGTCCCCAGAAAACCTTCATAGCACTCAGTGAATCGGGGCTGCGTGTTGTGTTGTACATGCTTAGCATTTGTCCAATGAATAATGATATCTCAGCTCAGAGATCGACAAACTAGTTCTCAGATCATCCTCTATGAACCAGTTCCAGGCCCTCAGTAAGGGGCAAAGCCATGATAGCGTACTATTGGTGCATCATAATGCTCGATACTGATCTATAATGACCTTCAAGGCGGCGCTTCTTGATGGATATGCAAAGGCGATGTCATGATGGTTTGTGAGCCTGCTGTTGATCACTGATCCTTCACATCATACTCAATGATCAATTCAATCACACTAGGAAAGTGTATGAAGTACAATGGTGGCGTTCTGTGTGATACAGTTTGGGATAGCTGTTGGGTTGATGCTACTCGGTCGCTAAGTCTAGCGCCTGGACAACAACAGCTCATGGAATAGGTTACAGCTAGCTATAACATAGGGGTAGTTAGATATGCAGATAATTGCTGCGAATATGAAATAATCAAGCCAAGTTATTGAAACATAGGTCTTTAGATCCTGGTGGATGGAGAAGTGACCCAAACTGATTTTCTTATCGCGATCACGTACCGCTCGCTTTCCTCAACCTCCGACCACTTTGATCCACATCTCTAATATTGCGGCTTTCAAAATTAGAGCCACCTTTGTCCCTTTCACAATTTTACGCCGAAATGTCGACAACCGATGAATCACCGGCCCAGAGAGCCGCTCGTCAACGGCGTGAGCGCCGTGAGGCCAAAATCAGGGAGGGAGGCTCCGCGCGTCTGGACAAGATCACCAGTCTAAGCGGTCGCACCCCGCAATCAGGTACGACCAAACAACAGACCCCGTTTCATGATATACGATGCTAACAATATGCCTTCCTATCAGATCGCGAGGAAGCGTCACCCTCTCCTCAGCCCTCCCAAGCCGCTGTCTCCCCCTCTCCTCCCCCATTCCAGAATAGCCATCCATCCATGCAGGACCAGCAGTCCTTAGAGGCTCTCCAGGCACAGCAGGATGCCTTCCGCGCGATGCTCAGACAAGCGGCGCCTGCAGTTGAGCAGAACCAAGATGCCGATGCCAATGACATGGAGGACCCAACTCTCAAGCTTCTCAACTCCCTCATGAACGGCATGCCCATGCCCGGTATGCCTAGTGACCCCAACGCGCCTCCACCACCACCAGGGTCCGGCGGTATGCCAGCCCAAGGAGAAGGTGGACCTGGATTCTCGACTGCAGCGCTTCTCGCGTCCTCTCTGGGCGTGCCGCCCTTCCTTGCAAACTTGATCGGCGGAGCCTTACAGACAACGGAGGAAGACCCCAAGAGTGTGCGGACATGGAAGACACTACACATCACCTTTGCGTTGGGAGTGGCTTTCTACCTTCTGTTTATCATTGCATCATCTATTGCAGTATTCGGCAGCCCACCCCCGAAGCCCGCCACAATCCAGAATCCGTTTATGATTTTCGTTACAGGCGAGTTGCTTTTATGCAGTGGGCGGGTCTTGATTGGTGGCCAGAAAGGGGTGCGGTCAGCCATGAAGATTGGCAAGGATGTTATTCGTGATGGTAGCCTGGTTATTTTTGCGTTGGGTTTGGGGAGCTGGTACACTCGTGGGTGGCAAACTACTGGTGGCTACTAGTCATGTATTTCTATGAATTAGCATGGTATGAATATTCCAAGGTTTTTGGATGATCTCAGGCTCAAATATGAACCGGTCTATTTCTAAAAGTAATTTATACTTAGCTCCCCAACTAGGAGCAAAATTCCCGAGCCAAGTTTATGAATACCTCTTCTATCTGCTCCAAACTCTTCACTTTCACCCATTCCTCTTTACTATGGAGACCCTCACCAGCAGGACCAAATACAATCGATGGAATACCGACTTCGGCTAGCAAAGCTGCGTCGCACCAGAATGGGACAATTCCAAGCGAAGGGGTTCTTCCCAAAATTGGAGTGGCACAGGTGACTGCCATCTGCACCAAGGGGTGATCCCGTGAAAGTTTTGTCGTCGGACGTGACATAGTGATACGAGGCTCGTTGTATTGGAATTGGGGCTTCTCCTCTGAGATTTTGCTGAGAAGCCCGCGGACATCCTCCAGAATTGATGCCTCAGATTGCGCAGGAATCGTGCGAAATTCAACTGTGATTGTGCATTTGCCGGGATAAGAAGATGGCTCTTCTCCTCCTCGAATCAGACCACAATGCAAGGATGCCTTGCCTAGGAGATCATCCTCCGGTAGATGAAGTTGGTGCTCCTCAAGAGCCTGAAGGAACCATCCCGCATGAATGATAGAATCTTGCCCTGCCGCAGGGTTTGAACCATGAGCAGCAACACCCAGGATATCAACTTCAACCCACACGAATCCTTTGTGCGCAGTGATGATCTCCTCCATGGTTGGCTCGGGGACGACCGCAGCATCAGCTCGCCATCCAGCTGCTATTAGGTCCTGGGTTCCCCGGGATGCATCTTCTTCATCTGATACAGCAGCCACAATAATATCTCCACGAGGCATTTGATCCGGGCTCCTAGCTTTGATCGCTGCTACCGCTGCAAGCGCGGCCGCCAAACCGCCTTTCATGTCCAGACATCCTCGTCCAAAGATGGCTTGCTCTCCGTTCTTCATTCCCATGGCGCCTGATAGGGGATCCACGCCTTGCTCGTAGCTTGCGTTACTGACCGTGTCAACGTGTCCGTTAAACATGAGCGACTTTCCTCCTCCGCTTCCACGAAGTACACCCACAACAGAGGGTCGGCCTGCAATAGGCTCGATACGATGGTACTCAATATCTCGATGAGCAAACCACGCTGACAGGTAGTCGGCGATTTCGCTTTCACCTGCTCCGCCACTCACAGATAAGGTAGGATTGGAAGAGTCGATTTCAGTGAGCATTCGAGTCAGGCCAACAGCATCTTCCACAGCCACATCCTTGGGAATGGGGTAGGGGCGTGCACCTTCTGTGCTGAGAAGAACCACCACAGAGTCCTTGGACAATAACGAGGATTCTTCTCGAGCAAGACGCCGCAATGCAGCAAGAGAAGCTCCACCACACGGGCCAGCGGTCACTGATTTCGAAGTCAGATACTGAACAGCACAGTGGCTCTCATACGACGAAACAGTCACGCAGGCATCAACAGAGCGCTGCAAGTCTGGCCAAGCGGTACTTGACACAGTGCCACAGTTCATGCCGTCCATAATAGTAGCGGATGTCTGAACAGCAACTGATTTCCCAGCACGGAGACTGGAAGACAAACAAGGAGCGGAATCGGGTTCAACAGCAACCATGGCCATCTTCTTTGATTTGCAATGTCTTGCTACAGCATGAGCAAGACTGCCAACACCAACAGGTGTGAGCATTATGTTGGCTGATAGACTGAGTTGAGACAGCTGCTCTTCGGTCTCGTTCAGCATGGTAGAATACCCCTCCACAATCCAAGCGGGGACGTCTTCGTATCCCTCAAAGGCAGTATCCTGCATCAAAAGCACCTTCCCGTCACAGGCTTTGCTTGAGGCATGACTAACTGCCTCATCATATGTTCCTTGAACAACAGAGACCTTTGCACCCTCCGAGGCAATGCGGTGGCGTGTCTCCTCGCTCATAGACCGGGGCACAAATACCTCAGCTTGAATACCGAGTAAGCGTGCCATGTACGCAACCGCTCGTCCATGATTTCCTTCAGATGCAGTGACTAGGGAAATGAAGCTTTCTTGGGCCTTGGACGAAAGTTCGGCCAAAGTGGTCTTATCAGATCCGAGCCCAAGGTTCTGGCAAAGGGCTCGGAAAGTACCCCATGATGCACCCAGAACCTTGAATGAAGGTAGACCAAATCGGTTGCTCTCGTCCTTCACAAAAACCGCTTTGACACCTAATTCGGTTGCAATTTCTGGCAAAGATACCAGCGGTGTCGGTGCATAATTGGGGAGTGATTTGTGGAAATCAGTGGCACCAGTAGACAATGGGTAATCGCATCGCTCTCCGGCGGCGGCGGGGTTCAAATAGATTAAACGCCTTGAAGACATGACTTTTTCTTGATTTTCGTATCTATCCTTTGGATATGCAAGGAGCAAAAGAGGCTGATATATTTGCTGCAGCTCTTATTCGAGAAGTTTGGTCCAAGAGCCTTCCAAAAACATGCAGGCGCCTTCTACACGAACAACGCCTTCTAAAAACATCCGAGGCCCGCAAAGTGGAGTTTATTTCCATTTCATCCACCATCCACCATCAAGTATTCTAGCCTTTTACACTAATTACTGTCAGTGAAGGAAATACCATATGTGCGAATTCAGAGTCAAGATGCGTATACTTCTGATGACATCCTGGTTTCGAGGTCAAAGAAAAAAAAGCCGCATGTGTTACTATCCTCCGTTCAAATGTTCTATGGATGAATGGAAAACTTCACATGGAGAAGTTTATGACAGTCAAAATGCGTTAGCGTTCTTACCACGCGTGGGGTGCTATTCGAGTTTGGAAATTGTATAGCATACTATAGCTTTGACACCGTCTCCAAACAAGCCCTATTCTCTGCCAGTGGGACTTGGCAAATTTCTAGGGGGTTGCCGTGGGTGCTCTTGAAATTCTAGGCAAGATTTTATTGATGAAGATACTACTCTACAATGAGAAATGAATATAAATTTTGAGAGACGGAGAAAATGTTTTTGATTCAATCCATACAAGGACGGGGGTATCTAGATTGCCATGAGACGCCTCGAAGTTATGAGAGACTTCAACCAGGGCCGTATCTGGCATGTACACTTCACGAGCGTTCATGAGCTCAGACAATGCACTGACAAACCAGTGTTGTCTCTCTGGACACAACGTTGCGCGAGAATGTAAATATCCTCTTTTCAGCAGTTGAAACCAAGTCTTGAGAGCAGGCTTGATGCGAGACTGCGGAGGGGGGAGGGGTGGGCGCATATGCTCTAATGTCTCAAGAGCTGCGCAAGCCATCTCAGATGGTTAGGGGTTTGAGAATTGACATGCAGGAATACGACTTATTCAGTCCTCCTCACCACTCTCCACATCACTGATCTCCAGGTTGGCAATGGAATCGTTATCGTCATCCTCCTCAATGCCGTCAAATTCATCATCAGGCTTCGAGTCCGATGACTCAACATCGTCGGCGGCCTCAGGGGCGGTCTCGGTCTCCTCAAGCTTACGCTTGCGACCCATTTCACCAAGGCGGCCTTCACGACCTTCCATGGTCTCTTTCTCGCCGACAGGAGGCTTAGGAGGAGGCGTGAACCAAGGAGTCTTTCCACGAAGGAAATCGTTGATGACCATCTTGGCCACACCATCCAAGTCAGGCTCACCTCCCTTGAGCAGACGACCACCCTTGCGAGCAAGTCGACTGAGGAAGTCAATAGCGTCGGTAGGCTCCTTGATACCGTAGGTACGCTCCAAGTGGCGGGGTTGCACTCGGCGCATGACTGCGGGAATGTACTGCTCGGGGTTCTCAACATTCTCAACACGGCAGACACCACGCAGAAGGATGTCCTCCTCAGTATCGTTCTGGTTGGGTGGAACCACACCAGGACAATCGATGAGGTAGATTCTCTTCATCAAGGTGATGTACTGCCACACCTTGGTCTCACCGGGAATGGGAGCCACGGTGCAGACCTTCTTCTTCCGAAGAGTGTTGATGATAGAAGATTTGCCAGTGTTGGGGTAACCAATGAATCCAACAGAAATCTGCTTGCGATCGGAGTGCAATGAAGAGAACTGGCGAAGCAGTGTAATCAAAGAACCCTTACCAAAGGAGTTGTTGATGTTGGCGTGGAAAGCAAGAGTCGGGTAATCCTTCGACAAATGACGAACCCAAGCGGCCTGGTAAAGATGCCATATTAGCAAATTGTCACCAGAAGATGTGATGAAAAGAAGAGAAAAGAAAAAGAGTGAGAGAAAAAAGAAGAAAGTGAGAAAACAAGGAATGTGTGGGATGTTACTAAGAGCTCTGCTATGAAGCCGCCAAAAAAGGCAGAAGCAGAGCTCAACTCAAAAACAAGACACATCTGTCCCTTACGACAAGCCTTCAAGACGAAGGCTCGTCAACCTAACTTCAGAAAGAAGGTCGGTGCGGGACAGTGTTAATATACCAAAGCTGTAACAGACAGACTCCCATTGAGAGAAACACGATATGAAGATCGCAGGAGAAGTCTTGACTTAGCGATGGCACGATCTGAGGACCGATTGGAAAAAGAAGGAAGGCAATAAAAACAACAAAACACTACGGGGTTGAAAATGATGGAGGAAAAGTTGAAACTTACAGCCACACCGGTCGGGATGAGATCGGTCTTGTTTAGCACGAAAATAAGATGCTTGTGAGGTGCCTCCTCGCGGATGTATTTCTCAACGCTCCGGCAACGAGTACCAACGGGATCACGAGCATCCAGAACGTGGATAACCACATCGGAAGAGTCAATAACCTTGTAAAGCTCGTTCCAGATACGCTTGCTCTGGCCCTTGGAGAAGACAGACTCGCGAGCAGTAGTGAGAATGGCATCATCCTTGGTGCCCACATCAGCAGAGACGATGGGAGTACCATCATCGTGAGCATCTTGGTCCATCTTCTCCATGTAGTTATCGTGAACCTTGGCGGTCTCACCGGCCAGATCTTCCAGAGAAGTCACGCCCAGCTTGACACGCTTTCTTTGAGCCTTGGGTCCAAAGGTATCATTGAAGGGGTTGTTCTCAATCTCCATCTTGGCTTGATGTTGCTTGATTCCATTCACGGTGTCATTGTCCCGAATCAAGCTCATGGGGAGCTTGTTGGTCTTGAGCAGAACTTGGTAAGGGTCGGACGCCCGTTCAGCGACAGCCTCACGGAAGGAGGTGAGTGCCTCCTGGGAGATAACTCGACTGTTGGCAAACCATTTACGGTTGGGCTCGATGCGAGCAGTGGGGGCATCACGAGACTGGTAGGAGGCAGCATTCGTGATCTCTCCATGGGCGTTGCGCTGAGCTTTGCCATCCTTGAACATGTTCAAGGTCTTGATCTTCTTGGCATCACTAGAACATATATTAGTCCGCTGTGATTCCACTTAATCAAGACTGAAATCATGACTTGTACATACCGGTAAAAGTTTTCACCCTTGGTCTTGACATTGCCCATGCCATCGTTGGGCTTTCCCTGCCGCACCTTACGGGCGGCCTCCTTCTTTCCGGTACCCATGATGATGGACTACCTGTAATATGAAGGTAATAAAAAGGGGTTGGACCTTCGGAAATTTTTCGAAGGCGCAGTCCAAACACAGAGAATGGCAGAGAGCAAAGAGAAGAAGAAGAAAAAAAAAGGCGGAAAGAACTATTTTTTTTTGGCGCCAAGAAAAAAATCGCGGTGCACGGACCATGGCAAAATCGCTTCTGTTTCTCCCGACTTTGCTTCTTCCGAGCACCCTCCTTTCCAAGCGGTCAATTGTTGCGGTCTCCCTGGCTGGATATATCGTGATTTAATATCTTCCGCAGTCCCGTTTAATCCCCCCTACTATACACCTCTTCTTGGACGGATTCAAAAGCATTGAGTGGTGCAGCATGTCTGCCCTCCGCAACAGCCGGACTGCCAGAGTGCAGGTCCGTGGTTTCGCGACCTCCCCGAATCTTCGAGTCGGACCCGAGTCTCCTCATTTCATCGATGTTCCTCGAATCCTTCAACCGAGTAACCCGGTCAAGCCCAGAGTCAAGGGTACTCTCCCCGTGCCTCGTGAGCTCTTCCCAGCTCGCCGGGCGGACAAGCCGCGCAAAGCGTATCTCGATGCCGCAACACCCCTCCCTCAGACCGAGCGCAAGGTGAACCCGAAGAGCAATGACCCCGAGAAGCAGGCCTTCAAGCTCAAGATGGCGGTTCTGCGCAGACAGCATCTCCGAGAGGGTCTCCGAACCCTGTACCAGCGGAAGACATCGGCAGAGGAAATCATTTTCAACAGAAGTCTTGAGAACCAAAGTCGACGAGAGCGTGTTCTTCAACAACCCGAGCCGGAAGATGAACGTCTGACTCGATCAACGGTCGTACAGGCGATGCAGTCAAAGGGACACTCAGTCCTGGCGGACCCGAACCGCGAGCAGCGCCTGGCTCTTTCCAAGGCGCGGGTGGAGGCACTTAAGCAACAGAAGGATGCACAGCGACAAGAGGACCTGCAGTCTTTGTACATGAATGCTCGTACTTTCATCATCAACGAGGAGCAGCTCACTGCTGAGATCGACCGTGTGTTCCCCGAGGGTGAGAACGAGGCCTGGCGCAACGACCACCAGCAGGGCGAGAACATCTGGAACTTGGGAACTCCTCAAACCGTGCAAAGTATCGTCAACCAGACTCGGAGGAGTGAGACCGCCCGCTGGGATGTGATTCAGGACCGAGTCAAGCAGCTCGGTGAGCAGATCACTGGTGGCAAGCTGTGATTCATATTATCGTGTCATGTACAATAGTTATTTGAGGCTACTGCATTTGCGTTTCGTGCATTACTCAAGCCTTGAAAGGATCTGTTAAATATATTATCATTATGGCGTCTTCAAAGTCCTTCTTCTGTATCATATCCATGAACACCTATCCAGTACTTCGAGTGCACGCGCGTGTTTCAGAGCGGGCCTGCAGACCTAATCCATACATGGATACTTCTAGGTTTGTAGACCTTTCATTACCAATATCTTTCAGTCCAATGGACAACTTTCGCACATAGATTGGTGACATTAGCTTTCTCGGACTATATCCATGGATGTTTATTTTCATTATTCACTATGCGCATGAGAACTTTGGAAGTTTTTACTTCAAGGCTACATCCGTGGACGTAGGTAACATGCCTGTTCCGACTATCCATTAGTGGCTATGTAAGCTTTCGATCCCAAGTTTACATTGCCTACGCTGGAGTGCTCTGAGACGAATTAAACTATGATGGTGAATTCAAAGGCAAGCATAGTTTGGAACTAGATATAAGTGGAGTTTCAGGTTAAGTATGTCTGCTGACCCCGGATCAATTTAGATATTCTCCCATATTTGTATGTTTACTTCCGAGCAAGAACAACAATGGAAGTGTAAGTGGAGGCAACATAAGTATGGATCTGTTCGACTCGTAGACCCGCACACTCTGCCAGAGATTCCCACTGCTTTTCAGATCGCTCTTTTCCCCCAAAGGCGAACATCATTGACAAATCTGTCATGGTAGCTTGCCAATGGGCACCGGTATTCGGCAAGACCACTTCGTCAATCAAAATACGAGCATCAGGTGCCATGACGCTACCGATATTCTGAAGAATGGATGCCGCCTCTTTGTCGGGCCAGTCGTGCATGATTCTTCGCAGGTAATAGAATTTTGCATCTGCAAGTTGTAAGTCATCTGCATGTTAAGGTAAGGCATGAATGGAACAGTCACTGACCTGTGATGGGTTGCTTCTGGAAGAAGTCGTGAGCTTCAGCTCTGACTCCTTCGATTGAAGGCAGACTGTGAACAGCCTCAGGCAGGTCTTGCAAGACGAGGCGACCAAGAAGGTTGGGGTATGTCTTTGCTAGCTGGACACACTGGTGGCCATGACCACCACCAACATCCACGAGAAACGGCCTCTCAGAAGGCTGCGGGGTGGTTGATTTGATTTTTTCAGCCTCTGTCTTGATGAGATCAAACCCAACGGTCCATTCTGCGCCTTCAAGTGCGGTCATGATTTTTTGGAGAGAGCCAAAATGCTTGGGGTGCTGAACGAGCCAGTCGAAACAGGCTAGATCAGTGTTGAAAGCTTTTTGGAATGGCGTGTCCCTGTTACTGGTAATATCTTGGTACTTTTTCTCCATGAAAAAGTCAGGCATAACTTGGACTATAGGCCCAGAAACATCAAATCTAGAAGACAGCATTAGGGTTAATATAGTTCATGACCCATAGAGAGGACGAAAATGCAAGAGGAAATATCACTTACCCGTGATAGGCCATACCCTCCCCTCTGGGATCAGCTAGAACATAGGTGATTTTATTTGGTCGGTATTCATTAATACCAACCTCCAGAATCATATTGGTAGAGGCTAGATAGCGAAGAATTCTTTCTATTAAAATGATTAGCAATAGGACGTTCCAAGGTCTAGTAGAGCACTGTTAGGATGTTCGTCATTAACATACCCATAAAGATAGGGGATGCATCATGGACACTAGCCAACTGACTGGCAGTCAGAGACCCATTGGCCTTGCTAAGATCGCGAAACACTCCGAGATCTACCCCGAGACGGATCATAGCGATGAGAAGATTCTATAATGATCAGTGACTGGGGGAAAGGGCAATATATAGTTTCAAGTCTAACCGAGTTTGCGAATCCCATCAAAGTATCTTGGGGAGACTGGATTTCTATCTGGACTTCTTGAAGCGCTCTTTGAATTGCCAATCGACCCGCATCATCGGCGGATTGGGCCAAGGTATGAATTTGAGAAATGACGGCATCCATCTTGAGGTGAGGTCAAGGCCTGGGGGTATTGGGTGGAAGAAAGAGAGGAACTTTGGAAATTGTAACTGATACAGCAAACTGAATTTGAGCCAGAGAGTACTTGTTTAAAGCCTTAGAGTACTGGGACCTCAGGATATTCCATGGCTTTTATACATGCATTGGGGTCCACGGATGATATAGATTGGAACCGAGGCCGCGGAACTTCCGCGGGGAGTCACCGCCCATTGATTGGCTTCCACTTCTACCTCAACCTGCCTCTCTCTCCACCGGTGATTATTGCAAAGTTTCGACGAGCTTTTAGTGACTTTAATAATGGGGCGTGTTGAAAAAAATTCGTCCCAATCGGCGCGGTCACGTCCGGTATCTTGTCTGTTTTGTCGATCGCGCAAGTTACGATGCAGTCGGCAGTTCCCTTGCCCCAATTGCACGAGTCGCGGCCTTCCTTGCCAACTGGATGATCCAACAGCATCCACTGTCAAAAATGTGGAGAAAATACCCGACGAACCGGCCAGTACCTTCCAGCAGGATGTGTTAGAGCGTTTACGCCGACTGGAGGATATAGTGATTGAGAAGGGGGAACCAGCGGGTGAACAAGTAGCACCCCCTCGGCCTTGGCAAAAAGCATACCCTACGCCTTTGAATTCCGAGGAGACCCCGGCCATGGATGTGGAATGGCTGGAAGGGGAGGTTACATATCCTGCCTCCACAGTAGGTGTTGCCGACTATCTAAGTTGTGGAAGAAAGCTACTGATAGCTGTTTCTACAGGAATCTCTTATCGAAAATGATATAGAGTTTAGAACGTGCACCATCAAACAGGCCATCATTGCCGTCCCACTGTCTGACCGTGGTCTTGAGTCACCCTGCGCAACTAAATGTATTTGGCTTCCCTTTTACAAGGAGTCCAAAATTGTGGTCGAGAAATATCTAAACAACATCACCTATATTCACCATGTGGTTCACACTCCTTCGGTGCGAAAACTTTTGGATGATCTCTACCAGAATCTTAGCCACAAGGAATCCGTCAAACTGGGGCATGTTTCATTGCTCCTGGCGATTTTGGCGAGTACCACTTTCTTCTGGACAGAACGCGATATGCATTCGCCATTATTCTCCTCCGTCAAGGAAGCAAATCAACAGGCCACTATATGGATGAAACGTGCCCTTGAAGTACTGGAGTACTCGCGTCTCAAGGGCTTAGACTCCCTTGAGGATATCCAAGCCATGATTATTGTGGCCTTTCTCATTACCAATCTAGTTGGAATTAAGTCGCAGGCATGGTATGTTTTCTCGACAGCCATCACTGTAGCTCGTCATCTGCAACTGCATCGGATTGATCATCCTCAACACACGAGGCTTGATATATCCCGTCAAGATAAAATCGACACAGAGATAGGTAGGAGAGTGTGGTGGTATCTAGTTGCGACAGATTGGTATGTCCCCCTTTCACAAAGTTCACGCTATGTCTAACTTTGTGATGAAAGGCAATTTGCCTCTTACACAGGCCCACAAAGAGGGACCTATATTATCAATCCTCGACACATGGCCACGGAGAAGCCTCTGAATATAGATGACGAAGACATTCTCGACGAAGCGACTGGTGCCAAGCCAATAGATCAGCCGACCTCAATGTCATATAACCTTCAGCGAATTCGACTGGGAGAAATATGCCGCAAGATCACTGACAGCATCCCCTTCTCCGAGCCCGGGTGGGTGATTCGCGACTTTCAAAAATTACGGGATATCGATGCAGAAATCTGTGACATCGCCAATGAGATGCCCAGGTTCTTCTCCCTTGATTACGATGCAAGTGAACTTCCAGAAACCGATCCCCGAAGAGCACCTGGAATTATTATTCAACGTTATGTCATTAATTCTTTGATTCATACCCAACGATGCAGACTTCATCTTCCGTACCTGTCTCGGGCAGCTACGGATCCTGACCTCGCTTTCTCGCGAGAGGCGTGTCTACAGGCGGCGCGTACAGCTATCCGAACAGAGCGACTCCTATCAAAAGAGCCAATACCTTTTGTCCTTGCACGATTGAGGTTCTCTGCTGTTCTGCATTGTGTTTGTATGGCAATCATCGTACTGTTGATGGATGTTTGCCTGAATAAAAGCCTTCGACCGGAGGAGGATGAGGAACGACGAGACGAGCTTTTTCATGCGTTCAAGTTTCTAGAAGAGGCCAAAGGTCAATCGCCATTTGCAGAACAGATTCTGGAATCTTTCTACGCCGTTCTCTGGAGGAATAAGGTCACTTTGCCTGACACCAATGACAAGACAGATCAAATGCAGAATGAGAATCAACTGTCACCGTCTGCATTGAGCACGGACTCTACATTACCAACCGTCTTCAGTGGTGACAATAATGCTGAGGATAACCCGCTGGATCCGACTCTTCCAAGTTTCGAGGACATCTGGCAGACATTTGATAGTCATGTGGACCCGACTTCTATTTTCGACTGGAATTCCCTGTTTGCCGAGCTGGACTCACCATTCCTTTCGATGTGATCAGATATCAATAATTTCGTGGTATCAGTGATCCATTTCAAATTTTACAACTATGACGCATATATTATAAAAGTGTTATGTAAAGATATTGCTCTCGCACTGTCAGTCGCATATATCCGCTCAGACCCGGTGATCGACACTGCAGGCAGATTTACTTGGCACTGGCGTCAGTAGCGCGATGAGGGGTTAGCGCAACGGCCAACAAGAAATCCGGAGACTATGATAGCATGATGGTAGCTTGTGGTGGCGTCGCATCGAATGTTTATTTTTTTTTCCACTTTGTGAGGGATAATGTGGCAATCGATCGGACCCCTCTGAAATTGCAGGTTGCCTGGTTCCTGGATTTCCCGAATGGGACCCCAGGATTTGAAACGAAGCTTACTCTCGTACAGCAGATTGGAACCTACAGAATTTTCAAATCGAAGGCGAACCCCCCTTGCTTGAATTTTGGGGGCTGTTCTAGAAGCCTAGAGTGAAAGAAAATGATCTTCCGATCGCCAGTCTGACAATCTGGGCTTGGACACGCGTCCCGAATCGTGTACACTTCTTACGAGTCCCATGCAGACGTTCTTTCCCAAGCCAGCGAGGCTCTCCTTCATGACGCGGCTCCGTCAATTCCAGTATCACTCGCAAACTTACTTCTCTGTTTTGGCAACATAACCCGAAAGTGCACACCATTTGTGTGTGTGCCTTGCCAGAAGTTATTCATTCCTGGGTCAACCAAAGGATTATAAATAACATGCATGGTTGTTGGCTAACCAAACTCGGAGGTGCTCCACCCGCGCATTTTACAATGATGATTAAGGCCCGGCTTCACAAACCTCCGATCCAATCCTGTTGCTTTTCCAGCGCCCCCAGCAGGACTGCATTCATTTGTTACATCTTTTCCCCTAGTTATTTCCCGATACACGAATGCGAGGCTGTGTATCTCATCTGCCCACTTTTTATCCAGTCGCCTAGTCCAATGTGGAATACTAACCAGATGCATTTCTCCACTCCAAAGGGTCGCAGGGTCTTTCGGGGTTCGCCTGTGTGAATACTTCGTGGGTCTGATCTAGTTCTATGAAAATTTCGATTCATATTGTGTTTAGAAACCAACCTGGTCATCTGCCATCAAAGCTATAAGTCTGGTTTTCCGGGGAATAAACAAACATCGTCTACAGATAGCATTTCAGGACAAAGGCCCCTCTGTACCTTTTTCCAGGTCGAATTCAACCATGCAAAGTAATTATACGGGGATCAATTAGAAGCAAGAACCTCACCAGCAAACCATGGATGTCGGCACTTTTGGTCCGTTCGATCCGAGACTTGATCGTTTGGGCCTTACTCGTAGGGAGACGCATCTTGCATGGGTTCCGTGGTCGGGAGAACTCATTCGCCACTCGAATTCACGTTGCCTGCATTGTCCTTGGCAGCACTGTTGACTGTACAACACACATAATTTCCAATGACCCAGACCAGAATGGGGACCTCGCACATGGCTCTTATGATAGGCCACTATGGTCCACTACAAGCAGGACGGCGTCCAACAACAGGTGTCGCTCCACCGTAGTGGAGTATGAAGCATGGCCTTTTCTCCACAAAAATGGTAATGGACCTCAGTTCCAGAATGACGTCTACCATGTCACAGCGAATGCTTCTCCGGCTGGTACGGACTTTCTTAACCTGCTTCCGAGGTCAGGAACTGATCCACACCTACACCCACGGTCAATGGCATGGAAATACTCGATTCGGAGATGCTGACATCAAATATTTCTATTTTTTGATTCCTTTCGGGTGATGACGCCGAATCAGTGACTATGCCATGCTTTGTTGGTATATCTCTTGATTCGTAATGGGGTGGCCCCCATCCACTCTCCGTTATAAGTATCCAGATCCCCCGGACAAAGACCCTCGCCTTTGTTCCTTCGTACCATACAAGCGGCACGTATTTAAGCCAAATACGTCTAACAGTCTTTTCCACCTAAGAGTGCTGTGTTCATTCGTTCAATAAGCCTCTTTACCTTGCATCCCACTTGCATAATGAAGAGCTTCATCGCCATCGCAGCCTTCGCTGCCGGCACTAATGCCCTTGTTGGTCGCAGCGATAGCTGCTGCTTCCACCTGACTGCCTCTGGCGGTGTCTCCGGATCCCTTGGTCAGCTCACTGATGGTCAGGTTCGTGTTGGTGATGACAGTCTGTCCGCCGCGGACTTCTGCATCAACTCGAGCGGTGCTATCACTGATAGCGAAGGCCGTGGCTGCATCGTCACCAGTGAGTACCAATGAAACATGAAAGAAGTATAACAATCTAACAAAGGCTTCAGGCGAAACTACCCAGTTCCAGTGTGACACTGGTGCCAATGCCACCACTGGCTTCTCCATCACCTCGTCCGGTGGCCTGGAGTACCACAACAGCCCTAACTTCATTGCCTGCGAGACTGGAGAGAACAATGGCCGTAACATCTACACCACCAACAGCACTTCCGTTACCATGTGCAAGAATGTCAAGCTGACTGCTGACTCTTGCTCTGGTTCCGGTGCCGGTGCTTCGTCCTCGGCTATGCCCTCTGCTTCTGCTTCTAGCATCCCTATGGCCCCTAGCAGCTCTGTTGCCCCGGCTCCCAGCTCTGTTGCCCCGGTCTACACCTCTTCCGCTGCCCCAGCTGTTAGCTCCCCGGCTCCGGCTCCGGTCAACAGCTCCCCTGCCCCTGCCCCGTCTGCTGCTACTCTCTCCGGCTCGCCTATCTACGTGACCAGCACTGTTACGGTTACTGACTGCAGCTGCGCCAACACCACCCCTGGCTTCCCTGCTCCCAGTGGAGGTGCCTCCCCCTCTTACTCCCAGGCACCCGCTCCTATGAGTTCCTCCCCTGCTGGCGGTGCTCAGCCCTCTGGTCCTGCCGGTGGCTCTACTCCCAGTGCCTCTGCTGCCCCCTCCCCCTCTGAGAGCGTTCAGCCCTCTGTCCCTGCTGGCGGCTCTACTCCCAGCGCCTCTGCTGCCCCCTCTCCCTCTGAGAGCGTTCAGCCCTCTGTCCCTGCTGGCGGCTTCTCCACCTCCGTCATGACCCCCGCTGAGTCCGTTGCACCCACCACCAGCTCTATGGTTGCTCCTGCTGCCACCACTAGCTCCATGGTTGCCCCCGCTGCCAGCACCACCGCTGTCCAGTCTTCGGCCTCTGCTACCGCTACCGAGTCTTCTTCCAGCAGCTGTGCCACCACCCTCACCTCTGGCGAGTACCAGTACCCCCACCTGATCATCCCCGTCAACTCCTCCACCCCCGATACCGCCTACGGCACCCAGTACTTCGGCACTGTTAGCGAGACCGTCTCGACCCTCTTCAACTTCGACATCCCCTCCTCTTACGAGGGTTCTACCTGTAACCTGGTCTTCATGTTCCCCCAGAAGGCTGATCTCGAGACCTCCGACTACACCTTCAGCGGTGACGGCAAGATTGACTTCTCCAAGCTGTCTGAGGTTGCCAGCAGCTCCACCACCTACGACAACGCTCCCTCCGTTTCCGAGGACCTTGGTGATATCACCATCTCCGCCGGTAACAGCTACGTTGTCTCCAGCTTCTCTTGCCCCGCTGGCGAGACCATCGCCTTCGAGATGTCCGAGGCCGGTTCCACTGACCTCCACTGGTTCAACGACTACAACCCCTCTCCGTAAGTCTATTATTTCTTTTTCCGCAGCAAACAACTACTAACATAATTTCTAGTCTGGGTCTCTTCATTACCAAGTGCTAAACGAATAGCGCTCTATTTTGGTAGTCCGTCTCTGTGAATGTAATGGACGGTTCATTTCTTGTATAGGTCATTAATGCCTCATGTCTATACATTTTCATGTCTTTATGGCTTTTAACTCAGTGTCCGTGCTTCTGGGTATTAGATTACTTAGCGGACATATCTGTCTATACTGGTATAGTGCTTTCTTGTCCAGTGCATAGGACACATTTTTCGATTTTTGTATTAGTACATTTTCAACCCAATACATTCCTTTCACGTTCATTTCTTGAAACTAAAAATTCTCTTGTAAAAATTCCCCGCCCATACAGATTCGTAGCTATGGCATAATTGCGGGGTTCAATTGACGCAACATTGATGAGAACATGGCAAAGATCGGGCTGTCACCGCGATAACTGCCTAATATGGTAAGGCTTTCTATAAACCACGAACGCGTCTGACAGAAGTAACTGATGTCTCAATTAAGGTTCGGAAGGGAGCAAACTGGCCAATATTCGAAGCCCCAAATATGTCTGCTACGTATGACAAAAACGCCCAAGATTCTCCGCCACCTGTAAAACAATGCTCAATTATACTCGTTTCCCTCATACCACGTAGTTCTTTTCTCTTCTCCACCTTGAATACAAAATCTTTGATACATTGACCCTGCTGGTGTATACGTCTTCTCTTGTTTCGATGATGCCATCCGGGCTTATTCCGACCTCCCAAAAATCCTCCGTATATTAGTATAGGCACATGCGCACAAAATCCAAATCTTTGCTACAATTCATGTCCTTCCGTCAAGATGAGCCGAGCAGAAGATAAATATGTTGCTAGCACGGTTTCTTCAGTTACTGAACCCGACCAAAAAGGAGAGAGGTCGCTTGTATGGCGCCTTGATCTCTTTTTCCTAAGTATCGGTTTTCTCGGTTACGCCTTCAAATACCTCGATCAGACCAATATCGTGAGTTTCCTTCTCAGTCTGTAACTGTATGGTGCTCATGTATGACTTAGAGCAATGCATATGTCTCCGGGATGGAGACGGATCTGAAATTGTATGGAAATGAGCTCAACTACTTTACCACTTTCTTCAAGTATGTTTTCTCTTTCTTGCATAATAATTCCATCTCTGACGTTGTGGACAGCATTGGGTATATGATCATGTTATATCCGTCGTGCATCATAATTTCCCACGTCGGTCCATCCATTTGGCTACCAGCATGCGAAGTGAGTCAACCTTGGATAAGACATTGGTCTTCTCTAACAGACTTCTAGGTAATGTGGGGGATATTTACATGTTGTTTGTCTACAGCCACAAGTGCCAAGGAGGTAAGGGCAACCCCATTATTGGCGTCAGGTTGCTCCGTATCTAACAACATCAAGGTTTATGGGCTTCGCTTTCTGATCGGTTTCTTTGAAGGCGCGACCTGGCCAGGCTATTTTACTATCATCAGGTGATTTAGTTCATTCCACTTTAATGCACTTTGACGAACAGAAAACAGGGTTTCTACTATGCTCCTCTGCGCTTGGGCTGCTGCCCATCTAGAGAAAGAGCCTCAAGTTCGAACGGTTCTTTTTGCGACCGGCACTCTATTCTCATACCTATTCAGCGCTTTTCTGCCTATTGCAGCTTACCCATCTTCTGAGGCACCTAATTGGCGAATTGGTGCAAAGCTTTACCTCGGGCTTTCAGCTGTGGCTGCTGCATTATTTATCAGTATTTCCTTGATATTTAGATGGCAGGCTAAACGAGAGAAGCGACGAGGAGAATAAGATACCAGCGATATCTGCCAGCAATCCAAGAAGAGCTTGAGCGGGGTTTGGCTGTTTCTGGGTTTAATCCCAGGGTTTTGCGTGCTTCAAGCATCCCCGAGTGAAATGTTTACTGTCGTTCTTGTGATGTCAGACGTCGTATACCTAGTTTGCCCAACAGCTACGTGTGAAGGTGGATTGACGACATTGAAATGGCCCAAATTAACATGAAGCGATGATTTCATCTCGATATATATTCATTAAACTTCATTGTGTATGCCGATCCGACCCGTCATCAATATCCACATGGACTGTATCCATGACTCGAATATTATTTGCGTCTTTCATATCCCAACAAAGAGCCTCTTGGCTCGATCCCCTCTTTGTATCGATATCGACGGTAGTGCGATGGATCGAGCCGTCGAAAATCCGATTTTGGGCTGGTGGAACGGGTGCAAGCCCAAAAGAGCCCGTGCCGTTTGATTTGCTCTGATCGGTAGAGCGGTTCTTCATTCGTAGGATTCCAAACAAGCCTCTTAAGGCGGGCAACGACAGTGCGATGATTATAGCGGCAATCTCGGAGGTACTCCAGGTCATGACGACGGAGAAGTACCAGGTGACATCGCTCGGGTGGTCAAGGGCGACGATCATGGAAACCATGCGAAGGACGGACGTACTATTTAGATTAGCACAAGCTTGTTTGAGAATTATCCTTGAGAATTTCGAGTACTGTACTCACACGATCGCACTAAAAAAACATTAGTGGAGGTCAATACGGAGTATAGGGGCAGGGTCACTCACAAGACACCAAAGCAGAAGACAAAAAGCAGGGTCGCCTTTCTCGCAAAATTGACTTGCAGCTTCAAGACAATGTTCACCGGTAATACCAAAATCAGAGAATCGCAGATAATGGTCATGATAGAAGTCGAGAGGAAGACTTGTGTCGAGGTCAGACATTTTCCAGTGATACTCGAGTCCCACAATGCTTGGAGTGGAATGCATTGAAGCGCAATAATAAGGGTCTGCGCCACCCATACAGCGGTCACAAACACAAATGCCATACGCATGTATAGTTTGAACCTGGGCATGGGGTTTAGACGCGCGAAGAACGCTAAACCAGAGACTCGACAAATCCAGAGGGCGAAAAAGTATAGCATCTGGGCTGCGACGAGCCACTTGTACATTTTGACCATCTTCCCTGGATTAGTGATTAGGTCTGCTAGATGCTCGCCACCACCGTAACGAACGACCATTATTGACAGTGCCATATCGGCCCAGGCGAACAGCTAAAAATCGCACCAAAGGAATGAGTCTCGTACTAGATAATCAAACGGGAGATGGAAGATGGTACCTGTCCGATCACAATAAGATAGTCATCCCTGCCCAGTTCGCGGATTAAAATGCCACGGGCGTATAGACGAATCAGAACCACAATTGTTGACAATGCTGTCACAATGTACATGCCTATGATCGCAGATCGCCCGCGATCCTGGATCGAATCCTCTGAAGCCATTCTTGCACAGAGTGAAGCACCAAGTAGAGACCGTCAAGATGGGCGCATAGGTGGAGAAAGATTGATAGGAGAGATTAAATCGACTTGATGGGATCTTGTAATTAAAAAAGACAATAGTCTTGTCTTCTTTTCCACAGAAACGTCTGCGGGCCGTGAAAAGTGGATCTATTTGCCACGATTTCAACGATATTCGAACTAGATTGCCCTTTTAGCTCTAGTCTGCTTTCCGATTAATCGCGTACACCACGCTAAATATGACACTAAAGCTTCTAGCATTATGTTTGGCTAGCGACAAAGGATTGCCTCCACAAAAAGTCCACATGTTTCTGATCTAGACATCGCTAGCTGCTTCACCAGCCTTGTTATAGTAAAGAGCGCCTGCACGGACGGGATAGCACGCACAAAGGGACTGAGACTCGTTCCTTCGGGCGAGCCTCTGATATCCCCGGTCTCCGTGCAATTTATGGCCGAAGTTGATTCGCTATTCGCTAATTCCAGACTAATCAGAAGCCGAGAAATTCTATTACTGTGATTGCCCCAGTGTGGGGATTTCGGCTATAACTATGAACTAACCCCTGGTGAAAGGATTCGGGCCCCCTTTTTGTTTTGTTTTTCTTGAGTTCGAGTGAAGCTGTTCACTCCTGGGCATTCAAATGGCCCCACTCGTTGTTCCTGATGTGATAGCCTCGCTGAATACGCGCCTCACATGGGGTGTGGTGCTCTTCGTGGCGCTTATTGCCCGTGTCGTGTACAGACGTTACTGCACGTCGATCCGGGATGTTCCCGGTCCATTCTGGGGGTCTTTCTCTAGTCTTTGGGTGGTCGCTCAACTATACAAAGGCCATCTTGAAGATGCGACCCTCAAGTTACATGAAAAGCATGGTATGTCACGCCTCCTTCTAGACTAATATTTCCGGGGGATACAACCGCTAAATAACACATAGGACACTTCGTTCGAATCAGAGAAAATGAAGTTAGCGTATCACACCCGGATGCAGTGAGACAGCTCCTGCACGCGAACATCACAAAGGTACTATACCATAAACTCTAAGCTACCGAGGTGATGACATTGGATCCTAATTACCATACAGGGCCCATGGTATGCCATTTTCAGTCTTCCAGACTATCACTATGTCAATCAGATGTCTGAGCTGGATCATCGACGACACATCGAGAAAAATCGCAACATCGCATCGGGATACGCCCTTTCCAACATCATCAAGTCCGAGCCGGACGTCGATGCCGTCCTGGAGCTTTTCACCGATGCCATGGACGAAGCTGCCAAGACTGGCAAGCCATTCAAATTCGAGACGTGGTTCACTTACTATTCATTCGATGTCCTCGGTGAGGTTACGTTCTCTAAATCATTTGGCTTCGTCGAGACCGGCACGGACATTGGGAATGCCATCTCCAATACCCGGGCCCTCGCTCTGTACATTGCCGTTATGGGCCACTATATCTGGTTCCACAATCTCACCTTGGGTAACCCGCTCCTCAGTCGTCTGGGCATTCAGCCTTCCTCGCACATCTTCGATACCTGTCTTGCGGCTATCAAGGTGCGCAAAGAGAACCCTAAAGTGCGCAAGGACATGATGCAGCAGTGGCTTGACACTCGTGCTAAATACCCGGATCGCATGGCGGAGAGCGAGATCTTCGGCGCTGCTGTGGCTAATGTCGGTGCTGGTGCAGACACTGTCAGCTCGACCATGCAGGCTCTTACCTACTGTCTCATTCGCAGCCCCGAGCACCTGCAGCGCCTCCGCGAGGAGATCGATGCTGCTCAGGCTGCTGGGGAGCTTTCCCCTATTGTTCAATATAACGAAGCACAAAAGTTGCCTTTCCTCCAAGCTTGTGTATGTTTCCAAATATTTGCCTCTCTGCAATTTGCTATACTGATAGTCCGGATAGATGAAAGAGATCTACCGTCTTCACAGTGCGGTCCCCAGTCCGCTTCCACGCGTTGTGCCAAAAGGTGGAATGACCATTGGAGATAGATACTTCGAAGAAGGCGTAGGTCAATGCTCTACTACTGCTCCCTAGTATCTTCTAACAAATTTATTAGGTCATCCTGAGCGTCAACCCTTGGGTCTATCACCGGAACCCAGCACTGTTTGGCGAAGACTGCAACACCTTCAACCCTGACCGCTGGCTTACGGGTGAGACGAGCAATATGGATTCCTTCCTCATTCACGTAAGTGGTCATTGTGAATGCAATCTTGTTCTATTAGTCAAGTGTTCTAACAGAATGTTATCTCTACAGTGGGGAGCAGGATACAACCAGTGCCCCGGTCGCAACCTTGCTCATTTCGAGATCACCAAGCTTATTACCACTATGGTCCGAGACTTTGAATTCGAGCTTACGGATCCCAAGAAAGAATGGGAGTGGACGAATCACTTCACTGTTATGCAGTGGGGGTGGCCCTGCAATATTCGCCGTCGTACCCGCGTATGATCAAGTTGAGTTGATGCAAGATTATTAGGGCCCTGGAGATGGCCACCTGATGAGATGAATGATTTCATGTTTGATTATCTCTGCCATGACTAGCTATCCTGCTGCATTCGTACATATAAGCGAGTTCTCTATTCAATGAAGTTGAGCGTAATTCTTTGGTATCTAAATGTGCAGTGTTGATGCTTTGAACGATTTCCTGGTTGTGACTGAATATGGAGACGTAGAGATCGTTTTAGTCTGCTGTTGCTCTCTTTGTTCTGTTGAGAACTCAAGCTTGGCGATCAAGCCGGTGACCGGGTGGCGTAGTTAGGCTCTAACCGGCTAGCCAAGCCACATGTCTAAACGATCTTCAGGACCAACCGCATAATGTGCGCTGCATTTGCCAGTGCTCTATTGCCTGATGACACTGCTCTTAGCGAGTCCTTTTCATGAGGTCCCACAGTCCTAGGATTGCCTTCTGGAAATCAGAATTGACAACAGGGCTCTACAAGTACTTCTCCGTTAGTGACATGATATCAGAATATGACATCGACAATCCACCACGTCCGCAGTCACAAATGCGAACCCTTTCTAGGGACGACACTGTCAATACAGTATATCGATAGCCACGAGTTGAAGCAATTTCGCGAGGAGCTGCAGCATCAGCTTGGACCCTTCAATAACCATGTTGCCGAGTTGTGGATCGGGCCCCAGTGGGCGGCTGTGTTGGTACAAATCACAAAGGAATTAGGCATGTCAGTTTGCAGAAATGGCATCTCTTGTGGGGGTGTTCTTGGCTCTCGCTCTAGGGTGGATCGGCATTGGGCCTGAAGATCTACAAAAATCGGCTCCTGGATCAAGGAGTCTGGACCGGCAGAGACAGATTGAAGCTGTCAAAAGACCCACTGCCAGGAACCAGGAACCGGCAACAGTAACCATAAATAGGCGGAGGTTAAATCCCAAAATAAGAGTGCCTGGAATACGCAGAAAAAGTATAACTCGCCAAGATGCGCCTCTCACACCGGTTCATTTCGATCGTCGTTTTATTAAATGCGGAGCACGCACACGCGAGCATCTTCGATTTCACAATTCCTCTTTGACAAGGAATTTATTTGATTTCGCTCTTATAACATAATGGAGATTCCGGCCAAATTGCCGTTCTCTAAGCGGCGACTTCGACCACGCGTAGTGATTTCGTGAGTTCGGTTTTCCCCGCGGGATGCGCGTTCACTAACCTTCCAGCTACATCTTCGACTACGTGATCTTAATGTAAGCCCCTTCCCATCCTGCAGGATTCCCCCTCTAACTCGTCAACAGTGCCTGTGTCATCGGCTTCTGGATCCTCGACTCCCTCGAACCATACCACCAACACTTCTCCCTCCGCAACATCTCCCTCCAATACCCGTACGCCGTCCACGAGCGCATTCCCATCCAATATGCCCTCTGCATCTCCGGCCTTTTCCCACTCGTCCTGATCATCGTCTATACCCTTTTCATCGATGGCCTGTTCTCGCACCACAAGCCTCTGGATCCGGCATCTGGGAAGCGCAAGCTGCGCGGTCCGTGGCGCTGGAAGGATCGCCTGTGGGAGATGAACTGTGGGATCCTAGGCCTCCTCCTATCACAAGCATTAGCCTTCCTCATCACACAAGTGCTCAAGAATGCATGTGGAAAACCCCGTCCGGACTTGATTGACCGGTGCCAGCCGCGTGACGGGAGCCTGGACATGCTGCCGTACGGTCTGTCTAACTCCACGATTTGCACAGGAGAGGCAAAGTTGATCAAGGATGGATTTCGGTCATGGCCATCAGGTATGTTCACAATACAATCGGGATATCTGGGCAACAATATACTAATCCCGTTCTGTGTACAGGTCATAGTAGTTGTGAGTCGCAACCGCTGACACTTACCACGCGGACTCATTCGACAGAACCTCCTGCTGACAATCGTTATAGCCTCCTTCGCAGGATTATTCTACACGTCTCTGTGGCTGGGCGGCAAGTTCCATATTATGGACAACCGGGGTGAAACCTGGAAGACCCTGCTGGTTACCATTCCGATCCTTGCCGCGACCCTTGTTGCCGTGTCTCGCATTATGGACGCCCGTCACCACCCATTCGACGTGATCACGGGGTCGCTTCTCGGTGTCGTCTGTGCCATCGTCTCCTACCGTCAATACTTCCCTCCGATCACCGAGTCCTGGCGCAAGGGCCGGGCCTACCCGATCCGCACCTGGGGCACCGAGCCAGCTGCTCCAATCGATGCAAAGTTCAGCGCACTAGATGACAGCACGACTGCTCTGCGTAACCCTGAGGCAGAACGCCTGAATGGTTCCAGTATGCGTGGGCGATCTACATCCCCACACCAGCCTGGCGCATCTGGGTACGCTAATCCTGGCAACCCTTACACGTCGCAGGTGTATCCTCGTCGTGCGCATGACCATGATCCCGATGGTAACTGGTCTTCGAGTGAAGACGATGTTGGAAATGGGTATGAGATGCAAACTGGGTATGCGGCAGCGCAAAATCCAGGTGTCAGTCGCAATTCTTTCGATGCCAATACCGCATACCATCCCAACGCGTATCAGTCGCAAGGGCACACGGCACCCGCTGGTGCTATTAATCCACCACCCGGTGTCGTTGTTAGCCATGATCACCTAGAGCGATCATTGACCGATGCGCCTGGTCGAGAGGTGTAAAAGCCAGTATAAATGGAGCCTAAAGACCAATTCATGACTCGGCGCAAAGGTCTGTTTTCTTGCGAGATATTGACTTTGAGATTGATGTACGAATATATAAGACGGCGTTTCATGAGCATTTAGAATGTACGTGCATTGAAATTAAATTTGAAGTTTTGTCTCTATTTACCCTGCTTTTAGCGGCCAATTGGGTTTGAAAGATCCATCGGTTCCACTTAGCGGGATCTCGGTTGCCGCTCCAACCTCCAGTACAGCAAGTATGGGATCAACAGTCAATCAGATGCAGGTCATAAATTAAAAGAATACGGTCGGGTATACTAACCCATTCAGTGAAGTCCGACCTGTCAACTCTCTGCTGTGTTAACCAATTCACTCAAAACAAAACTGGGAAAATTGACGCTGGTTGTCCCAGCCACCCATAACATGCACGGTTACTCGCCCAGCCTCTTCCCCGCTGTCAGCGCAAAATGACGGCACACGTTTTTCTTTTGCGCTTCCATCCCCTCTCCCTTTTTCTTCTCCCTACATATCTTCGTCCTCGTGCTCTGCAGGTTGTGATCGCAGTCCACTCGCGCTTCTAAGCTGCATGTGAGGTGTCCGAGACTGAGATCCACCCTATACAAAGTACAACACCAACTTCTTTGTATCTGGACATACCTGAGTGACGCGACAGCGGCCCGTTTCGCAATCCCTATTTTGTCGCATTCCTGAGATCAGAACTCAATCTTTTCCTTTGTCCACGAGGCACCCGGCAAGATGATTGGCAGCTTATTCTTCATCTTTAACCGGCTGGTGGAGATCGTCTTCTTGATCCCCATCATCGGCATCATGGTACGTTGAACACAACTCTCTCCAGTTTTGAGACCGAGTCGCGCACTAGCTAGCTAGTGACCACGAGCATGGTCTCTCAACAACACTCAGCCCTCATCTCCCAGCTAGAAAAATAACTAAAAACTAACATCGCAATGATCATCAGTCCTACTTCGTCCACGGCTACCTAAAAGCCAACATGCTCACACCCGCCTACATCCTCGTCATCTTCATCGTCAGCGTTATCGCCGTCTTCTGGGCCATCGACACCCTAATCCGCTTCTCAGCAACCAAGCGCTCAGCTCTCTTCGTCTCATTTGTAGACCTCCTATTCGTGGGCGCATTCATCGCCGCTGTCTACGAGCTCCGCTTCATCGCAAACCAGAGCTGTTCACACTGGGACGGTGGTTCAGTCTGGGTATCCCTCGGTCCGTTCGGCGAGTACGGAGAAAGCATCAATAACGATTACCACCTGCACATTAACAAGACGTGCGCTATGCTCAAGACTTCGTTCGCGATGGGAATTATGGAGTGCGTCTTCTTTGCTTGGACGGCTTTCTTGGCTCTTTTCTTGCATTCGCGTCAGCGTGAGGTTGTCGTTAAGGAGACTACTGTTCGGAGACGGAGTCACAGTTCGCGACGTGGTCACTCTAGCGGAGGACATCGTCATCGGAGCTCGAGTCGGAGTCGGCGGCCTGCGTATGTGGTTTAAGGACCCTGTACAGCCTTGAACCTTGGGTTTTTAGCGGTGGTCTTGTTTTCAGTTTTTTTATTATTTATGGGTACGATCGCTTGCTTTTATGATTGTATGATGCGATGGAATAATGCGGATGAGGATATGGGATGATCTTGGTGGAAAGAACGTTTGTTTATCAAACATGAAAATTTTATCATGCTTTGTGAGATATGTCTTTACCTTAAACAGCTTTCATCTGGTCATAGTTCGAAAGTCTAGGAACTTAAATGCATTCTATCTTTACTTTACCATTTACACTGAGCGCCGACAAGAGCAAATCTTCGAATGAGTTTCAATTTGGATGTAGTAATCACCGATGGAAGTCTAGGATTCAAAAACTATATACCCATGGATGAAGGCTTCAAGTACTCATCAAGAATCCCTGGATTTCCTCTCCTAGTCGCTTGGCGTGGTCGCCTTGTATCATGGAGAAATGATTGGCCCCGTCAATCCGGGACAGAGCTATGCTCGTCATGGGCAAGAGATAATCCCAACCAGCTGGGCCGAAATCCGCTCTTTCCTCCGTGAGGAATTTCAACCCTTCCGGGTCATCACTTCTTGCTTCAAACTTTGGCTCGAGATGTTTATCGATGGCGTCGCACGCCCAGATGATCTGTGTTTTTGGAGCATCGACAACAGGCGCGAATGGTGTTGCGTGGTACTCATGGAGGCTGTTGACGCAAGCTTCAAAGTGTGGAATAAGCCATTTAGGCACTTCCTTCTTCACCCCGTTGACAGTTCCGAGCAATCCAATCTCATCGCAATATTCGTAGTATCGACTTGGCAAGTGATCAAGGCCCCTAGGGACGGGACAGTCAATAAGAATCAAATCCGTGACAGTTTCGCCGGCGGAAGCAAGCTGCTGCGCGACATGGTACGCAAAAATACCACCAACGGACCATCCACCTAGGGCGTAAGGGCCATGAGGCCGGCGTCTGCGAATCTCGCGGATATATAGTTCAGAGACCTTCTCAATGCCGCAATTGTAGGACTCGGGAGCTTTCATGAAAGGACAGTTCACTCCGACGACGGCTACAGAGGGGTGAATACGAGGAATAGCTGCATAGGACGAGCATGAACCAGAGCCATCAGGGAGCAGAAAGAGGGTCTTGGCCGTTGATGGCAGGACGGGATTCCCCTGAAGTAGAAGAGAGGTTGCGGACAATAATTTCGGAGGCGGTAGGCCATACTCCGGGGTTGTGACACCAGAAGATTCTTTGGTCGATGAGGAGTCGCTCTTCGAAGATGATTCCTCGCAGCTCAGGGGAATCGGGTCTGACTCCACGTTATCGGTAAACATTGAGTTTAAGATCGCGTCATTGCCACCAAGAGTTTTGTTTGCATCAGAAGACCCTGTATGTGAATCCTGCTTCCAGAATTTTTCGAGCGCTTCCATGGTGGGATAGTCCATGAAGATTGATGATTCATGGGCTAAACCAAGTTCTTCTCGGAATCTGCTGGCACAAAGCAGTGCAAGAAGCGAATCGAGACCTAGGTCTGCAAGCTCGGCGCTTGGAACGAGTTCCACAATAGGGACTCCACTTTCTTCGGAGATGATTTTTAGAGCCGCTGACCAAGAGTCTGTGTGATTCCCACCATCAGTGGTAACTGAGGCACTAACAATAGAAGTGACAGACCCAGTTGATGCATCTTTTGAATGGGAAGATGCTTGAGTTCGGGTATGCAAGGTTCCACCTGCTGGACTGCCTGTCTTGGTTTCATCGCGCATGTGGACAATATAGTCCATGAGTCTCCGAGGAACACCTTGAGCCTTGACACCCTTGTATAGTGCAGCCAATTCGTTGTTTTCAAACACGAATACATTACCATGATACATGCCATCTTCACTGGGCCCTGTCATTTGAACATGGGTCCGATAAATAGCAGTCATTGACATTGGCTTGTAGAAGTGCAAAGATGCCCATCCGTGGTTGACAAATACCTCCTTGCTGAGATCAGCCTCGTCATTTGCATTCATGATAAAGAGAGCAGGTTGTCCAAGATTGTCAATCAAATGCGGATTGACGTAGTAAATTCCGTTCGTGCTTTGAGGGTTCTCAAATTGGACAATTGCCACAGCTTCGCGATTACGGCTATCTAGCAAGACGGATGACACTCCCATGAATTGGGAATCATACTGCGCGAGCGATGATACCAATTGATACCCCGTCTTCCCAGAAAGCTTCTGAACTCGCTCGTCAGTGTAAAGCCTATCAGAGACAGACTTCATCTGCTCCAGGACAGGCACGGCCTGGAGTTGGGCCTCTGCATGTGCCTGCATTGCATTGGGGAAGGCCATGCCGGCCTCGGCATGCTTGGTCATTCGCTTGCCCTCGGAAGTGACGCTCCAGAATTCAATCGCTGCTTTGAATGTCTTCCGGTCAAGCGAAACATGGCAGCGAAGTAATTGTGGGCCCGTGCCCTTTGTTTTTGTGACAAATGGCCGCTGAACATCCATATTTTGAAGATCCACTAGACTTTCATCCAGCTTTGGTTGCTGTTTGCGAAGATGTTCGCCAATAACTAGGGCCATTTCAGCGTAGATCGATGGTGTCACCAGAGGGACGTTGTTAACGCAATGTCCACGGACGAAGCAATCCATATCTTCGCGGAGAACATCGGTCTCCCCGACAACAAGCACCGTGTTACCATCGTCTTTCTCTTCAACCAGCTTGTGAATGCATGTCGTCGATAATCCTCGAGTAGCTTGGAGGGATCGAGGCTCACCCTTGTGCAGAGTCCAATCATTGGCGTACTGTATCCAATAGTTCTTCAAGTCCCAGTTGTACGATGGAAGGCGAAGGACAGAAAGAGAGTGCGCAAAATCACGGTGATATTCACCCCAGCGGATCTCAACGCCAGACTCATATAGACTGGTTAAGCTAGCCGATATTGTCTTCCATGTATCTTTGTTCCGCTGCAAAGTCGGCAAAGTGGTCGTCTTAGGCCCGAGATTGTTTCGAAGAAGTCCCGAAACAATCGGATGAGCACCAATCTCAACCCAGATAGTGCTTTCATTGACCGCACTGTTTTTTGCCTGGAGCAGTCCGGCAGCAAGATTGACTGTTTCTCTACAGTGTCGGGCGAGGTATTCCGTTCCGAACGATTCCTTCGACGTCAGGACCTCGCCAAGCAAGGGGGAAATGACAGAGACTTTGGGTTCATTGAATTTCACCGCCCGCGTAGCTGCTTGGAACATGTCGAGAATGGGCTGCATTTGGGATGAGTGAAAGGCAAATGGAACTTGTAGTTTCGTTTTTCTCAATTCAGTATTCTCGCGTGCAGAGAGACGATCTAGTACCTGCTCCATCTGACCAGTTGTTCCACTCAACACAGTTTCGGAGGGCGAGTTGATGCAGGCAATTTCATACTCAAGACCCTCGCAAATGATATTGATGTATTTGACAGACGTACTGACCGCTAACATGGCGTGTGTGTTGAGCGGAATATGCTCCTCTATCAACTGTGCTCTTTTTCCCACCAGGAAAATAGTATCAGCTTCAGATAGCACACCTGCAACGTTCAAAGCAGCATATTCCCCAAGGCTGTGGCCAACCACTGTCCTAGGTTGGACTCCCCAAGACTGCCACAGCTTCGCCATAGCCATCTGTGTGCATGTGGTAGCAACCTGAACAACTACTGGTGACATTTGAGTTATGTCTCCCTCGGCCTGTTGGACCAAGGGCAAAATTGAAGGGAATCCCAGTGCCTGAGAGAGGGCATCGAATCGGTGCATATCGGTGCAAAAAGAGCTGAAATGAAGCAAATGTCGACCCATTCCAATATACTGCGATCCTTGTCCAGTGAATGCAAACGCCACAGGTTGCAATGCCCGCGCCTTACGTTGAACAACAGGCGATGTCAATTTGCTTCCCAATGAGGCGGCAATTTCTTCCAGATGCGAGCCAGCCACCATGACGCGGAAGGGATTGTGCATACGGCGAGCGGTTGTTGTATATGATAGACTTGCGAGTGGTGGCTTCTTGTCTTTGAGGTGTGCCAGAACGGAGTTGATGTTCGCGAGAAGAGCAGTGCTGGACTTAGCACTTACTGCCACAACATGCGTAGACCTAGGATCTATGGTGGATGTGGAATCTTTATCCAAAGAGGCCGGTTTATCTTCAATCAGCACAGAACTGTTGCCTCCTGCGGCTGAAAAGTTGTTGATCATGACCCGGCGCACGCCTCTCTCTGGGCGTGTCCAAGGTGTAGGGCTTTTGGCGATGTGGATGTTTCGCTCCTCCATATCAGTGGGGAACCCACTATTGATCTATCCAGGAAGTCAATTACCTGAAATGGCTGTATATCGCAGGTTTCATATAAATAGTTTGCTCACTTTGGTCTTGATTCCGCAGTGGGGAGGGATCTCGTTCTTTTCCATCATCATAATAGATTTGATCAAAGCAATGACCCCAGACACTGACTCTCCGTGGCCTACATTTGCCTTTACCGAGCCTAGAAACAGCTTTTGCTCCTCGGTACGGGCTTTTGCCTCTGATGGTGCAAAAACAGAGAGCACAGATTTCATCTCCCGTGCGTCACCTAAGAGAGAATGATTATCTTAGCATAAGAACAAGCCAAAAGTTCAATCAAGCATTCAAAACGCACCGGCCTGTGTTCCCGTTCCATGCATCTCGATATAACCAACACTGTAGGGATCTACTGCGGCACAGCTGAGCACCTTCTCAAAAATGGCCTTTTGGGCACCGATGTGTGGGCGAGTGATGCTCTCAGCTTCTGCGGAATGATTCGTGTACGCTCCGCGGATGATTGCGCAGATGGGATCATTGTCGGCTTTAGCATCTTCCAGTCGCTTGATAATTAAAGTGCAGACGCCTTCGCCTCTACAATAACCATCCGCGTCATCGTCGAATGTCTTGCAGTTCCCAGTTCTTGACAGAAAATGGCCACGGTCCAGACCAGCTGAAATGTCTGTTCAATTTACTTTTTAGTATACACAAGTTCATTTGGTGTTCTTTTCAACTTACCAGGATTGGTCAAGACATTTGTTCCTCCACAGAATGCAGTATCAATATCTCCCTTTAGCAAAGAGTTGCAAGCAAGGTGGAGACTGGCCAGGCTGGATGAACAAGCTGTGTCAATACTGTAGCTGGGTCCTCCAAACTTATAGAAGAAATTTTGTCTTCCTGGAATGAAAGCACGACATGAGCCCGGAATATAGCTAGGCGAATTTGTTAATGTTGCTTTTTTTTACGATGAAAACCAAATCGAAGCAGGTATAACACGATGATCGGAAACATACTAGGTATCCACATCCTGGGAGCTATTTATTTCTCCCCAGTCGTTGCTGGTTGTACCATAAAACACACCAATCCTTTCAGACTGAGTTGAGGGTGTCGAATCTGGAACAAACCCAGCATATTCCATTGCCTCATACGCAGTCATAAGTGACAGACGCTGAGCTGGGTCCATTTGGGGCGCCTCACGAGGACTAATCATGAAGAAATTTGCATCAAACAGACCTGGTTGCTGTAACCAACATCCATAAGGAGTTGCCATCGTGTTTTTCTTCGTCAAAGTGGGGTCCACATGTGTCCGCACGTCCCAACGATTGCTGGGTGTGGTGCTTGCAACATCCCGGCCATCTTGCAGGAGCTTCCAAAATTCATCAGTATTCTTAGCATCTGGGAATCGTCCAGAATAGCCAATGATGGCCAATCTAGAGTCTCCCAGCTTACCCGAGGCACCGTCATCTGAGACAGCACTGCTAAAGTTCATCGCTGGGTCCATCGTTACCTCGGTCTGGCCTTGCTTTTGGATTCCAGCAGCAATACTTTGACCAGTCAAGGTGGCAATGGGCAATATCCGACAGCTTTGTTCGGCATTTCCAAGTGTTTGTGCCAGAGAATCAACTATACGATCCAAACGAAGTGGTTCACGCAAGATCTCATTGATTGAACCCTTCAGCGTCTCGCCAAAGTTACTGGCTGTGATTACCTCGCCGTTGACACTCGAGATCATATGTGAGTGACGCCTGAATGAGTCAAATCCACTCTGTAGTGTCGGTCTCAGAATCATGTCAACATCTCGCTGTTGGTAGAGTGCGGCGGCATGGTATGGTGCATGGATAGGGAGCTTGATAGACCTTTGCCCAGGGAGGTACTTTCCACTTATCAATTCAAGCAGATTCTCTGGAGGTCCACTCAATGTCAAGCTGGCATTGGCGTATGTGCTGATGTAAATCGAAGACGTGGCTGGGAGGCCCTGTGCAACCAAACGTTAACATGGATGTTGCCGAAAATTATCGATCTGTATTCATTGGTTTGTTCATCGTACCTTGTCATTATTGTAATGCTTCAGAGCCAATGTAGCGACATCAGTCTCCAGGCCGGGGATTAAGGTGGCCCATGATGCAGCAGGGTCTTTCCCTACTTGAGGTGCGATCCCGTGAAGCACCTCTGAAACACAGAGGCCAACACGAAAGGCAACCAAAACAGTGTGTGCAGCAAGAGGAATGAGATCTGTGACTGTTTTACTGCAGCTCACTGCAGCTGCACTGAGCAATCCAGTACAGAGGCCAACTACCCAAGTGTTCTGGGGATTAGGATACGATATCTCCGGGGCCGTGAAGTGACTTGATATTTAAGTTGTGTTAGGGCAGATTCTCTTGTTATGCTTGTTTTTAAAAAGATAGCCATGTCTAGACTTACTTTATGAAACAAGCTAGCTGGTAAGTAGAAGCTAGTGTTGTCTCCAGGGCCTGAGGGAGGTATGGTAATCCTTGGCTCCCTGCGAGAAGCTCTTGGAAGGTGATAAACCTGGGGAATCGGGTACGTTCATTCATCGGAAGCGTTCCGATCTCCTCTCGTAGACAGAAAGTGACTCTTTCGAAAAATGTCGTGAGAAGGGGGTTGTTCTTTATGGCTACCAGAGAGCGTAGACCACTCAAATAGTTGCATGTAAGATCTCCGAAGAGAATAACCTGGTTTTGTTCCGGCATGATTGATGATTTTCACGGTACTGTGTTGGTCTTTCAGCCATAGGAGACTGGCTCCAGTGGCTCTTTTATGTGTTTTCGTTTGACCTGTGAAATCACATTTACTTATTCAAAGTCCTGGTTTTTGCACTCGGCCGGGGGCTAGATTGAGAAGCTTCTTTCTCCTTGAGCCCGGCTACCTCGGTATGGCCCACAAGCCTCTGAAAACCTCGGGGTTTGATAAGGATATCCGAGATTCTCAGTATAGAAATTTTTGATGAGAATCTGAACCGAACATCGGATTCCTTAACAGGGCATTGTCACTTTTTCCCGAATATCGCGTTCCGCGCCCCTTGGTACAGCCATTCGCCGATTCTTCCTTTGGTTGTGCCAAGATGATCACCGATATCACTTGCATTCTGGATATATAAGAGCTCGATGGTTTTGCAATTTCGAAACACTTGAACCAGGAATCGCAAAATTTTACAGTTTACATATTATTAAAATATGACAATTACTATTGCGGGCCTGTTGGCGCGAAACAAGTATGTTCCGGCCCTTTAATCTTTCCTTTGTATGGTTTTAACTTTAATGAATGTCATACAGGGCTGTCAACCATACACCTTTGCCTTCAATTGCGGAGAGAAAGTTACAGAGAGGAGCCCCACCTCGCACGGTGATTGGTAGTCATAATTGCCTCGCTATTATCCCAAATATTTCCAAAGTTCGCTAATGCTTGTTTCCACGTTAGTTACCTGCTGTGACCCTCGATGCATTCCAGAGGAATTCTTGAACCTCAAAGCTGGAGGTACGTGAAGCCATTCAGGCCCCAGGAGCAACCGGAAAACAGTTCGTTCACATATTTACAGAGGTTGTTGTCCACCGTAATGCTGGAGGAAACATCCGCTATGCCCTCCGTGATATCTTGATTCTCGATGCACTAGTCAAACTTGATGAGATTGCCATCATACACCATACCGACTGTGGCACCCTACGCTTTACGGATGAGCAGCTGCGCATTGCCTTGAAAAAACAAATCAATGAGACACATTGGGCCAAGATTGAGGAGATGGAATTTGGTGCGGCTCTGGGGTAAGCTCATCTCGAGGGCCTCAGTGAAAAGAATGAATGGGCTGATATATAATTGAATTATGGCAGAACCGAAGAAAATCTGAGAGGAGACCTTGAGTGGGTTCACGCAAGCCCTTTGATAAGGGATGCGCTCAAAGATGGTACTCATGGCTTTATCTTTGACCTTAAAAGTGGGAAATTAGACGAAGTTGAAATGTAGGTAGTGTCTTCAATCTGTTAGGTACAGTCCCCGGTCGGATGTTGAGACCTTTTTGAATCATGCATTTGAAAGTCGACCTATCGGTGCAAAGCCGGGGTGTCAACTATACCCGTGTACTCCTAATTAGACGCGAAATCATTCATGTAATATCCTCTATCTGTAAGTGTCTAGTCATAAGACTCTTGTGTTTCAAAACATCGTCAAGGCTACCCGTGGTCCTCTATGGATGTGTGTAAATAAGAATGGCTAAATATTGGCGGGAAGTAGGATAAAACAGCGCCAATATAGCGACTGAGTAATGTCGCCAATGTCCAAGTCCCAAAATAAACAGTACGTGTTTTTGCAGATCACGCCCACATTGCTTATTTTTATCATGTCATAATTTGAAGAGCATGAGGAATAATATATGTGCAAGCCCTTGAGCTCTCAGTGGTATGGAAAGAAGGAGGGGATAGAGGAAAGGTTAAGCCTGTTCCTCGGAGTGGATCACATTCAAATTATTGACACTATCTTAGATTTAGTAGCTCAGGGGAAGATGGTGATTCATTGAGTTCTCGGTGGTAGTTCTTCGAGGCCCCATACTCTAATCTTGGAAGTCCGAAGTGGCTGTTCGGTCCTTCGGCCCTTCGGCTGTTTAACAACTAGGAGTATATCTCTCGGGCTTGCTTCCACAGGACAATCCATTCGTTCCTAGACTTCAAACCCGAAATTCCCTTTTCAAGCTTCCAATTCAAAAGGAATTCGACCTTAGCAAAATACAGTTCTCCGGTGTCCCAGAATTGTCCTACCCAAATACAGAATGTCGACGGATCGTGCCCTTACGCCAGAAACACTTGATCCCTCCCAGATAGATGGCCCGAAAAGCCTCGAATCAAAGACAAACGTTCAGAACACAGGAGTCCCGGAATGGAAAAAGAGTAAAGCCCCCGATGGTGGACTGGCTGCTTGGTCTGTGGTCCTAGGATCGTGGTGTGTGCTATTCTGCAGTTTTGGATGGATCAACAGTACGATCAACCCCTTTCACCGAGAAATCCATACGGCCTTCTTATTGTAATGACAACGACAGGTGTTGGGATATTTCAAAGTTACTACGAGTCGACTCTACTGAGCCATTATTCGGCTAGCACGATTGCTTGGATCCCATCTTTGCAAATATTTTTCATGTACGCCATGGTAGGGTCTTCCCACAAATCTTCCTCCCTTGTGCCTAGTCTGTTGATTCATTCCTTCTCAGGGTCCCGTATCTGGTCATTTGTACGACAACTATGGACCCCGTTACTCACTTCTGTTCGGATCGCTTTTCCACGTTTTTGGCCTGATGATGTGCTCTATTGCGACAGAATACTATCAAATTCTTCTCTCGCAGGGCGTATGTAGTGCCATTGGAGTTTCAATCATCTTCCAACCCGGTAAGCCAGAGCCCTGGAGCCACACAGTGCTATACCTCCACAAAATACAGTCATTGATGTATATTCCAGCGACCAGTGTCATACCAGGTTGGTTTGACAAGAAACGTGGCACAGCCTACGGCCTTATGTCCAGCGGTTCCAGTATCGGAGGAGTGATTTTTCCGATCATGATACAACGATTGATCTCAGAAGTGGGATTTGCGTGGGCGATGCGTGCTGGAGCTTTTGTGATCTTGTTTCTCCTTACCATCGCCAACTTGACGATTCGATCCCGTTTCCCTCCATCACCACGGCCAGTATCACGGGCTACACTGACACAGCCATTGAAAGAGCCAAAGATGCTACTTGTTATCACAGGATTCACTCTGCTGACCTTTGGAGTGTACATTCCCATTGATTACTTGGTCGTTGAGGGACTCTCAAGTGGCATCAGTGACAACCTCTCTCAGTATTTGCTGGCGATGCTGAATGCTGCAAGGTAAGCATGAAACTACCTCTTTTCCGCCTAATTTTACTTACTAAATCATGCTACTAAAGCTTCTTCGGCCGCCTGGGGGCGGGCATGATTGCCGACCGGATTGGTACGTACAATGTCTTCGCCGTGGTATGCTATCTAGCTGGGATTTTTATACTTGCCATCTGGATACCCGCCACCAACGCCGCGGGGACTATCGTATTTGCTGTCCTTTTTGGATGTTGCTCAGGCGCATATGTCTCGCTGGCAGCAGCTCTTGTGGTCAAGATTTCACCTTTGCCGCAAATCGGGTACCGAGTGGGACTGATTTTCCTCTTCGCTTCCATTGGCGGGCTAACGACCAACCCTATCGCTGGTGCTCTTATATCTCATGATAATGGGTCTTTTCTTGGAATGAAAGTGTTTTCCGGTGTTCTTCTGCTGGCCGGCACAACCTGTGTTTTCGGTGCTCGATTGCTGCACACCGGACTGAAAATAGTTGCAAAATTTTGATTTCATTGGCCAGGTCGGTGCTATGTACTATACCATGGTAGATCGGATCTGCTTTTTTTATCTTGTTCTAGCTTAAAAGGGCATGGGGTGTCTGTATACTCTGTAAGCAGGTGTTTCAATGCGCGCATTAGACGACTACATTTTTTGTGCACAATACCTCATAGAACCCATGTTATCATGCTATCCTTTCAGTGTGCCTTTTATCAAGCTGCAGAAATAGGAGTCAAACGGAAAATTGAAGGTTTTCTCGTAATTTGTGGGCTGCTCTCGCATTTCGGGCTGCTGGCAGCCCTGGAATGAGATGCCCTTTAGGGGATAAGCCCTAGAGAGGCAACTTAGTATCCAGCATTCTATCTTACAACAAGACCTAGCCTCTGAATGGTAAGTATTAATAATCTTTTATTGTATTGAGAAAAGCCTTCCAAGGCTACAGTTACCCAATTAACAAGATAATGCTAGAGGCTATATGATTCTGCTATATTTTCACTATCCTTGGCCCACAATCCATGAGTCGGACGGGTTCCAATCGGGGAAGCAAATCGAATCTAAATTCCAATCTCTAGCATCTTCTACCGCCAGAACGCTGCTAGGGATGGCATCCCTCCGGTCATCCTCCCGAGGTCCTGTGTTCTGGGGAACCGTTACATTGTTGGGGGACCGCGCTGACGTAAATGGAATCGAAGAGAAAGCATATCGTATATTGAGTGCTTTTTCTCGAAGCTTTCGTAGCACGTTCCATTTGAGTCCAGGACTCGGCCAGCTAGGATCCTCCACCAAATTGAACGAATTATCGACCACCTGCCACGCTCGATCGGCGCAGTGGACTCCAGGCCGAACACAAAGATGCCATAGTGTATATGTCAAAAGATGATATTGAGTAAACGTCGAGAAGAGCCAGTGAAAGTTACTGAGAAGCTCATCCGTTTTTAGGTCATTGCCAATCTCAATGGTGTCGCAAGCCAGCAAAAGCGTCTGTTCGGTGGCTCGTGATGCAGATTCTTCCGCGCTGAGTCCTCGGAGGTATTGCTGGCGAACGAAGACACTGAGCTTTCCCATCAGCACCTGGCCCAGCAAAAGCGCTGACTTTTGAATGGGAATGTTAGGATCACAATGCTGCAAGTAGCGATCTTTTATGCGTGCCGTGATTGTTCTAAGAAGCTGCTCTAAGCTAGTCATTTTGTCATCCCCATTGAGCACGGCTACGGAAAGTCGAGACACTTGTTGAAGGGCTTGATTCATCTCGGCAGCGACCAGAAACAATGTCATCTCTGTCCACTGCGGTTTTGAACTCGGGCCAACTTCCATGTTGGCGGAAAGATCTCGGTCATCTATGTTGAGTGGAAGCTTCGTGTTAGAGAAGCCACCAAACCCATTGGTTGAGAGAGCATGATCTTCACCAACTCGCGCATCGCATCCGATAATTTGATACCATAGCCGGCGACGAAGCTCGCACTCCAGTGGTGGGAGGTTGAAACGTTCCCCATCGCAGTGTAGACCCATCCATTGTGCGGTTCGGAGAAGTATACCGTTCAATGTCCATCCAGATCTACCACAATTATGATTTCGATAGCAAAGCTAGCGCGCAGTGGTCAGCATTCATAGGAAGTGCGAGTGAAGTGGGCTCAAGGCGGCGGCTGAATTCACCAAGTAAATCGACATTGCTTGCAGCGAGCTAATGGTGGGCGAATCGAGGAATGCAGCGGAATGCAAACAGACCTCTAGACCTCGCTGGAATCTTTTGAGGACGGATTGCCGGTCCTCACCAAAGATCATATGGGTTTCTGCCTGGCGCTGGCTTGTGACTGCTGCAAAATAAATGGAGAAAAGAAGCGCATTGAAGTCTTGAGAAGCAGTGTTCGGATTGTTGATGGCGGCAAATACAGCGGGTTGCGTGGTCGGAATATGAAGTACTTTGAGAAGAATGTCGACGTTGTTCAAGTAGACTTGCCACAGGTGCGTGGCTTGCCCTCGAGATGGGAAGAGAGAGAAGGCGTTGACAGCCAATTGGGGGTTGGAGATGAGCCCATCAAAGCCAATCATTGAGCTCGCCTCACTGTTGTCAGTACTTGCCGGGGTGTTTATGGCGGACTGAAGGTCGCACTCCTATTCGCGGCGAAGGTAAGTCCAAGTACTGCTTGGGGACAAATTTTATGGTCCACTGACCTTCTCCAAGACGCGTGAGAAAAGCAACTCGTTAACATATCGAGTAGATGTGCCGTCTTTCACCAAAAGGCCAGCTGTCGGCGCAGTACGCTCGCCGGTTGAAATGGAACTATTTGTTTCTGCATCATGTGGCTGTGACAAGATAGAAGATGATCTGCTACTTATATCGGGGGAGCCTTTGTGTTTGTTCACAGTGTTGGCTCTTTTCCGCACCTCCGGTTGGGTTCTGACACCGGGAGGAAGAATTTTTGAGCGACGCTTTATTCGCCCTGGACCTGGATAGTGACAAGGAACATTGATCCGGTGGCAGGTTGAACAGGGTATGGCCCGGTCGCAACGAACCTTGCGCTCATGGCAGCGGATACATGATCGCTCCACGTCATAGCGCCTTGCAACCAGTAGCTGGGGCGATCGGTCGCCATTTTGCAGTGTTGGAAGTTCCATGTTCAAGAAAAATCAGTTCAAGGTGCTGCCTTTCTCAGGTGAATGCCTTTTGGCAGTGTTTCAGTCTTGAAATTTGATGTGCACTGTTCAATGACCGGAATGGCCGTGGATGCACCGACAATCAACGATCCGGCCCCCAAGCCAAAGAAACACGTGATACAAGGCTAGTCAAACAAAAAGACAACGAATTATGGTATGTTCTATTTCCGCATGGGTATATGCCGCCTGGTGATGTCAAATGGCCGAAAAGCCGAACGACCGAGTGGGCCGTTATCACGATGCATGACCCCAAAAAAGGAATCTAATTGCTGTATCATTCCAGCATCCATCATGGTACGCCCGATCAAGAAAGTCGCTTTGGCCGGAGTAAGCTGTCTGTTTCATTCTATCTGCTCTCTCTTAAGAATTTATACTAATGTGAAAATACTAGGTTAACGGCAACCTTGGCCCTGCAATTTTCCAACACCTAAGAAGCCGCTTCGAAATCACCGTTTTAAGCCGCCAGGATAGCAATCACACATTCCCACCGGAGTCAAAGGTTTGTCGTGTCGACTACAACTCGCCAAGCTCACTTATATCTGCCCTCCGGGGGCAAGATGCGGTTGTCTCCACCTTGCCCGCCCTTGCTCTTAACCAGCAACACCAGCTCATTGACGCCGCTGCTGCTGTTGGTGTCCGACGCTTCATACCTTCCGAATTTGGATCAGACACAACCAATCCAAAGTGCGCTTCGCTGCCCGTGTTTCAAGGAAAACTCTCGACGCAACAACTGTTGAAAGACAAAGTGCATAGCTCAGGAATGAGCTACACAGGTATCACTACAGGCCCATTTCTAGACTGGGGCCTCACCAAGGGCTTCATGAACATGGTGCAAAAGCGTGTTCATCTGTACGATGGCGGTGATCGAGTCTTCAGTACTACGTCATTACCTACGATCGGACGCACTGTTTGTGCAGTCTTATCCCGACCGGTGGAGACGGAGAACCGTATGATTAAGGTGCACGATATTGCAACTACACAGAACACATTGTTCGCAATGGCAAGAAAGGCGGTCGGGCCGGATGGCTGGACGGTGGAAACCTCTCCACTCGCTACCATGCTCCAAAGGTCTTGGATAGACTTCCACGAGGGGAAGCAAGAGCTGGCAACTATGCTTGGATTCATTGCTACCGCATCCTGGGGAGAGGGGTATGGGGGGTATTTTGAGCAAACCGATAATCAGCTATTGGGTATTCAACAAATGACCGAGCAAGATGTTCAAGAGCTGGTGAACAACTTGTGGGGAAAGCAGCTGACTAGCAGCTCTCTTCCTTCACATCAATCATTTTAATTTTGATTCAGATTCTTTTCAATGCTATTCGATGGATTCATTCCAAAAGTGATGCAGATCACTTAAAGTTGAACAAATAATTTATGATTTGTTGCGTAATGTCAAACACACGGAGTGCTTAATGTATTTTTACAAATGATCAAAAGTATCACTTCAAGAATGGGCTATCATATTTCGAATTGACACGATGCTTTCTACATAGCATAATATTCGACGTCAAGGTCATTGGTTGTGCCTACAGTCGGAACAACGCCAGTGATGTGGTGGAGCTTGCCTACGGGGTTCGTCATACCCATCGGGCCCCCCGGAGATCCCTAAGCCCCGAGGTGTTCGACGCAACTCCGAACAACCCCTGCAACAACCTCGGTGTGTACTGCAGCACAAATGTAGGGCTTGGCCTGTTTCTCTGGATATACCCGTGAATCATGTTTTCCAGAACGGCCTTTGCGCTCCAATTCATATACGATGGAAGTCCCCCCATTGCATAGGCTTCCTAGCAACCAAAATTTGCTTCTAGCACTGCAAATTATTCCATTGCATTCCACGCTTCTTTTGATCTGTATTTTCTTCACCTTAACAGGACACGATAATGGCTAAGCGCTCAGAATACACGGTATCACTCTCCCTCTCCCGGACTCGGATTTGACATATCAATATCAAGACTGATTACTAAATGACAAAACTAGCGCGAAGAGGGCAGCGAAGTGAAACTTCTTCACTATGTCTTCGGACAACCCGATATCGACCAGATCCGCGGTCATCCCGATAAAGTCCTCAATCTCATTGAAGAGTTCGGCCAGAAATATTGGTTCGCCAATGTCGGCCGGCCTAAAGGCGATATCGTCGTCAGCCTCATCGAAGAACTTCGACCGCGAAAGATGATTGAACTTGGCGGCTACGTGGGCTATTCTGCCATCCTCTTCGGGAACGCCGTGCGTCGTCACGGAGGACAGCAATACATCAGCCTCGAACTGAATCCTGAGTTTGCTGCGGTGGCTAATATTCTCATTGAGCTGGCCGGCCTGCGGGACTTTGTGCACACTATCATTGGTCGTAGTGATGAGTCGCTGAAAAGGCTCTACACGAGTGGAGAAGTCGAGCACGTGAACCTCATGTTCATCGATCACTATAAGCCTGCTTATACCACCGATGTGCAGCTGTGTGAAGAATTAGGCATGATTCGGCCAGGCTCCGTCCTCGTTGCTGATAACGTGGTCTTTCCTGGGAACCCGCCCTATTTAAAGTATGTACGAAGTACTGTAGAAGAAAAACGAGAATTGGCACGATCTATGGCATCAAGGAAAACTTTCAACACGGATGGGTTTTCAGAGCGGACGATCTCCAAATATTTGGGCGCGGAATCTGCACCCAAGTTCGATGTCATTGGAAACCCCAACTTGGTGTACCACAGTGTTCTGAAACAACCTGAAGGAGACGCGGTATGTTTATCTACCCCGCTTTGCTCTTCCATATGCTCCCGTTGAACTCACGAATTTGCATTCTCCAGGACGCCCTTGAGATCACCAAGTGTGTGAGAATTGAGGAAATTGCTTGATCCGCACGGACCATGACACGTTCACATGGCGTTTTCGAGCTGTTGATATCCGGAGGATGATAGAATTCATCCACAGAGCTTAGCGACCAAGAAATATGATTCATCTTTCAGGGCTCGTGCACAGCTCTATATTCTTCTTACTCAATTTAATTCGGTAACGTAATTGGATATCATCGTATCCACAAGATTTTTTACGAAGTGCTCTAGAAGACGGAAGCCTCGTTTGCGCTAGATCTTTGTGGTACCAGAAAAGCATCTTCACTAGGTCTTTCATTCCTCCACGCCTGCAAGCTTATACATTTCACTTCTTTTTGCAAGCCAGGCAACTTTTCAATGCCTTGGAACCTTCAGCATTGAAAGTTTGGCGTTCCCAACCTTGCCCCGTTTTGAAGATCTATTTGGATCTAGTACCTGAAAATTCATATAGGGACCATAGCCTCCTCCGCTCCCTCCTAAAGTTCCCGATGTCGTCTCCTTTCCTACAGCCCTCTGGGTTTAAAAGATTTTTTCTTTTGCTTCGTTCCCAATCTACGTAGTGATGACGGCATATTCCCCGCCCTTTATCAACATCTCTGTACAGAGTAGGTGATTATCTTCTACTGGATCTCTTGCGTGAAATATTCAATTTTCAAGGTATTGTCCCTTTTCATAAGCCAAAAGTTCCAAACATCTCGAAAAAGGTTCATTGTAGAAAAATGAGTGAGACTTCCGAATCTATGTCTATTTAGTCAATCCGAAAAGCATGGCTGAAGTCATCTCCTCCTTCAACAGTTTCCACTTTCGCTTCCAGAACGCCATATACAGGTATTCCTTGCAGAACCTTGACAATATGATGGATGGTCGGAATGCATTTCACATGGCCGGCAGTGAAATTGAACGAACACTGCTGTTTTTGTTTGTCATCTAGTGATTGAGAAATCCCAATTGAAACGTCTTCATTTTGTTGTTCTTCATCTTCGTCGGCCAGCGGTGTCTTTTTATAGGGCTCGAGTACAGCGTACTCCGCGTCAGCCTTTCCGGGTTTCCCAACAGCCGGAATATAGCGATAAGTCAGTAATCCTAAGTCGGAGTTGTGCTTAGCCGGAGTTTCTCGATGGAGTTCATCAGCTTCCTTCTCATCACTGGTGCTGTCTCCATGCAACTGAGACCAGCAAAGTCTACCAAACGCTGTACCACGCCAACTCATTTCAATTGTTTTGAAACTTCCATCATCGACTGTCTCAATATCGCAGTACAATGCAGGAGCACCGCACTCATCGCGCTGGGAGACGACTGCATCGGCTAGGTTCTCAAACAGAATGGGAACGAACGTCCCATGGACCGCCTCTCCTTTGTGAGATGTATATTGCGTCCCGTGGATATATAGCCCGACACGGTCATATCCTGATCCGCCCAGCCAAGACAATTTTTGGAACGAGGTGTGGATAAAGGAGGCCTGTACCACGGTATCAGGCAGGATAAACGAGAAAGACTCAGTTGGCAGAAGCCCTTCTAGGTATGTCTTGGATGTGGCAAACCGAATAGACCGGACGGTCTTTTGGGGGTGAATACCAGAAATTCCGTCAGTGATGCTTCCATTGTTATACTGATGGGGACTAAGCAATGGTCCAAATGAAATAGGCTGACGCCAATGCGATATCTTCTTGGACCATTCCGCCTTTTGCAAGGCTTGGCTAGAATAATGAAATTCATCGTGACTGAAACTGTAATTGTCAAACTCGTGGGCTGTGGCAACATTTCAATAAGCTATGCATACAAACTCGAGATTCGGCCTGGGTGGTGTGTATTGACTTACGGGAAAATCCTTTTTTCTTTGAATTTCCATGGGTTGGCTGTTCACGCGAGAGGCGATCTGAATACGCGTGGCTCGCTCTTTCCGGCACTTCTCATATAGTGCAAGTCTCTCGGGGATTTCATCGACAGTCGTACCGTGTGGGAGTAGTACTCCAAGCGATGCAGCATCTTCAATTGCTTGGGCGGCACCTTCTCCTCGGTGGGGTAGGAAAGGGTGAGCAGCGTCGCTTTTATTTCACCACTGATTAGCAAACAGAACAATGGAGATATATCAATCATCAGCGCTCGTAACCTACCCAAGGAGGGCCAGTCTTCCATTGACCCATGTTGGTAATTCAGGCAAGTCGAGCAATGGCCAAATATTGGTTTCATCCTCAGGGGCCTTTTCCAAAATTGCCTTGACTGGCAATGCAAACTCGCTCGCAATTTGCAACATCAATTGCTTCTTTGAACCATTTCCCTTGGCTGACAATTATTAGATTAAGTATCACAATACAACGAAAGGAAACCGAAAAGGAACAATGAACACGGTCAGGTTTAATTTTCTTGCCCTCTTCGCTAAATTGAACTGGAAAAATGAATAGTGACATGACATACCTTGATGTGATCTGGATTCATGGCTTGGATGCAGGTAGATACAATTTGTCGTCTTGTAACCTGCACAGGGATAGCACACGAGGCGTCTGACGCCGGTCCCCATGACTACGGTCAGGTTACCATCTGACTTGATCATTTCATTTGTAAGAGGGTCGTCCTGAAGAGTCTGGGTCGGGATGAGGAAGCGAAAAGCGCTAATTCCACTATCGAAAGGGACGTAGCCCGCTCCTCCTTCGAGGGCCTTGCGACATTGGGACTGTCTCTTTTATCAGTCTCCTTTGCCTTGTTCTTGGTATAGACGAGTGGGGATGAATACTGACATGGACTCCATCCGCTCCTAGGATCAAATCTCCATGTAATCGTTCGCCATTCGCAAGAACGATCTCGCTTTCGTCTGGGTCCACTGATACCACTTTCGATCCCAGTCGGAGGGTGCATGGCTTCCCAGCCCCCTCGATCGAAATTGCCTTTTCCAAAATTGCAGAATGCAAGTGTGCACGATGTACAAGGCGTCTCAGCTACGATAATATCCTCCATTGTTAAATCTTTTTGTTTTAAACTTTGGCAAAGTATTCAAGGGCGAAAAGAAAAAGATTACTCACATGCTGCCATCTGCCACTCTCTGCATGATAATCCAGTGAGATCATCTTTTGGCCAACAGCACCAGCCCAGATCGTGCACCCGGTGCATTCAATTGCGCCAACACAATCATTTTTCCCTAGATCAATTCCTAGTCTTTTCAAGACACCATCGCAATAAGGCGGAATATTGATAGCTGCTCCAATTTCGTTACTGAAGCTCGAGGACTCCAGAAGGGTAACTTGATGTCCTTGCTGTCTCAGAGCCAGTGCTGCAGTCTATTTGAAGCAATTTCCAGATTATATGTCAGTGCCAAAATCCTTGGGAATTCCAACATGCAGAAGAAGGAAAGAGATAATGTACCAAGCCACCAATCCCGGCTCCCACGATGAGTACTTTCAACTGTGCCATGGCCGAATCGTTGATTTCAGATTGAAACACTGTCATTATCATTTCCTGACTTCAGTATGTGCATAAACAATGTGAGTTGCAGTGTGAAGAGTGTCAACATGAATATTGTAAACGCCGTGGACATTCTTATATCTTGCGATAGCGACTATATATCGCATGATCTTCAACCTTGGAATCCTTTACGCCTTGGTTGGAATTTGGCACCTTGGGTCCCATCCATTTCGGCTCCCTCGGCATAATGCCACATTTTAACATGATCTCGGCCATTCGGTCGTCCGAGGATATATAGAAGGTTGGGGGCGAAAATAGGGGACACGCACTGAAAGCGCCACGCGAACGCCAACCGAGGGACCCGACCTCAGAAGCTCATGTTTTCTTTACACATTCCTTACAATTCTCTGACCAAAATTCATAGATGTGATCAACTTAGTTTGTGAGCCACGTATGTACGAATTCTTAAAAGGTGATTTGAGTTTATTCAATTTGTTGGCAATATCGAAATCTAAAGTAGTTGCCTAATCGCCTGTCCATATCTAAGCCTATAGCAAATGGGTTGATCAAGACATAATCTGATTTTCGAGCAAAGATCGTGCTAAATCGGCGGTCTGGTGATACAATAGTCTTTAATCGAAGTAATCAAATCATCCAAAGTCTGCTGAACGGCTGGTATTGGCAATGGCTTTTTGCCAGAGCCTAATCCTAGCGGTTCGTCATCTTGTGTATGATAAAATGGTCGTGCTTTCGCAAGGCCAAACACCAGGCTCAGCTTTTGCACTTCACAAAGCAGAAATTGCGCCTTCATACGCTGCTCGGAAGAGAAGTCCAGGGCAAGATTCCCGAACTGGATGGTAGTGGCAGGACAAGGCCTCAGAAGAGAGCCCAGTATTGAATGGGGTAAATCTGCGCGTTGTGATGGGGGAGGTTCACGTGTAAAAGAGACGAAAGCTGAATGGTATCCGGTCAAGACTTTGGAAAACAGGGCCATGACCATGAAAAATACGGCGGGGTCAATAGCGCAGATCCCATCGTTACAAGTCAAGATACGCTCCAAGTGCTGCATAGTGACACGATTGACCTTGAAAATTTGATCGCCGAGTGTGAGACCAGAGTTTATACCGCTTTCCTTGCACTGAACCTCGACACTGAACATGTTTTGGAGTGCAGTCAAGGCCGTAGTCGGGCATGAACACATATGACCCTTTCCTCTGGATGAAGTGTCGGACACCTCGGACAGAGAAGCGTCTGATCCTCCAAGTGTTCTTGGGTCGAGATCATCGTCTAGTTGTATGTGGGCAGGCTCTAGGTGATCGACATCCATGCATTGTGCATACCATTCTTCTAGGGCATCGGTTTCAATACCTCCAGCAATTTCCTCTTTATCAAACCCAGCTAGCATCCCTGCATGATCCGAGGCGAAGTCGTGTATCACGGGATTGCAAATTCCTATGCTTTGGACTGCATGTTCCCTTGCCTGTTCCCGGCTTCTGGAGTGTATATTCATTGGGGTAGGACCAGTATTTGCTTTGGTCGTTTTGATCAATGATGGCTGGGGCTGTGTAGACGTTTTCCCCCTCCAACGATATGGACTGTAGATACAAGCTGCTTGAACTGCTTCGCATCGCTCACATCGTGGTTTTCGTTTGTCGCATCGAACTTTCAGCATCATGCATCGATCGCAAGTCGATCGCAATTTCGGTACCTCGTGCTGACAACTGCCACCTGATCGTCGGTCACTATTGTCGGCCATTGGTGGATACTCTCGTACCAAGGCCTTGGCAGATGGTAATGAAGCAAGAAATACTACTTTAAGGCAGTTGGCTGGACTTTGCGAAGGAAGTTTATTCCAGGGACTTCCTTGTGGTCTTGGCTTCAATGTATGAGTAAATTTTAAATAGATCCGACCTCTTCAGCGTTTTCTGAAAGTAAGGCTGAACAGCTAAGGACAAGGCTGCGCAAGAACACTTATCTTCTTTCCCGGCCCCCAATCTCTCTTTCCCCTCTTTCTCCATTAGCCCTAGCCGTACTTGGACACGTGTGATGTAACTACGGCCCCTACATGGTGTAGTGAGGAACAGTTATCTGCGAACTAGTCCCCGCCGTCGAGGTCTAAGTTAGTCAATGAAAGGCAGTGGGGGATGATAAAGGACCGATCTCTGCTGAAAAAGCAGACCCTTCCTCGCTATCAACAACGAGATGAGGGAAGCTAGAAAATGCTCAACCAAAAGTGAGGTGAGCCCACTTCGATCTTGTGATCACCCGGCCCGTGCCGTAGCGAGGGTCTAGAGAATGTCTTGTTACAAATGATCGCACTGTCCAGATCTGTTAATCATACTTTAATTTGTAATTCAGACATAGTAACATCTAAATCATCGTCGTTTGATATTATAGATCTTATTCTTCGTTTCAATAGCATATCGTTTGTAAATTTTACTAGCGTTGATGACTACTGTTCTAATCAATAGGACACTGGAAATGACGTCAAAAGTAACCCTTCTTGGGGGCCCAATTCACCGTCACTTGGCGTTATGACTTAGTCTGATGTCATACTCGGCTGTCTCCCAATCGTCTCCCAATTTTCGAAGTTCCAATGCTCTCGAGATCTTCAAACAGCCTAGATCATTGGAATGGTAAAGGAATAATATGATATACAGCCCAGAAATGATGCACGCAGGAAAGAAAACTATGAAACGAGTGAAACAGAATGGTCCAGACAAATCTCAAGATGCACGCAAAGCATTGTACATGTACATTAACCACATCTCATCAATCCATCTATATCCATATCATTAGTTGTGTATTTGCAAGCATTCTATACTGGTTTGGCTTTTGACAAATGAACCAAAAGAACCCAATCTATTTTCACAAAGAAACCAAGAAGGAAAATGGTACGTGGCCACGTCTCGTCTCGTTGAAAAAACCAAGGCATATAGCATTGCAACCCGTTCAAATAAGTCCGGTTCTATTGATCAATTTGGCATCCAAATCAACCATACCGCGCACTCAAGCTAGCAAAAGCATCTGGGCTGTGTCGACCATTCTGCAGTCCGTTGATATCAACGCTTGGCTGGCTCATGTGCGTTCTAGGCATGTTCGCGTTGACCGAAGTGAAAGGACTAGGGTTGGAAGCATAGGGATTCGAAGCACTCAAGCTCATGCCCATTCCCATTGCCGGGGATGGGGCAGGAGCAGGAGCTGCGGTGCCGTTGGCACCCATTCCGATGCCCAATCCAGAAGATGGGTAAGTCACGCCTGCTTGAGCGGCTAGACCCGCACCGGCACCACCATATGGGTTATGGTTTGCAGTGCTCTGCTGTGGAGTTTGGATGTTGGATCCGGGCTGGGTCTGTGGGGTAGAATTCAGAGAGTGGGTAAGTGGTGGAAGAGGGCTGGTCCCTGCACTGGGTTGGAACTGGTACTGAGACTGGGGCTGTTGTGGAATTGGAGGAATTCCGTTGCTGGGCGAGGGAGCAAGGTTATAGAGAGAAAGAATGCTGTTTTTATCCATGTGGCCAGTAGCTTGGGGCGCCAATTGCTGCGGTTGCTGCGGCTGGTATTGGTTCGGGAAGCCGTTGGGATAACCACTTGCACTCTGGGGGGGTTGTGGTCCCGTAGACTGCTGGAATGGATTATATGAACCTTGGCTAGCATTTTGAAATTGCTGCTGCTGCTGGAAATGAGGTGTCGATCCAAAAGGAGATGTGCCGAATGGCGAAGTGGACGACATCGCCGGCATAGTGTTTGCATGCTGAGGTGGATGAGGTACCGAAATTGATGGCACCGGTGGTGCTAGCTGTTGCTGTTGTGTCTGGTTCTGCGCGGCAGTGTTAAAGAATGGATTGGTCTGCGCGGCACCCGGAATGGGATAGGTTTGACTGGCCATGCCGCCCTGCGGCTGGGGCGCTGTCTGAAAGAATGGATTATAGTTGTTGTCCACAGGCTGGGGCGAGGAAACATAAGCACCCTGGGAGAATGTTGCTGTAACCGGCGGAGTGTACGGCTGCTGATATGCGGGCTGCTGCATGGAGCTAGCTTGGCTCGGATATCCACCAGTGGAGTGCGGGAACAAGGGTTGGGATACCTGGAGATGCTGGAAAGAGTTCTCCAGGGGCTGAGCCGACTGAGGCGTATGCACAGGTTGCGGTGGCTGAGTGAACTGGTCGAATGGGTTGTACGAAGTCGACTGTGCGGGCTGCGCAGGCTGCGACTGTTGAGGAACTGGGTTCGAAACAGCCCTATCGAAAGGGTTGTTTGCCGTTTCTGGCTTGGAAACGGCGGCAGGCACTGTGGCAGATACGGCTCTTGTTTGAGCGCTCTGCTTCGCGGTCCAGGCCCTTATCAAGTCGGGATTTCCTTCACCTAGTCTCGACAATGTCTCAACACATCGGCCCAAGTCCTCGTTAAGACCCTTGAGGACCATCTCGTTACGTCGGTCGTTGGTGAAGCCCAATTCCTGCAGCGCTGCCATCTTCGCTTCCAACGAGGCAGTCGTCACGTCAGCAACCGGTGCTCCCATTCCAGTGGTCCTATTTGTGGCCGGTGGAGACCACGGCCGCTGGTCATTCCCTGGCGAATCCCTCTTGGTTCCGAATCGGCGTAGGTTTGAGGTTGAGGAAGATCCCCGAAGTCCAAATCCAAAGAACTTGCCTGACTTGGGTGGCAGCGGAGGCGGCGAACCCTCAGGGGATCTATCCGGTGATGCAGCCCGTCTCGATTCGTCGCGTCTGTAATCATCACGTCTGTAGTCGTCGCGTCTGTATTCATCACGGCTGTAGTCATCGCGTCTCGATTCGTGGCGCTTGGTATAACTCGAGTCTTCTCGGCTAGGAGGCTTGGGCTTGCCGTCCTCCAACGACCGGTACTGGTATTTTTGCCGAATAAACCGTTCCATGCACGAGTCTGCCTCGTCAATATCGCTCGGGACTGGCGGCTTTATATCCTTGGGGTTGTAGATCTTGTTCATGAGGAGGTTGCCGTGGGATTTCATGTTCTGGTCAAGGAGTCGTGGCGTCAGTTTCTGGGAATTTGATCCGTAGGGGTTATGTGTTCACTCACATCCACCTGCTCTGCGGACCAGGTGTCCATCGACAGAGACTTGACCTTGGAGATGTGTGTGCCCAACTTCCGGTGGATTGCGGCGCACCGCATGCACAGGAAGAGGCCCATCTATACAAAAGACGAAGATCAGACAATCAATTCTAGAGCAAGGGGGATACTTCGAAGATCAAAGGAATTGCATACGTTCCAGCTCGCCCATCCTATATCATTGAACAATCTAGTCAGTCCAAAGTCTCATATGATGCTTTTCGCGGGGAAAAGACGAACCTGGGGTCAGGGCATCACAATCGGCACACCGGTCATTGCCAGGAACGGTCCGGATCAACTCGGCCAGGGTCTTCTCATTGCGCAGCTGCTGACGCTTACTGATGCCATTCGGCATGATGAAGGAAAGGAGTGGACAGCGTACACACAGTACGTGAAGGAAGATGAATAGGGGAAAGAGGAAAAAGTCTCAAGGCGGAGAACCGGAGTACCGAATCATCTGCGAGGGGCATTGCAACCCCGGACATTCTGTTTCAATTACATTCCAAGCTTAACTACGCGCGGCCGGTTCAGGGATGTGCTATTGATAGCTCCACTAGTCAATTCTTGAAGGACATTGCTTCTAGAACAGCTCTGGAAGAGAGTTCCGAGAATAAGACTCGGTTTCGCGGATGCGAGGACCGGAACGGTTTTGGCTCAACCAAGAATCCATCTGGAAATCTTCCGAGCAGACATGTATTGTCTGCTGTAGGAAAACTCAATTTTGTACTTAAATCTACATCTACAAATTTGGGTCCAAAGATGGGAATGTCTGGACAGCAGGGGATACCATCGCCCACTGCAACTTAGCCAGCCGAAGCCAACCTGTGCCGTCGAGGAAATTTATGCTGCCCAGTTCATCTAGTACGCCAATATGACCTGCCATCTTATGAGTAAAAGGAATTGGAGGTTGATTATGCGTTCGAAAAAGTGTAAAGAAGAAAGAGGAATCTAACGATCGTGAAATTTTCCTGCTAAAATAGGAGGGGCACACGTGACCTGCGGTATATCACGTGCCTCTAGCGTTATCTTCTACTTTTTCGATTTTGCTTTTCTCTTTCTCTTCCTTCTCTCACACTCTCAAGAGTGAACGAATCCTTGGAAAAGTGCTTCGATCCTGTAATGTGAGGATCGTCGCACCATTCTTCACAGGACTTCAGTATATTCTATAGCAACACCACATAACCCGCGAGGTGCCATTTAATGGCATCGACGTCTCTTGGGTGATTTTATATCGTTCGTTCGTGGCAGATCAAAACCAAACAGCTTCTAGCAGGGCTGCGTCTACTCCACCCTGGTGCTCAGTCTTCATTGAGCAGCAGGACTATTTTACGACGAACATCCTAGTCAGCATCAATACATCATTTTCTACAAAATTTTTCCAACCTTCAATCGTACTTTTGTATCTCTCTTTTCCTCTGGGAATGGGCTCTGGTTGAGGCTGTTCGGATAAATCTTGCTTTCCTTCCTGCGATCTGCTATCACACTTATTTTACACCTCTGATGAACAACGAGCTGCTCTGCTGACTACAGCTGCCGCCGTTCAAAATTTTCCCGTATGCGCCCGCCCTCCATCTTGAACCCCGCATCATCAACGTACGAAGAGGTCCATCCTCAGGGCCACTGCCTATAATGACCGAGTCGTCGACAGACTACTATCGGGTCCTTGAGCTCCCCTTCTCGAGCAACTCTGCCACCCCCCTCTCGAATTTGCAGATCAAACTCGCCTACCACAAAGCCCTCCTCAAACACCACCCAGACAAAGCCGGCGCTGTCGCAAAACAGTCCGGCCTCACGGGTCCGGCCTCTGCATCATCGAATTTTTACTCCACATCCAAGACTGATCGGCGATCATATACCATCGATGAGATTACCACGGCCTACAAGACACTCTCCGATCCGCAGTTGCGCGCAGAATACGATCGCTCGCTTCGGTTGAACCGCGCAAAGTTTGCGGAGGACACCACCGAGGTTTTTCATACGGGCCTGGAGACAGTAGATCTAGATGACATGGATTATGACGAGGAGGACGGCTCCTGGTATCGTGGCTGTCGATGTGGAGACGAGAGGGGCTTCTCGGTCACAGAAAACCATCTGGAGTCAAGTATGGATCATGGAGAGGTCGTCATCGGATGTGTGGGGTGCAGTCTCTACATGAAGATTCTCTTTGCTGCTGAAGAAGGCTGAAAGGCCAGACTTCTAGATGTCTTATCTTGAAGCACCTACAACACAAATCAGCGTTTCACCAGAGCCTGGTAAACCCACTTGAAGCTGTCGAGAGTGTACAGTGATGTGCCGTGTGCCCGATATGGTCACTCCGGGGTTTTGCAATCCCAGTGTGTCATCGGAACACCATCCAGGACTCGCACAGCCAGTCACAGGCACCTGCGCCCGACAGCCAGTGATACAAAGCCAAGGACGGCATAGCGCTCCGCTCTTGCTCGTAATACTGAGACCAGGCCATGCGCCATTGGATAATCAGCTTGTCTCAACTTGTTCTATATATAGCGCCAGGGCATGTGAGCATGTTTCCTGTCGGTATTCAAGCGGCAGATGAGGTTCTGGCAGTCTGACGACACTACAGCCCATATAATCTATCCGAAATTTGCGAAATTTGGTATTCTATGCTTTCGGCCTCTATATTTGTTTGGCATAATCCGGCATACGAATCTATGTCTCATTTTTTGGTTCACTTCAACAAAACCTTGAAGCGCCTGGGTGACATTTGAACGTCGAATCAGATGGTATATATCATATCGTGAAGAGACGCTACCAGAAATCAAGGTTCTATCGGTCCAAGCTTTCTCATATATCTCTATCTCAATGCAAGTTCTAACACTGTTCGGGATCCATCTTACTCTCAATACGCTTAATAACTCGAGCCGGGTTCCCTGCTGCAAAATGGAAAGGAGGAACGTCCTAAAACAATCAGTAAACCACATTAAAAGCAGTGCAAAGCACCGACTTACCCTTGTAACCACAGAACCCGCCCCGATCGTACATCCCTTCCCAATTCTCACGCCTGCAAGAACCATCACACTTCCCCCAATCCACACATCATCCTCAATATGAATCTCCTTCCCGGCCTCAGGACCCTTCATTCCTTGTCGAATAGCAGGGTCAAGCGGATGAATAGCGCCGTAGAGCGAAACATTCGGCCCGAAGAGGACTCGTTCACCGATGGTGATAAGACAAGTATCCAGAACTAGCAGATTAAAATTGAGGAATGTCCCAGCTCCCACTTTGAAATTGAGGCCATGGTCCACGGAGATGGGGCCATCCACGACAGGATCCGTTTCATCAAAGAGTTCTTCATCTTCTTTGGGATCTGGGTTTACTGGTGGGAGGGGACGAGTATCTCCGATGATGCTTGCGGGGGTTAGCTTGATTCAGTTTGGATGGATGTGAAGGTGGCCGTGACTGGTCGAATCTTACTTTCTCCATAATTCAACCTTTCGTCGTCGGGAGACGTTCCCTGCTGTATTGAACTCATCACATGCCTGCTTGCAGCGTGTTCGGTTGGCCTGGAGGTCTTCGTCCCAAGGCATGTACAGCTCACCGCGGAGCATTTTGGCCCATTCTTTGGAGGAGGTCATTGTGTCGGTGTCTATGCCAGGCTTCGAAGTCAAGCTTGAAGATTTAGAATTCACTGAATTTGAGATGAGATGTGTACTGCTTTCTTATACTTGAGCGTCGGTCGAGCTGTGGCGTTCATGTGGATCCCGCTGCGTTCTGATTTTCCTGATCGGGCAGGTCAGGCAGCAGGTATCGGAGGTTGTTTGCAAAGTATTTGACTTTGGACTGCTGTTGGTCTTCAATCGAGGATAAGTTCGATTGGATTCGATTCTCCGGTGTGTCTAGGTGACTTATTCTACATGAATTTAGACTGCCCAGGTGTGGCACCGAGTTGGGAATGGACCTTAAGGCCCGTCCCTTAAGTACTCTAAGGGCACGGCATTTTCGAGGCATCTTCTTGTGTTCTTGATTCGATCCTGAGATATTGTGCTAAATCTATCTACTGTTTTTACTTTCTATGAGTATCAATACTGAAAGCTTTCAATATTCATGGGTTGTTCCAGAAATTCTAAGGTTGGGTGCTTGCTCTTCGTGTCCAAGTCTGCAATGACTGCTGATATATATATATCGCGATGCGAACGACCTCTGGACGCCGAATGGGATTCGAACGCTAGGCCAGCAACATGAAAATCATTGAAAGAGACAAGTTCACTATCAGAAAGCTTCCCCTCATACCAGAAAAATAAAATAAGCAGAGTGTGGTGCCTCAGGCAGATCGTAGGTGTTGTCCATTAAGCTCTGTTGACCGGAAGATTGATGACATATTGGAGGATCCGGGCAAAACAACTTCGATCTCCTCCCCACCACCTTCACTGCTGAATCACCAAAACACAGTCCTCCACGATGTCGGTCATCAATATATCCTCGAATGAGCAATTTAACACGCTCCTCAACTCCTCCCGCGTCGTCGTCGCCGATTGTAAGTCTCAACACCGCCCCGCACGAGAATCCCTTCCTACCCCCGCCAGCACCGAGCAAACACCAGAACCCTTGACTGACTTTCACCCGTTCCCTGAATAGTCTATGCCGACTGGTGCGGACCATGCAAAGCAATCGCTCCCGTATATGACTCACTGGCTCGCCAGCTGACACGTCCGAACCAAATCACATTCACTAAGATCAATGGTGATCAGCAGAAGGACCTGGCGCAGGCGTATAGCGTGCGAGCGTACGTAACTAAGCCTCTTCCATTCACCCAACCCTACGAATGAAGAATCTACGAGCAAATGAAGGAAACTATCTCTAACTTGTATAATACAGTTACCCTACCTTCATCGTTTTTGAGAACGGCCGCAAGACCCAGACCGTCGCCGGCGCAGACCCCCGCCGCCTAAACGAAGTCATCCAGAAACTCGCTACCGAAGCCACAAAGTCCGACGGCGCAGCAGGCGGCGATGGTGAATCCAGCGGCGGCTGGTTCGGTGCCACCGTGGCCAAGGGCTACTCGGACGTGTCCGACCAAGTCGACGTGAAGGGACTGGAGCTTCTGAACCGGGACAACGAGCGGGGCGAGGCGCGCGTGCTGTTCGAAGGCACCAAGCCATCAGGGATTGCGGGCAAGGGCAAGGGCAAGGCCGAGGGAAAGGCGGATTGGGTGGAGAGTGATACGGATGAGCAGCTTATGCTTTACATCCCGCTCCAGTCAACGCTGAAGGTTCACTCGTTGCATATCACCTCTTTTGCGGTCCCTGATGAGGATGACGACGAGGCACCCATGCGGCCAAAGACTATCAAGCTTTATGTCAACCGCTCGCATGTGCTTGGATTTGACGAGGCAGATGATATCCCGGCCGTGCAGACCGTGGAGATTAAGGAGGAGGACTGGGATGCGAAGACAGGAACTGCTCGGGTTGATTTGCGCTTTGTTAAGTTCCAGAACGTTACCTCGTTGGTCCTGTTCTTCGTGGATGGCGATGGAGACAGCGAAAAGTTGCGTGTTGACCGGGTTCGCATTATTGGCGACTCAGGCGAGAAGCGCTCAATGGGCAAGCTGGAGAAGATTGGCGATGAGCCTGGAGAGTAAACAGTCATGGCAATGCATGCTAGAGTTGGACTCAAGGATTGGAAAAGTTCCAAAAAGTATTGATGTCCATCAGGAAAACGCAAAGGCTAGACTGGATAATGGTATTTTTAATAGCGACCAACAAAGACAATGATAGCATGCGCTACAGAGGAATGCAGAGAAGTATATGCGTATGATCAAATTTTTTTCCTTTTCCATTTTATTTATTATATTGAGCTATATGCGATAATAATTTTAAGGCTATATAAATGGTATGTCCGATCCCAGACCCAAAGGGCCATCAGAAGGTCAGCTTGTGATAAGTGAAGAGAGACCTGTAAAGTGGGAGAAGGGTGCAATTCCGTTCTTCTGTGGCGCAACTGACACCTGGTAACATCACTGAAAGGATGTCCAAGCAACACGGGTAATGTTAGTCGCGCCGCCGCACGAAGAAGGAAAGAGAAAAGAGGAAATGTTGCCGCTGAGAACGAAAATTTATAGCAGAACTCCGGAATAATTGCTCTTCCGCAACCCACAGAATAACCGACAATTATTACATAATCAAGCAAGGACTGCAACTTTTTTTTTTCTGTTTTGTTTTTTTCTTTTCTTTTTTCTTTTCATAAAAATTATTTGGCCTGTGATGAGGATAATGGAATCATATGATAGGAAGAGACTGACTCCTAATGGAGCTTGATCTTAACAGAACCATCCCTGAGGCCTTGTTGATTTTTTGTTAGCTGCTGGAATCAGAATATCAAAATTAGCTTAAAATATGATTTTATCGCCGTGCCAGACAACCTGCAAATTTAAACGGAATTCAAGAAGAACCATAGGCTAGCCGGAAACTGCACCGAGCCAGCAGGATAAATAAGCATAAACACCTGCATACGATGCTCAACCCCTCTCACCTCAAATGCCGCGCGAAAATCGCCGTATCCGTACCCTCTCCACCAAGCCTAGACAGCAACTCGCCAGGAAAACCTTTCAAGCGAAGCGAAGCGACTTGGACCCATTCTTGAGGACCCTGGACGCACAGCTATTCCAAACTCGGCCGAGCACTGAATGGATTTGCAATTTCATCACAGTCTCTGGAACCCGTTCCCCGCGGAATACGGACAATGACGAAATCTTTTCGGTGAAATGAGGATCGTCTCAACCAGACAAATGCAACGAAGACTACATGTGACGACAGGTCTACCAAAAAAAGCGACAGAATCCCTGGGTCAGATGGATCCGAGATATCAATCGCGGGCCGACAAATCCACCTCGAATCCGGCCCGGCTTGAGCATTTTCAACACCGGATGCACACGGATTCGGCGCTCCGGCTTGGACAGATACGCCGCTTCATAACAATAATCTATGACCAATATGCATACTGGAACTCGGCAGTCGTCCGTCGTGCTGGTCACCGTAAGCAGTAAAACCTGCTCCGTAGGCAGGGCTGGATTTTCGCGAATTGCGCCGCGACTCCACTTTAGGTTCGACGATGGTGTCGCATCCTCAGCGGGGACGGAATGGAGACTGGCTTGGAGAATGAAGATGTGCATTTTTCAATTATGGGTCCATCATGCCATAAGAGGCTGTGATCCATACTTCCACACAGTTGTTCCACGGATGAGAAGACTGCTGAAACAAATAAAACTGGCAGTAGTGCCTTTCTGCCAAGGCATGTTGACGCCCATGGCCCTATATTAGATACGCCATACGATTTGTACTGTCTTACTCATGAATTGGATCTTGGTGGGCGATCCCGCATTGCGCACTAGCCCAAGCCATTGGCTAATCGATTCTCGCTCTCGGTAAGCGATTGTGGTGGCGGTTAGAATGAGGATCTCTCGGATGCTCTATTGTTTTGTGGTGAGGGCAGACCCGCATGTACCCGCCCCGACACGAGCGAAAGATTCCGACCAGTGTTCTGATGGCCCCGGCACACGCTGTCTGGTGGTGTATCCACTACATGCAACACGTGTAGAAATCACCATTCGTTGTTTGGAGGAACGTGATCCCTGGGGTGAAGAATGGTGGAGAGGCTTGTAGTGCAGTACGTATAGTAGTAGCCACAGTTAACACTAAGCGTTATTACGGCGTAGCCGACCTTCCAGAAGGGAAAAAGAAGGAAATTTCTTCAGCACTAGCTCGTCTCGCTGTAATTGCCCTCCTTCTAGCGTATCTAGTGGAAAGTGTAAGTAAACGCAAGCGCTAGCCATGAAGGTTTTCGGCTGCCAGGTTTCAGGTCAGTTCCTGCATTTTAGTTTCAGTTGTGGATGCTCTCAATCTAATCGCCACGCTGGATTGCGGGAGTGGATTCCCTTCAGTCTCTGCTATTTGGGGTTCTGGAAAAAACCCCCAAACACCGAGTTAACTCTTATCATTACGTACACTCAAATACCCGCAGGATAAGCGGAGGATCAATTGAGAATTCTATGGATGTTGCAGGAGCCACTTCCTTGGTTTGTGAGCCGTATTGGGAACGAAACTATCTGATAAGAATGGAGTCGGGTCGGCGATCGCGATCGCGCAAGACCCAAAAAACAGAAGTGGCAATATCTCTAGGTGGGCGCACCCTTCGGAGAATTCATCAGCGCACTTTGTTTGGCCTTGCGAACCGATAAGTGGCTAGGGCTGGTATCTTGGAGTTTCCACTGCGGTCGGGAGATGTACAGAAATAAATGGGGACGGAGGTGATACTGATATCGAGTAATGATCTGCTCTGATTTGGTGGTTGAAGGGAAAGGGACCAGTGTCCGTAAGCGGTCGTGCTCCGAACAAGCCATCACCAACCAAGGACTGCGTTGGAGACAGATACACAAGGTTCCTACGCAATGACTTCAAAAAGGACACCGAGTGGCCTGGGGTCCGATAGGGTTTCGGCTGTGAAGCGGGAATCTCGTCATTACACCGGGGACTTGCATAGTGGCTCCAGTAATTGACCCAGAACTAGCTATCGTGCGCGTGGGTTACGGACGGAGCACGATACGGATTTCCGTGGGTGGGGGCAACGGAACAGAGCAGTGTACCTGAGTCAAAAAGTAAAACCCACGGAAGCGGTTCCCAGGATAGCAGTGCGCGGTTCGTGTGGTTCTGCGGGCTGGCCCCCAGGTACAGGTCGCATGTACCATGTTTCGGCTTGATTAGACCTTAAGATGCGGAGATTTACGGCAGAGAGAGAGAACACTGCAGGTTGCCCCATCGTGAGCGAATTTTGGGGACCAACTACGCCATCTTGTTGGCTCGCGTCCTGCATGGGATCGGGAGCACTAATGCACAGTTTCAGGTCCAGGAACGCTTGAGAATCCTTTTGCCACGAGCCAAGTCTTAACTCTGTTTCTGTCCTGTAATCTCCGCATTTTTAGGACCCTCTATAACCTTGCCGTCAATTATTGTGAACAGACTCTGGAAGCGCGGAAAAGAGTTTCAAGGTGGTGTGATTTGTGGTCCACCGCGGATCTCGAAACTGGAACCAGTGGGGGGAAGATAAGCCCAACTATTCCCAAATAGATCAATGAAGCTTTCATCCGCGCAAAAGCAAAATAAATAAATAACCAATTCCAAAAACTCTGTGTGCCTGAAGATTGCGATTTTTTGCGGGGAGTCCCAAACTAGTTGGAATAGTGGGAAGTAACAAAGTCGAGAAACTTCGATTGGTCTAGCAGGGTAAATCCCGAGGAACCAGTCTTAGTTCAATCCACTCGTTTCCCCGTGCGGAAGGAATGTTTGGTTGCGATAGACAGCAGATCTTACCGGAAGAATCCTTTCCTCTGTCCACGTTCCTGTCCGCCACAATGGCACCGGGGAGGAGGTCAAAGTGTAGGTTTTACTCCGTCAATAATGCGGTATCACCTTAGGGCACATGTTGGCTCGACCACTCAGGGAAAAAAGTTGCAAGTTAGAAGCGATAGTAGGATACCAGGGTGATCATAGCTCTTCTGTACCAAATGCACACCTGGGACTAAATGCCCAATTGGGCATGGTGTCGGGTGCAAGAGCCAGTCTCACCCAAGGTTCACTTCGAAGAGAGTTTGGGCGATCGACTTTGCTAATCTTCTTAGAGTCCGGAGTACGATAGAATACCGAATACCGAGGGCTGGTTGGGTCGTACACGTGCGGGCTATCTCAAGCTTTGTGTGGTTGGTTAGGGCTTCGGAAGTGGCCGTCAATTATTTGGCCCCCCGGTATTCACGCGTACCTGGTACAGAATATAACAGACCCAAAGGATGAACAAAGAAATCCCCGATTGGGTAAAAGCTATTGTGTATCTTAGGCCCGGTGTGCTCTCCAGTCCCATGGAACACTGTCCGCGAACTTGGTTTTAGCCGAGAACTCGTGTCGTATCCCCGCATTTATTTTGGGTTCAGATACAACTCTGTTCCATTTTAATTTGGGATTCCAACACATGTTCGGTGGTGAAACTGTACCCGAGTTGCCACCGTTAGCCGAGTAGGGAGACGGCTTTTCCGGAGAGCGTCCTGAGCGCAACGCCAAACCTTCGAAGGATTTCACTAGAGACCGTTGCAATAGATTGAGATCTAGCGCCCGCCCAGGTGGTAGCCGGGGAAGAACACCTTCCCATTCGAATTAATACCGCAGTGGCAATTCGGGGCGTTTGGTGGAGGCTCATTCATTTAATGCAAGACATGTCTAATGACCGTTGACGGGTGACTGTAAGCTGATGTTCCAAGATAATTAAATCTCATTCTAACTACGATCTTATGATTTTGGTGTAAAAGTGATATAGATGTTCTACTGACACATTGCCTAATCTGGACAGACATGCGTCTGTCTTGGTATGACATGTTAGTTTCACCGCAGGCCTGGGCCCCGATCCCCTAAAAGTTTGCTATAATCCTTCCGGCTTAGTAGATGTGCTACAAAGGTACTTTTGTCATGTCCACACGAGGCCTTCACACCGCTACAGAGTCCCCTGCGTAGAGAATTAGGAATAGATGGAGGGTCTCGAATTTTCGGGCGTGGGGCGGCCAGCCAAGACCCCGGCGTGCGCTAGTGCCATTTGGAGCTT